TCACGTTTTGGTGAAGGTCAGGTCAAGGTCAGGTCAAATTAGGTCAAATTTCAAAGTTGATATTTTTGCATAAAATGGGTATTGATTCGATGCAGCTCGTCACGGGGAGTCTAATGATGGTCTTTGTTTTGCTCTACGAGGTCTATAATTGCCAAAAATTGAGTTTGAAAATTTGACGTCATCATGTTTGAACAGTTGTTTCGCTATAACTTGGTCAAAAAAGGATATATCGATATGAAATTTGGTATGTAGATAGAAGACGGTAGGTACTATCATATATATTCCGTTTTTCGAAACTCAAAAAACTTTTTGGATTTTTTGGCTAATATATCCAAAAAATTGCATTTTTGGTTTTTGGGGGTAAAAACTCAAAAATTTTAAAAATCCGAGAAAGCAGTTTTGTAGCCCTGTCAATTCTACACCTTTTATGTCTGGTCATTTTTCTGTATCTTCAAAGCTGTAGGCCTCACAGGTCTTCTCGCGAAGGTCTTTTTTCGGTCGAAAATGACAGAACATGACGTCATTCTAACGTCATTTGTGGCCAACCTGTCATAGCCTCTGGATAAATTTTTGGTCACAATGTGTAGAATTGATTCCCGGAGGGGTCCTGAAAGTTTGGTGGCAATTTCTGCAGCCGTTTAGGAGATATCGACGGAAAAGGACAGGGGGGGCCGAAACACCCCCCCCCCCTACGGGTCGCGGGCTTAACCTTCCCAGAAGGGGATTCCTATTCAGTGGCGCGGGAACTTCTTCCAGACTGGGGGGGGGGGCTGAACCATAATACACATCAACCTAGGGTACCCCCAAATCTAGCTTTCTCACCGGTTTAAGGCCACTTATTTTTCAGACCTTGGTCTTTTCAACAACAAAAAACGAAAATATTTGCAAAAAAAGTCATGGGTATTCCGTCTCAGCTGAGTGAAGAAACTGCCGTTTTGGCAACCTGGAATAGAGGTTTCAATCTGCCAAATGAGTTGTCGAACCAGTGAAAGAGGTGGATTTTTCACCTACATGCTTGCTTCTTTTGTGACCCACAACCCCTAATTTGGGGAGGACAAGCTGCCCCAACGGTTCCTGTCTCCTGACCTCATAAATAGTTGTGGGGCACCCCCCAGAGCTATGGGGGCTAGCTTCCCCCACTTCCCCCACCCCGGTTCCCCCGCCTATGTATGAATCTATGAAATTATGTTGGTAGATTTCCGATTTCGACTCCTCCAGGCGGGGGGGGGGGGGGGACGCATTTGCCAGGCGAACCTATCCGAACACAGCAGCGCTTGCTGGAGATCACTACAACGTCCCATCAGCACCTACCCGATCATAAAATCTGCTCCCTAACCAAATAACCAAACAAAAACGGCTCTAAATAAGACCAGCCACGTGACCGTCTCCAACCCTACAGAGTTCCCCACCTATTCTCCGCCATTAACTGCTGCACACCACTCCTAAGTGCGGCATTACATACCGAACGTCACGTGCTCCCCGGCGTCGGATGAGAATTTACGCGAGAGACGGTGTGCCGTTGCAGACCACGTAAACGGATTAGCCGATACAGGCGTCATAACCGACGGATTAGCGTCATCGACAAACCAGTGCACCGGAGCGGGCGGACAAAAACGAACCGGGGAGGCTGACGGCCGCCGGCCGCCGATTAATTGGAACCGACCGTGACGGCTGGTAGAGGGGAGGGGAGGGCTGCTATTAGTTTATGACAGGACAGCGTACTCGTCTGACCATGTTTTCAGTCAAATATAGCCGACCAGTAAAAGGTGATTATATAATGATAATTACCGGTGGATCAACAACAAACAGGCGCCAAACATTGATCAGAGTATCGTATGATGATTTAATTAGTGTAAAATAATAAATTCACTCAAATGTATTTCATTCAGTATGATTCAGCGAAAAAATCAGCATTTTGATAACCTATGTAAGATTATGTCCAAAGTCCCTCATCGCAACCTCCCTTTCCTTTAGCCGATAGCATACGACACACAGAACAAATTGAGCAGCAGCAAAACAATCACTCGGATTGAAAATGCCCATCGCTCTGGCTTCAATTCATCACGCACCTAAATCCATCTGATGGACACCAAGCTTGTAAAGAATCGAAGGGATTAGCTGTAAAGCGCCACGCCGCGCCTTCAAAGCGGTGCTGCATTCAGTCTGCTCGCGGCGGGCGGGGGCGTTGACAGCTCTGAAGCAGGTGACAGCTCCGTTGACAGGTGGTATTGGCGGACGTGACGGAGCTCCGTGCCCGGGCGGGTCGCCGCCGAGGACCGGCCCGGGGGAGCGGCTGTCCGGCCGAGATCACCCCGCGTCACACACAGGAGACGCTGGCTAATGGAATTGGCCAAACGGGACGCCGGCCGTCCCAGCCGCGGCCTTTTTATGTCGGCACCGAGTCGGTTTATTCGCTAGTTTGAGAGTTGCTATGACGGGGTTTTACGAACGTCCCCCGGTGCGGGGTGGATTTTTTTCTGACATGCAGGAGGGAAATAGTGCGGAGAGGTTATAAAATCTAAGGCAAGGAGACGGTGAATAGTCAAACGGTCATTTGAGCACGATGAAAATCCCAACTTGCCGTCCGGCTTTGTCACAAAAACAACGAAAATAAAATTGGAAGCCGATGAGCCTGTCTTCTCTCGGCGTTTATAGACGTATTTCATTTAGTGCTCGGGCGGTCAGAGTCCATTGAGCACAAACACTAAAACTGATCAATAAAATGTTTCGATATCACGACTGAAGGGAGATCCAGTTGGCTCAATAATGCATTGCAAACGGTGCTGATAGGTACGTTTTTTTATCTATGAAACTATAGACCAGGATGAAAGCCAAATCTGTGTTCACCTCCTCATGCATAACCAATTTGCTGTGTGTATGCAAATGAGCTGCGCATTTTCAGCTTACAAAATGAGCCCGCGACGGCAGCATCGATAGTAAGAAATATTGCAATATTGTGACCAAGCACTGCACGTCCGTCGGTCGGCCGTCGCAGTAGCGCCATCACCGAGCTGTGGTCATCCCACGTCCACTGTCCACCGTCCCCTGGCATCATCTCTCTGGCCACCCCTCCCAACCACAACACCTATCGCCGTTCCCCGGAACCCGGGACAGGCGCCGGGACACAAATGAAGCCATCGCCACCGCTGTCTGTTACCTCCCACGACAGAGGCGCGGCGCGTGGCCTCTCGCCACCGTCCGGCGGCGCCACGTGCCGCCGGCCGCAGTGTCCACTCGTGGCACGTGACACGTGGCTCGTGGAGGCTCCTCGGCCGGCGCGGGGCACAATACCGTCCCTGCGCGCCCCTCACCGCCCGCCGTCCCCCTCCGAGGGCGCCTTTCAGCGGAGAGTTTTATTGGCCCAGCGCGCAAATTGCCGGTCTTGTTTGGCTGAGAGCTCCCGGTGGCGTCAACTCCATTCGAGCGGAAAGGAATCCGGCGTGCCCCGCGGCGAATCAGGGAGGGAGCGGAGAGGCGAGCCAGTGGTCATCGGTCTATTCACAGGATGGAATGTCGAATAGCGGTCCGAGGATTGCTCGCAGTGTTCAAAGTCCACACCAACTGGGGTGGATGGACAATAGGGCCATTTGCTGTACAAATATCGAATGGTAAACGGAATTCAATAGAAGCCAGAGATGTGCATGGGGCATTCCGAGCTATGGGTGGCTATACAATCGCTGTCATTTAAGATTCCGTCATGATATTTGTACTTTATATTGTCCTGGGATTATCAGTAACCGAACTACTTAGCTGGACAGCGGGCACCAAATTGCGAGTAAAATCGTAGATGTACCTAATGTGACTTTGTACAGCCCACCGCTAAAGTAATGTGCTGTTTTACCAATCGGAACGGATGGCTTTGACTGCCGATTTTTTTTTAATGTGGAGTGATCGAAAAGAAGACGTCGATAGTAAAGTTGCAGCTGCAAGGGTAACGATACAGGTTAGCTACATTCAAAGTTTCATTGTGGTCTGGCTAATAATCCCTAAGCTTCAGAAGCAGAACATACCCAGGACTGAAACCGCACATTACTTACATATGCTGTGGACTGTACCTATGCACATTACGATAGTATGACAGTGCAAACATACTATCGCATAACCTATAGCAAAGAACCGCCATATAATACATGCTTGCGATAACGACTGTGCGTTGTTCTCAGCATGCGCTCAGCAGTCCCCGCCTCTCGACGTTTCCTATCCGCGATCCCCCGACCCCCTGTCATCCTCCGTTCTCGAGTCGTGCCACCCACCCGAGTCCCGACCCTCCGACCATGGGCCATAAGCCACCATCCGACGGCCGGCCGTGAGTCAGGCACCTCGCTACCCAGGCCGGTGCCATCAGCAGTAATTAACGGCGTGTCAAACTATCCACATAATCATGCCAGAGGCGAGTCCCGCCACTTAACTCGTGAAATACGACGCACGTGAAATGCACCAATCGGTGTGTTTATAGGCACGTCAGCACACACAAACATTTGTTTTAATTGTCTAACACCTACTTTTCGAAAGCCTGTCAAGCATCAAATGTCTACGAGGTTCAACAAATAGCAAAAGTCTGCGATTATGTGAGGGTTGGATGAGTTGTGTCGCTGTAGTTTTAATCGGCATTATCTTGCTAATTCCACATAATTCCCTGTAAAGTGCAGCTGCATAATACACGCTACGATGCTGCAGAGCTTGCAGTGCTTGGGAAAACATCCCTTCAATTCATCTAATATTTTTTTGCCATAGTTTTTCAGAGTCAAATAAGTTGATCTTTTTTTTTGAAAATAGCTAAGCCGTTAAACTGCCGCTTTAATCTTCTTGGAAGGAGTACGATTATAGCGATTAAAAACGACCATGGTAGAGTGGTCAGCATCGCTGATTTTAAAGCACTTCATGTAAATTTTTCACAAGCTTCACCTACCACGACGCAGGGCTTACAACGATCCTGCTCATGTACCCTTTGTTTTCAGTCCATATGCCCTGCAACTCCCAAACCCACGTCACAATGCATATTTTGACAAAAGACAAATATATTCGTATCTACCGCACAGTCTGGCACACATTTCATCACTTGCCCTACAAAGTACCGCGCAAATCTATCTCATCCGTCAACACACGCTGACTGTGTCTGTCGCTGTTGGGCCGTACCATTCGCGAGAAAAATTCACCCCATGGCCCAGTCCCGCACGCATTATTCAACATGTCGAGCATTGGCGGACTGACCAGTCAAGGTCAAATGCTGCATAGCGCTGTCTCGCGTCATCTTTCGACGCAACAAATACGATTCACATTCACTGCCACTCCTGGAAAACCGCGTCACAGCGGAGGTGGAGGGGCCAGGCCGCACTAAAATGACCACTCGGGGTCAACGTTAGGTGCTAACCCACCGGCCAGTAGCCTCTCCCCAGGTGAGAATAGTTTCTGGCCATGATGCCCGTTTGTCACTGAGCTGTGCTCCCTGCATTGACCGACCGACACCAGTTCATAACACAGGCGGGTGGAGACAGCCCACAAATAAACCCAGTCACCAACACAACCGTAGGGTCGCAGCCATCTGGTCACCTGACCTAAGGGAACATCACATCGGTACTCACGCCTCATGGCCGTCTCACATACGTCTCTTACGGCGCCGTTATTGACAAAGGTCGTGCGCAAAGATCACCGTCAGCTCACGGGGACAGCCGACAGCGCGACAACCGCCCATGGTGTACGGAGACACTCGTCAAATGTGTATTATGACACCCACTGGAGTTGTACGAGAACACCCGCCAGAGGTGTACAGAAAGAGCCGAAATACCCCAAGACTGCCAAAAACGTAAAAAGGCGCCCAACCTACACAGATCAGTAGTCGACCAGCCGGAAACTGGTCCGGTCGCGGTCGCTGCCGCCGCTGTCTCGGTTCGACCGCCGGTCGCTGCGGACAACAGAACTCCGTCACAAGAAACCAACACCACGCCAAGACAAGAACATGTTACCAGCCTTGCTGTTTCTAAGCTAGCAGGGCAAAGGGGAAACATCTACCAGCACATCCCGCAGGGAAGTAGTGTTTACCCAATCCGCTCGATGAAGCGTACTGACGTTAACTTTCTACGTTCCCATTAGAATTTGTCAAGACATATGGCTAGGTATTGGTTATAAATCAGCTTGTCACAGCTCCGTCCTATGATTGTGCAAGCTGCAGGCTCAAGCCCAGCTATGGCCTCAAACTCAAGCCGCTGGCTCCTCGAGTCTGTCTGCCCCGTCGCGGGCAATGATTCATGGCAAGCACAAACCATAGCCAATTTACAGCCCCTTGAATTGGACAGGCGGAAAATGTCCCGGTGTCGGCGGCGGGCCCTCCACCTGTCACTTAGTTCCGCCGCATTACGGACTGGCGCGCGCGGAGCTCGTTTGCGTGACCACAGTGAGTACCCGGCCATTCCGCAGTCCGCTCCGCACTGTCCGCCGATATAAACTGGGCGCGAATAACCAGAGGGCCAGGTAAGTGCCATCATTGAGAGGCCGTAAATTTGCGGCCACCGCAGGCGGGCCAATCACAGAGAGGTAAAAAATATACAGTCGCCATACGTGAGGGACTGATTTAATGACATTTGGACGCGGCGATAATAATCCTATCATAAAGATGCTGAATCATAGTATACAAATATAAAATGATTGACGGGATTGGACATAGCCAAATTTAAGTCGAGTTGCAGTAATGAAGAAAAGGGGACGTTTTGGCAAGTCATACTATGTGAGTTTTGGAGTTAGAACTGAGGTGTTCAATATAAAATGAAAGAGGGGAGAGACAAACCATGGGCACAAAACCAATCTGTAGGCGCATTGCCCTCGCATTCATTCTGAATCAGCTGAAGAACCGTATACATAAAATCATGCGTTTGTTGGGAAGAACTAACAGGAAATTGCCAGTTCTTTTTTCAATAAGCAAATAAGTCAAAGCAAACAAGAGCAAAAGACATTGTATGCCGATGCTGCGAACGTCTATCTGCCATGATTCCATCTGCGTTTTCGTTTTCCTCTCGCAATCCCCAACGAAAAAGCCCAGTCACACCAATAGGTGCCCTTCGTGCCACTCCCTATCAACGGGATGCATCATTAGTAACAGCCACCCACCATTACCCTCACTTCCGGCTCCCACTGTGCGTACTCACCCGGTGCGGGGCGGCGGATAGCTGTGGTCGTGCCGCGGCGGGGGCGGCGGCGGCGGCGGCAGCGGCGGCGGCGGGTAGTTGGGCGGCGGCGGCGGCCGGCTGGTAAAGTCCCGCTGCTGTTCTACCTGGTACTGCCACGGCGGTGGTCGGCTCGGCGGGTAGTCGCCGCGAGACGGGAAGTCGCCTTTGGTGGTCCGGTCCGAGTACCTTCCTCCGCCGCTCGAGTATCGGTCACCGGACCGGCTGTGCCGGTCGGTCCCGCGGTCACCGCCGCCGCTGTACCGGTCACTGCTACCACCGCTGTACCGGTCACTGTTACCCCCGCTATAACGGTCACTCTTGCTACCGTAGCGATCACTGTTTCCGCTGTACCGATCACTGTTGCTGTTGTAGCGATCAGAGTTTCCACTGTACCGGTCACTGTTTCCGCTACCATAACGATCACTGTTACCCCCACCGTACCGTTCACTGTTTCCTCCACTGTACCTGTCGCCGTTACCGCTATACCTGTCCCCGTTTCCACTGTAGCGGTCGCCGTTTCCGTGGCTGTGCCGACCCCCGCCGCTTCCGCCGCGGTCTCCGTACCGGTCGCCCCCGCCTGAGTAGCGGTCCGAGCCACCGGTGGCGGAGCTGTCCTGTCGACGGCTCCAGTCCCCGCTGCTAGTGCCGCTGTCAGAGAGGACACAAGGTCAGACGAATGACTCCAAACATACGCAAAAACAAAGCCAAGGGAAGCAACGGATAGAGCACAAATGAAACCAACACAAATAAAATACACATTACACGTGTAAGTAAACCACCAAAACGCAACAGAACTCTGGGAAAGTAAACCACCAAAACGCAACAGAACTCTGGGAAAATCTCGCAATGCGACTTCTTCGGAACCTTAAAGATACAGCGACCTTACACGCCAGGCTCCATCCTAACCGCTCCTAACCGTCCCTCCCTCCACCGCCCAGCCCGTCACTGACCTTCCATACCGCGATCCGTCCTCCTGACTCCGGGACGCCGGCGGCGGACTCCCGTTAGAGTCCGAGTAGCGCGAGTCGTCAGAGTCGGAGTCACTCGGCATGCCGTTCTCCTTCCGCCACTTGGCCCTCTCCCTTAGTGCCGGGGGAGAGAGGGAGGGGAGTCAGCTGTGTCGGGGGATGGCAGAATAGGCGCAAAACGTGGGTAACAGGGCACGCGATAGCCAGAGGTTTCACAAAACTGAACTTGTAGGAGCTTGTAGGTGGACAATTGCATGAATCAAGTGACCAACGTTAATCGTTTTGTGTACTGCAAAGGTACATGGGGTAGCTGCAAGCTAGCTATGAACGCCATGAATGCATGCTATGAACGCATAAATATGGACGTCGCACATCCCTCTTAAGTTGATCGCCGCTAAGAAACAAAAGGCATATTCTCACGATACTTTGACAGCCGAATTAGGTACAATCCAAATGAGAAAGGACTGCTTCAAGCGAAGCGACCCCTATTCCTTCTACAAATCCTAGTCCGAAGCGTTGCCAACACAACGTTGAAGAACCAAAGTAGACCATCCCGCCATGCCCACTGAACCCTAAATGGGTGTCCCATTAGATCCATTTCATCCCATTCTTTGTCATCGCGCATGAGTGACTGACTTTTTCCTCATGCGTCTGGCGTGTGAGCGGAGCTCTGCCTCGCGTGCCTCCTGTTCCTTTTCCTGTTTGACGGCACGACTCTGCTCTGCTCGCTTATCCGCCTTGTCTGTGGAGAGAGGAGTACAGCGTAAGAGAGGGAGAGAAGAGAGGAGTTAGGGAGCGGAACGAGGGGTGAAATACTCAAGAACATTAGTGGGGTTAACAAGATATCATAACCACATTGAACTGTTGAATACAATCCTTCCACTTGAAAATACGCAGCAAATAAGTAGCTTCATACCGTAAGTCAAAATAAACTCTCGATTATTAAGAGGGCATGTAGCATTTGCGGACAATTCATCGGACAAAGGTGCGCATATCCACCGCGGTAACGACCAGGCCGCTGGACAAAACTCATGGGCCGTCTCAAACAGCCATAGACGATAACAGTTCAGCAGATTCACCATCGACACAAACCATAATCAATCCATTTACATACATTGCCTCTGCAAAGCCAGTTGCATTTTCTTTTTGAGCTTTTCTTGTGGTGTCAGCTTCGAGCCTCCGGCCTGAAAAACGGCCCAGTGTCAGACAAGGGTCAGCGCCAGCCGCCGGAGGTCAGGTCACAGGTCACAGAGGTTGCAGGATGGAGCGAAGGATGGCTGTGCGATGAAGGTTGAAACTAAATGCACTTTCAATCAAGGCAAAATTGTTTAACAGTAAATCCACCGTAGCATCAGCTGACATATTCTTTGGGCCAAGTATTACAAAGTTTCGGTTCTTTTCCTATCCCGTCAAGGAAGACAGTAATTACTTGACATCTTTTACACAAACCTGTAAGTCTCAGCGATAACACTGTAGCCAATCCCATAGCCCCCCCCCCCCCCCCCAGAACAGCAGTCTGACAAGCATAACAGTGTACAACCTGTACGGACGAAACTTAATAAGCTGCCTAATGTTCCGCGGTGTTCGAAATGGCCACACAAGACAAGCGATTAACAAGTGTGGACGGGTGCGCCCGACCGGCCAACCCCATCCAAGCCTCGTGGAAAGTGAAAGATTCTTACTGACTTTGGTGGCGGCTGGTTGTCCCAACACTACCACAGGCGCAGATACCCTGAAAACGAGCACAGAACGGCGTCAAACATAACGCTGGGATGTCATTATCACAGAACGCATTAGCACAGAACAGCCTGTACTTTGAGATGACACGCCTGTTGGACACGCCGGAAGCGCAGAATAGATTTGCACGATCTACCAAACTAGACCAGTAAGCTTATAAGAAGTATGAGAGCGCTCAGAGTGATTCATGGTCGCACCAGCAAACATGTAATGGCTTTTAGCATCATGATTGGACGTTGCTAGTCTAACATGCAAATAAACACTAGCTCACGAACCAAGACAAGCATATAATCTGCAAGGCAGGGCATTGAAAGAACACTGTCAGGGTAGCAGGATTAGGGCGTCAGATCGACCCACTGCCGAGTCAGCAGGAGACACAGGTTAAATTATACGGAACAATGTGCAGCTGACAAAACAGCACCCGAACACGGCAGATTGGTAGCAAAATGACTATAATAATAAGACACTTGCATTATAGCAAATTAGATCCTGTCAAAAGCAGTAGCAAAATTTGATAGCTCAATGTACATCGGAATGGTCAAACGCAGTCTGTATAGGTAGCCAAAGGATCGTTACAATTGAGCTTGTACGGATCCGGTACATCAACACGATAATTATATGTGATCCGTAAACAAAGGTAGTAACACGTATAGGGAATAATTTCATTATGAAAATACTCATTTCACTTCGGGGCATAAATAATATTGATTTTGAATTACCGCGTTTCCTAAATGATTACACATATTTTCATACCTTACACACAAATTAGCTATAAGAGAGCAATGAGGAAGAGCAAAACGGAGCTGCGAAGCGAAATGCAAAGGTCGCTAGCACCAAAACTTCAATCCTAAAAACTTTACCAAAGATATATGAAAAGTAAGAAGCAAAAAAAAAAAAATGACAGTTCAGTATCGCGGCTCCTTTACGTTCACTCCCCACCCGTTACCAGCCCCGTCTTCCTGCCCCGCCCCCCCCCCCCCTCCTCGCCCCCACACACACTCCAATCTTTTCTCACCTGCTGCCGCCCCCGGCGCCCACAGAGGCGGGCGACGAGCCGGCGGTGGCCGTCTCCTGGGCGGAGCCGCCCTCGCCGGCCGCCCCCGCCCCCGCCGACGCGCCGTCCCCCTCCCCCTCGTCGGCCAGGTCGCTGTCGTCGGACGAGTTCTCGCTGCGCCGCCGGCCGTAGTAGCGACGCAGAGGCGGCGTGGGAGGTCGTAGCGGCGCCGCCGGTACCGCCGCGCTGAAACGGGGACGCGGGCGGTCAGAGGTCGGCAGTGCAATCACGCTTAACTACAAAACTGTGCTGGAATACTTGCGATAATCGGTGAAACATTTTATTCCTTAGACAGTTGCATAGAAAAAGTCCAAGTAACATCGTTACACATTGCAGCTGCCATTACACAAAACATTGCATCAAGAGGCTTCGCAGCTTGGTCACAGCTGCTGTAACCATGAGACCCACACTTCCTGTTCTCCGTCTCTTTTAGTTCGCTCACCCAGCCGCCGTCGCCGCCGCCGGCTGCTGCTGCTGTTTGTCTGGTGAGGCTGCCGCCGCGGTGGAACCACGCGCCGGGGACCGCCGGGTCTCCCCGCTGCGCCGCGGGCTCCGGCGGGAGCGAGACCGGGACCGGGACCGAGACCAGGACCGCGAGCCGCGGCGCCGACCGTAGGACCGCGAACGAGACCGCCTGCGTCCGCCGCGCGGGGACCGCGACCGTCGGTCCCGGCCACGGCGGCCCCGGGAGCGGGACCGCGAGCGGCGCCCGCGACCGCGGCTGTACCTGACGGGCAGCGGTGGCGGGCCTCAGCGGACAGAAATGGAAAACGGGGGATGGCGCCGTGATGTTTACCCACGACATGCCGAGGAGACGACAGCAAACAACCGTACATTCAAACCAGCTGATGTCAAACCGACAACTGGGTCCCTGAATAAGGACTGTGCAGTAGTCACAATATTTCCACGGCTTGTAAAAGTCGCGACATCGGCATCAGGTACGTCTGCTAAACTTACGTAAACGGTAAACCTTTCTATTAATTTAGTGGTCACGCACTTAAAGCCCTGCCACTGCCCTCCAATTCCCTCTCACCTGTCCCGGGAGCGGCTGCGGGAGCGGCGGCTCCGGCGTCTCTCCGACTCCCGGGAGCCGCGGCGCCGCTCCCGCTCGTCCCGCCCCGCGCGGGAGCCGGAGTCGGAGCGGCGGCCTGACTCCCGATCCGAGTCGCGCCGCGGCCTGAAACGGTGACCGAGCTTCCGTCAGGGACGGTGGGATGATAAAGAAACACGACTGTGACCACGTCCTCACATTCATATACGAACTACTAGTGCACGGTAATTGGAGGGAGGTTTCAACCAGAGATCAGATCAGATAGTCAGTCAAGCCAGAAATATCATTTCCCTCTGCAATCCAAACTTCAGAGAATTTTAACGAGGGCTTCTGCATAATCAATAACATGCAAGTCCAGACGGTGCACACTGCACGTTACAAGAATCAGGTTGCCAGCATATTATCGTAAAAGCCACGAAGAAGCGGGTAGCCCAGTTGTCATTTCTGAGACGGAGAGCTCGCATTCTTCAACTTTTGTCGACCCTGGGTCATTGTAAAGCACATGAGACATTAGACAAATAGTGCTCACCGCGCTGTATCCTTTGGACGCTGCTCCGCCGGTGCGGGGGCGGCGGGTCCGACCACCGGTCCGGCCGCCTCACCCTCGGAGTCAGAGTCGTGACCAAAACTGGTGATAAACTCCACCTGAGCGTGAGAGGACGGGGTCGGAGTTAGACACTGGGGACAAGCGGGCGTTCCTGAAACAACTAATAAAGATGGGGGAAATCGCAACAATGAAAGAACTAAATTGTCTGCTAGAAAGGAAAAGACGAGTTTGCTGTCAATCATGGAAGGCATCATTTAAACCTTTTTTAAATGGCGTTTCATTCGTCATTCATCCTCATTCTGAGCCGACTGAATCATACTAAACGTTTAACTTCAACTGCCAAAAATAACGTTACTTTGCAGCATAGCTGGCAGTCTGCGGCGTCAATCGGTCCCTTTCCCTCTCCAATGGTATCAACTATCCGTTTCCTCTCTCCCCCGTCCCTCAGCCTAGCCTCCGCACCTTGCTGGGCGGCGGGCTGGGCGATCGGCTGCGGCTGCCCAGACCGGGCCCCACCGGTCCGGCGTACGGCGCATATGTGGGCGAGCCGCGCGGCGCCGCGTAGCTGGGTACCGCTGCGGCCGCGGCGGCCGTCACTGCCGCCGGCCGGGCGTGCTGCTGCATCTTCTTCTCCTTGAGCAGACGGCGCTCCTTGCGGCCCTTCTTGCCCTGCCGGCGGACGGAGAGGAGGGAGTGGGGAGGGGGGCTGTGAATGTGAAGACGACGTAACAAACGTCAGCGAGCAAGGAACGCTGCATTGGAGACCGATCACAGTGCTACACAAACGGTGGAGCAAAGTGGGAAACAATTTGAGCACAGCGCGGCACTAACTGTGGAACAAAAGGGACAACAGTGATATCCGCTGAAACAGAACCAGTTAACTAAAACATCCCGCAAAACAATGATTTCCAAATTTAATTATCAAATCTTTGACAGTCAACATTAATTTGTAAGCACCGCAAGACATGGAAAATATGAACCAGTGTGCTGTACCTACCGACTACAGACCCGGTGCACTGTGCAGACAGAGAGCCCCTGTACCCCAGTACTCTAACCTGTACCTATGTACCCTGGTAATTCCCCCGGTACTTCCCCTTGCCGTACCGATCCGGTGCGGACGGAGAGCGCCTGTACCCCAGAACCCTGCCCTGGTACCCCTCCCCGCGCTCCGTACCGATCCGGTGCGGACGGAGAGCGCCTGTACCCCAGTACTCCACCCTGTACCCTGTACTCTCCCCATGCTCCGTACCGATCCGGTGCGGACAGAGAGCGCCTGTTTCTCCTCTTCCTCGATGCGCGCCAGCCGCGCCGTCTCCTGCTCCTCCTGGTCCGCCACCAGCAGGTCCATGAAGCCGGTGGAGCTGAGGCTGTAGCCGCGGCCCACCAGGTTCAGCTCGCCGTACTGCTCCGTGCTCAGCTGACTCACGTCCAGCGCCATGTCTGAACAGGGGAGAGGGCGTAAGTTAGGGTCGCTCAGTGACTCACGATACCGCAGATCAGAGGCTCACGTAAGGACAACGCTCAGGTCAAGCCAAGCTTTGACGACCCAGGGAGCAACTTACTATATCAGACGAAAACAAGCATGACAGCACAGCTCAGCTGCTGTGGACATAATATGATTAACTGACTTTGCATCACCACCAAAAATAAGGTCTGACAAAGAAATGTCAACCCTCTTCCCTGGAAGCCCATCATAACTCTACCCTCCGCCATCCATCCCATCCTTACCGAGATCGATATCCTCATCGTCACTCTCCTCCTCCTCATCCGGCGGCGGCGGGGGCGGCGGCGGCGGCTGGGACGGCAGCGGCGGCGCCGTCGGCTCGCCGTCATCGTACACGTATCCGATGGCGGCGCGGGACTCGGCCAGTCGCCGTTTATCCATCTCGGCGTCCCGCCGTCCGGCGGCCTGCTGCTGCAGCAGCGTGCTGCCAAACTGCTCCTCCAGGTACAGCTGGTGCAGGAACTTCTCCTCCGATACTGTAAAGGAGGGGGGGGGGGGGTTATCAGATGGTGAAGGGGGACTGTGGAGATGGGTGGGGGACGGTCACTGGACGGTGCAGGGAGCAGTCACAGCTAGGGGGTTATCGTCTCCGGGCAGAGGGACGGCAATGGTCCCTGTCAATGGACGGCATTTACTGACAGGAGGGATACAGAGACCACGATAAGGGCAGAGGCCAGAACAAGATAAGTGAAAGCATCATTCAGTTATGGGTGTGTTAAGAAGCACAAAATGTGACGATAGATATTTGAAAGATCTTTGGTATCTGATGAAAAATCCTAATGAATTTAGCAGAGCGACACCAAACGTCCTCCCCAGCCCAGCCCTATCCCCACGTCGGTCAGTTGGTACACTTACGTCCGGCGAACTCGTTTTGCACCAGGATGCGGTAGCGCTCAAAGTTGATCTGGTCGGCCTCGGCCTGCTCCAGACCGTCCAGATCGGAGGTACCGGGTGGGGCGCGCACATCGCTGATCATGTCCAGGTGCGCCCGGCCGTCAAACCTGCCCGACAGGCAGACGGAGACGGGAGGTAGGCTATCGTCTGATCATCGCACAGTCCGAGCACCACCATAATATTCCAGTAAAGGAACTGGCCACAAGGAAATTAGAGCAAACTTAAGTATTCGGTACTGGCATAGCTAACAAATCTGGCTTACACCAAAGACATGGAAAGTTGTGCCATTTTTTTCAAAACTGACACTGGTTATAACTAGATGCCTTAGTGATAATAGAGGACCGTATGCGCCTTTATGACCCAGGGCTGCGGTTCAATGTGCTCGTAGTTGTGCGCGGACCTACCTGTCGATAAGGACCTCCGAGTCCCCCTGCCAGGACATCATGCTGTTGGGCCCCTCTGCGGCCATCGCCACGGCCGGGTCCAGGTGGATTTTGCACGGGCGCCCGTGTACCTGTGGTAGGGTCCAATAAACGGTCACTGGAGGGTGGCAGAAGCAGGCGCATTGAGTGGGGTTATTAGAGAGTAGTGGCGACCGACCGAATTCAGGCAGTCGCTGTCCAGGTTAGTGACAGTACTATAGTGGCGAGTATCCGTACTTTGTTTAACGAAGCACAATTCATAAATCGTGAATGTAGATTGTAGAGGGTTATCACCTACCCAACCAATGTAATGAATGTCGCCATGCGGCTCACCTGCAGAAACTGCGTGGGGTCCTGCTTGGTCTTCTCATAGTAGTTGCGGCGCCGCTCGGCCCGCTTTCTGTAGTCGACAATCATACCTTTGACGACGCGCTCCTGGCGGCGGGCCTCATGCCACATAACAAACACACACTCTACCTGAAAAGGTAATGCACGGCATTGTAAGGTCCAAGTATAATATATAAACAGCTGCTGATCCAAAAACACAAATCTTTCAGCACAATTATGCGTATCCCTATTCCTGTCTGGTCTATAAAGGTGCTGAGGTTAGCCTTCGCTTTTAAAGGGGCTGTCGAACCGATCTCCCCACTCGGTTTTTCGCGAATATCTCGCGCAAAAAGCGGGCGATTACGACGAAACTTTCAGTATCATCGAGTCAACCAATTTTACACATACCCTGAAAATTTCGTGACCCTGACCCATATGATATTTGACCTGTAACCTATTCTCGAGACCATGTTTGGCCGGAATCGCGATTCGGCGTACGTCGATTCACATTATCCGCACGTTTGCAGTCTTTTTTTTGTGGTTTTAAACGTTCAAACATGCGATTGAGAAATGATGTCAGTCCAAATCGTTATGGTGGGTGTCAATATCACGTGAAGCTCAGACCAGGTCACTGACCTTTGATGGCCTGGGTTCACTTTTTCGAGTTTTACATGTTTCTACTTTCTAGACTAGTTCTTGGAGCTGATTTTGAATTAAGCAGCCATCTGAATATTTACAATGTAGTTTTGGTGCTTTTATAACATGTTTGATGTTACAAAGCTGCCAGTGGTGGTTGACACCTACTTTGAATAACAAGCAAGACCCTTCTGGTTGACCTGACCTGACTTGACCCGATTTGGCCTAAATGTATGAGGACATCTGTTATCAAAACTAACATGAAATTCGTGAACAGCACCCCCAAAAAAACCATAACAACCTCACATTACCAAGTTCTGACAAGCCTTTTGCAGACTTTTGGGTCATTGACCTTGAAGGTCTTGACCTTGACCTTGAAGGTCACCCACTGACCTAGGACCTTCTGGGAAAACACCAATACGGGCGAGGGTTAAGTCACCCTCCTGCGACCATATTGTATACCCATCACAGGTGCAAGGGCGGCCGTCGAAAAGCACTCAAACCAGCACTAAAAAAGAGCATGAAACGTTTACCACACAATTTCAAAAGACTACTCTTATAACAAAATTGAGCAAAGACGAAATTAACCTCTTAACCCAGCACAGCACCTCAATATTAACCCGCGCCGGGCCGGTGCTCCGAGACTTCCGCGCCGGGCCGAGGGGGGGGGGGTCTTAACAGTGAACACCCCCACTCTAACTCGGCTCCTGGGCCACGTAGCGACACGCGGTAAGCGGCAATCGAAAAAAAACGTCCAAAATAAGGATGAAAACACTTCGTTTCTTTTTGGGTCAGGTCAAAGGTCAGGTCACCAGAGCTCACCAAAGGTAAAATGCTGGCTATTTCAACATTTTGGAAACTGCCGACGGCTATCTCGGGAACCGATAGAGCTACAGCGCCGCGGAAAAGCGCATTCGATAGCTCTTTTAACGCTCTTTCGCCAACATATCCTCAGATTTGACCTCAGGTCAACAGTTTAGCCTTCAGAGACCAAAAACTCCAAAAATAGCTGTTTTTACGAAAAGCATTTGCTCGACAGTAACTTTTGACTCAAAAGAGCCACAACATTACTTTTGCCAGCATCGTGTTCCTCTCGTCGAGACGCTTTGAATGAACAATCCTCAAGTCACGGTCATGACCTGACCGGAAAAGGTCATGTTGCATATCAGTCGATCCGCAACGTCGAGCCGAACACATCTAAGGCGTTTTCAGCGCTCTAGCACGCCTCTATCAGAAGTTATTAGCGAAAAACTGTCAGATTCTGTTCGGGACCTGAGATGACCTTGGGGACATAATGAGGGGTCACAGTTGCCATTTTACGGTTCAGTGTGTCAATTTTACCTACATCTCAATGTTTTAGAGTGTCTAGAATAGCATTCAAGCAAAACAGACGCTTTTCAATTTGCTCCCATTGACTTATACCTAATGGAGAGGCCGCAAATTGACCTGAACTTAGGTCACTGATATCAAAATTCCAAGATATACATTTTATAGATAATGTTGCTCTAATTAATCGCTGAAAGTTTCAAGGCAACCATTCAGTCAGTGTAGCTACGACAAACATTCTTATTTTTTCTGAGGCGAGGTCACTTGGCGTGACCTGGTGACCTGACCTAAGGCGACCTGGGTCTGAAATTTTCACATGTGCAGAAAAGATGCACAAACAGGTGTGCACTGCCGTTTTTTAGATATCTGCAAAAAACCGCAGGGTGTGTGTGTGTTCAAACACCCCTCCCCCGCCCAACGCGGGTTAAGGAGGGGGGGGGGGCACTGCCGACTTTAGGTCCATTCATTCCATGCAACGCCCATAGGGCTAATGTTAAAATGCCTAAATCAAAGAGGGGCACGGTGCCCCGCCCCCGGTGCCCACCCTGTTCCGCCGCCTATGACTTCTATGGTAGGTAATTCCACAACTCGCCAGCGGTTGCTGACCCCCAAATTGCCCTAACAGTGCTTGGTTTCCAAAATTTCCTGCAGAAGCAAAATGCTGCAACACAACGTGCCAAAAGACAACGGCACAAAATACAATGCGTTAGGTAAAAATGTTGCAGTAAACTGAATAAGGACTAATTTGTAGACAAACATGGGGAGGCACCCCAATGCTCTTAAAAAGACACCCCTAACAGCAGTGCCCCCCAGCAAAAAACAAAAAGCTACGCCCCTATGTGGACCAGGATATGTGCGACAATGATGTCTTCAAAAGACAACTTATCAATTGTCAAGTGAGAGCACTGAGTGCTCAGGCTTAGCTCTAAAATATGGCAATCTGACAAAGCTGAATATTTTCCTTTCATCGGGCAGTCCCTGCAGCCCAGCCAATAACCAGCTGCTGTTGTTATGGACTGTGTTAATCACGGTCATATATACCTACACGGTCATTAGATACCCAACTAATTCAATTAAACTAATGAATTGCCAGCAAGCCCAACCAACTCCAAACACTTCACGCGGCGGGCCGGGCCGCCACGCCAAAATAAAATTCCTCTTGGCACAAACGCGGCGCAAAATCAGCTCAAGCAAATGCCTATATATTGACCACTAGTAGCATCAGGCACCAATGTTGCGTCATAAACTAAATTGTATACGACGAATCGCATGAATGATTGGATATTTATTTCCATGCTTTTGATAATTTTTTGAATTTTTATTGATGACGTCATTTTGATTGATAATCTAAGGACGCGTGTATATCACACCACGGTGAGATTTACATAATGCATCGCACTGTAGTGTAAACCTCACCCGGGTGTGATTTACACAATACACTACTCCTGTGTATATCACACCACGCGGAGTGTGATTTACACAGTGGGCCGGCAATGCGTAAATCACACCGGGGTGTGATATACACAATGTGCTCCTAGTGTGTAAATCACACCCGGGTGTCAGACCACGCAGCACCTGGGTGTGATTTACACAGTAGGCCCGGCAAATGCGTAAATCACACCGTGGTGTGATATACACAATGTGCTCCTAGTGTGTAAATCACACCTGGGTGTCAAACCACGCAGCACCTGGGTGTGATTTACACAGTAGGCCTAGCCAATGTGTAAATCTCACCAGGGTGTGATATACACTGTGTGCTCGGTAGTGGGTAAATCACACCTGGGTGTCAAACCACGCAGCACCTGGGTGAGATTTACACAGTAGGCACGGTAACAAGACACTTAACCAAACCTTAGACCTGACCTGACCTAACCTAACCTAACCTAACCTAACCTAACCTAACCTAACCTAACCTAACCTAACCTAACCTGACCTACTGATTTTTGCCTACCCGTGGATGAGGAAGAAGGTACTCGCATGAAGAGATTGCAAGCAATGGTAAGTCAAATATTTTTAGGTTAAGTGGTTGTGCATCAGGCTTCAGGCCTTCGGCCTGAAGCCAGATACACAACCACTTAACCTAAAAATATTTGACTTACCATTGCCTGTAATCTCTCCTAAGGCATTGCCTTCGGCACTGCACCGCTTCGCCACGAGCATTCAGACGTCGCTTTCCATATTGTATTGGTGCTTTTAAACTTGTCGGTCGGCAGCGAACCCACCGCTACCAAGGAAAAGCGAAAATGCGGGAAAAAGCGCCCGCACCGACGGGACTCGAACCCGCAACATTCGTATCATCGTGCAAGCACCTTCACCACTAGGCCAGGCGGTCAGCTGATTCCGAGAGAGAGGACGCCCGGAATCCCGCCGGAATATTCGTAGTGCTTAGTCTGATCTGACCAATGGGCGAGCAGAGTCACTGCTCTGACCAATGGACGTTCAGCGTTGCTATGACGTCACATCGTGGTGAGATATACACACAGCTGCCCTCTCTGTGTATTCCTCACCCGGGTGTGATTTACACTACGTAGTAGATTTTGTGTATATAACACCGGGGTGGGTGTGATTTACACAAATGGCCGGTATTGTGTAAATCTCACCGTGGTGTGATATACACGGTCCCATAATCTAAAGCGTTTACTCTTTAATCAAGGGTCTGTTACACTCCAATCCCTTTAGTTACCTTATTTTAGATTTGAGGATTTGATGACGTATCAAATATTAATCAAATACAACCAAAACAACTAAAGTTAAAAAAAGAACTTGCAGTAAGTCTGTTTTTATATTGTAAGACAACTTAAATGTGGATGAATTGCACAAGAAAAGGCTAACATTTTTCAAACTTAACAAAAATATTTCTTTGAAAAATATTTGAGATTCAAAGATTATGAGCCCAGTTACGTCAAAAAATAAATCCTGAAGAAATGGAATCCCCACGAGGTCTTCTATTCGAATACCTTGAAATAAATTTGTTCTTTTGCGAGCAATACACGCATACAAAACGCAGAGTGCAGACCCCTAAACCCCCTAAGGATTTCGGAAATTTCACAGGCGCGCTTTTTCGTTTGGTGGAGAAGGTAACTGAGGATGTCGATCGATAGTTCTTGGGATATCGAGCAATATCGAAATGAACATGAGCCACCCGAACATTGGGAGCTATGTAAGAACTTCATACTGGCACACAAGAAGGACTTTCCAGAAGAAAAACTTATTTGTTTGGCTCAAGTTTTTGCAAACATGGAGTTTCTTGGATGCAGGTGAGAATTGAAGTAAAGCTCTAAAGTAAATGTGTAGGCATATAAGCATAAACAAGAAAGTTCAAATTTCTCATTCTGTCAGACTTTTTTAATATTTGTTGTAAATAATATCATTCAAGTCACTTTGTACCTACTTTGCCCTGCATGTGCCTTCCCTACATCTGTTGTTTAAACATTGCTGCATTCAGTATCCCAACTATTGGTAATGTAAGGCCCACTGTTGTATGTGGTTTAGATGCTAGTAGGAGATACTTTCAATTTTTATGTCAATGAACGGCATTAGTAACATAACTGATGCACATGCCACAAGTCTATGTATGGCTCCCATTTCCAGCTCCAGTTGTAAGCACACCTACCCCAAATCGCTGCAGACAGGGTGGTCATTTCTGCTGCAGATACCCACAGGAGACCATGGACCTGGTGAATGAGCTGGCTGCCGGTGTGGTAGAGGACTTCCGAGAGCAGAGGAAGTCAAAGATACAGCGCACGTTCATTGGCGCCGCGTCGGCCGCAGAAGCCAAGGTGAAGCGGAGCAAAACACTGCCGCCACCGCAACACATCAAATGACGAACCGCCGGTATCGAACAACGCTGTTTCCTGGGAGCCGGGCTCGGAGGGATTGGAGTGTAGATGTGAGTGCTATTTTATGTCGGGACTCTGAATCTGATGTCTGGGTAACCGCCTACTCGCAGGAGGCCGTCACTGGCTCGTGGAGCTCGGGTTCAAGATCAACTTGTGCTCCTGGTTTTGATGTGTTTTGTCGGTCGCTTCAATCGCGTGACGTTCCTGTCACCATATAGATACTTGTATAATGTGTCTCATGCGTCACACATTTTCACACTGTATTTAACAAATACATGTCATACATTTCGTTCGCGTGTACCCGTTTCCAAATCACTATCGACATTCGATACCTCTCATCGTGACATCTGCCAAGTCGAGCGGGATGGAGGATTGGGTGTCTGGCAGCTGCCCACCACTCCCACACACGCAAATCTAATAACGTGAGAATGTGGGAAGACACTTGAACACAGACTTTTCAACAGATATTTCTAACTCTAGTGAGACGGTCACATGTATGTACCGTCATGATGCGCCGGTACCACCTAACATCTGTCAAATATGCCTCGCCCACGGATCTAGATCGGCAGTATCGTATTGCAACTGTGACGAACAGGGTAGCCTGCTATGCTCATAAGCTGTTGTGTTGAGGCACATATGAGTGTGGCGCTACGCTGATTGGCTTTGGGGAGGGACTGTCGAATGTAGAGCGCTGGCTTTGATTGAAACTCTTACGATATTCGTCTAGTCTCGTAGACAGCCGAGGCTTTAGCTGCGGCCAGCCAACCGCCGAGATAAGGTGTTTATTTCTCTCATGCACCGACACATTTTTTTAAGTTGATGGATGATTGCTAGACAGAAGCCTATCATTTTGATACCTTACTGGTTGAATACCTACTATACCTGAGCGATTTTAAAAAGAAACACGACAGAAATGTTGCAGCGCCAACATGGTCTGAGTAGAATGATCCGTAATTTTATTTATAATCACCGTGCGTAATTTGACCCAAAAGGTAAGCCACCAACTCGAAAACTGTGCCAGAGATCATGAGTTGATCGATAAAGGTCATGTCCGGCAGTCAGATCAATCGACAGTCGATCTGTGTCGTGCTGAATGAACACATCCGAGGTGATACGCCTAGCAAAATATAATATTTACAAAGGGAATTGCTGATGAAATAAGGTTACCTCGTTTATGTCACGGATAATTCATTCATTCTTCGGCATTCAATATCAACCCGAGTCCCGACATAGGGTGGTTGGTTTCGGTCTATTGAACACTTTCGCCCAAGAAGGCGCTGATATTTGATAGGAGTCCGATCGATCCCCGAATTAGGGTCATTGATATTCTACTGCGTTGTTGCTAGCTCAAACAGCAAAAGTAGCAGACCGCCCCCTCTCCCCAAACACAGTGAGCATTCCGAGGCTACGGAGCACCGAAAGAGCGTCAAGCGATGGTAACTGCTAACGTACAGTCGTGAGTGGCTGCATTTCAAAACTTTGTCATTCGCCTGGTGTTATTTCGGGTGTGAACTGCGACAAGTGGTTCCTTCTGATGTCTGACGTCCGCGCGGTTTGGCCGCTTGTCCCCCCCCCCCCCCCAATACCATTACGACTCCCTCTCGAGAATTCGCTTCAGCTTACAATACATAGTTGTAGCGTTTTATCGTTCATTGCAGTTTTTGCAACGATAAATCGCATCTGCATCATTGCTGAGATCGAGCCTGATCACGTTATGGTATAGCAATGCTCGCAAACCCACTGACCTTGAAATAAAACTGGCATGCGTGACGCAGGTTGTTTCGTTAATCAAAAATTTTCATTTAAATTGTTTTGCTATGAAAACAACCGTGCCATTTTGATCGCGGACTAAAATCGTGCGGTACGCCTATCCGCGTAGCCCCCTCTCGCCACATCACGTCTCGTCTCGTTATAACCAACAGTCGCTGAGTGCATCCCCTACACCTATTTCGCCCGACCGAACTGACAGTCCACGGTTGACTTTCAAAATGTATTTTCTCGATTATTTCGCGGATGCCACCGGCAGGCAAGCCGCCCGAACAACGCACCGCTTACTTCAGCTTCTTCTTGGGGCGCACGTGGTTGGTGTGGCCGCACTTGCGCTTGCGGCAGTTGGTCGCCCTCGGGTGGAGGCGAGCGTAGCACTTGCGGCAGATCATCTTGTCGCAGTTGTACTTCTGTGCGAGGATGCGCAGCGTGGGCTCGATGACACCGCCGCGCAGCCGGAGCACCAGGTGGAGGGTGGATTCTGCAGGCAGAAACGGGCGCGCACACTGCGTCAGCGGGGAGAGTCGAGAGCCGCCCGACGGGGATGAACGGTCAACGGGACAACAGTTCGGTGAGCTACTCGCAGACACGTCAGTCAGAGTCAAGGGCGGTGTTTCACGGGCGCTGCTAGCACGACACAAGCACACGTGGCAAATTCGGTTTCCATGGACACATCAACAAAATCGGACGCTCAATCATTGAGACTTGACCGTAACCTATGAAGTCAGCTCGCGAAATGCGCTGGCAGCGTGGTAGCAGCGCGCTAGCAGTGACCATGAAACACCGCCAGGGTGCCACGGTGAATATTACACACTCGCCGCTCTTCAAGTCTAGCGAAAGTGTCACACATTGTCATCCTAACATTGAACCCGATTTAACTTTGACCTGAGATGACTACACTATTGTCAGTGGCAAGCTCCGGGCGCGCCAGATTATTGATAGCGGCACCGGCGTCATCTTCACATAAAAACATCTGATGATCTAACTGAAAAATTTGTCCAGAATTCTGTATATTACCAATTTCTGCCGTTCGATTTACTGGGCCTCCAACGTTAGGCAGAAACAAAATGCATGTTGAGATAAATTGTAACGTTCCTTCTCCTGTCACGTACCTTTCTGAATGTTATAGTCAGAGAGGGTGCGGCCATCCTCGAGCTGTTTGCCGGCGAAGATGAGGCGCTGCTGGTCGGGAGGGATACCCTCCTTGTCCTGGATTTTGGCCTTCACATTTTCGATAGTGTCGGAAGGCTCAACTTCCAAGGTAATCGTCTTACCCGTTAGGGTTTTTACGAAGATCTGCATGGTGGCTGAAACAAGGTTAACATTGACTGTCAGTTAAAGTTAACTCCACACCCAAACATCGCAACAATCAGAAGAGAGCAGTGCTTTTTGGGGACGGGCTAGCTTAGCAGCATTGCAAATGCAAGACCCCCAACTGACTTGTGAGTTGTGTGGGCGACACTTGTCGATCCATTACACATCCGGTGGAGAAGGAGGATATCAAACATGATCCCCAATAATTCCCACTGATTCGGGATAATTCTCCCTAATTTTCCAGATGCCAAACACACGCTCCAGTCTGCAAAACGTGGCAGGGTTCGACGAGATCTCGCCGGGGCAGACAGCGGGGCAGGGGCAGAAATTGGGGCAGAGTTCGGCAATTCCGGGGCAGGCCGTTTGCAGTCGGGGCAATCTGGGGTAGGGTGGAGGCTACCAGTAGAAAAAAAAAATAAAGAAGCAAGCAGTGTTGAAACGCGTGAGACTGCGCCACAATTGTCACTGAAGCGCAGAAATTGTCATTCAAAACTGCTCCCATATTCAAGTTTTCCCATCATCAGGGCTATGAATGTTTTACGCGCCAAGCTTCGTATTAGCAACCAAGGAAAGACGCTACGCGGAGATACTCCTTTCTAACCTAACCGAACAAAATCAAACCTGACCTACTCGTATTCAAACACTCGTAAATGTGCTGTATATCCCTCACGATGGTTGACATTCCGACAAATATCCACTTAAACGAAGCGTGTTAAAACGCCAAACTTTGGCCAAACTGACCAGCCGCTAACCTATGACCTCCAGATTGAAGAGACGAGCACACTCAGCACACTTAAAACTAAGCCACCAAGCTAGCTGATCATCGTTGAGACAAGGTGTAATTACGAGCGCAGCGAGCGAAGCTTAGTCTTTTCGATATAACGGAAAAATCTCAGTATGAGCGGCCCGGCCAGGCCCGGCCCGGCCCGTAACGCTTTTCAGAGGCTTATATCTCAGCAACCGCTGGACCGATTGGCCTGCGGTCTTTTTTGCTGGGTATCCCCATCCCTTCTACCCCGTAATGGACTACTTTTGATACATCTCAGTGACCGTCGTGGCACGTGCCACGTGAAAAGTCAAGGGTGTTCAAGCAGTTTTGCAAAAGTAATGATTTTGAGAGGCCCATATCTCAGCAGCGGCTTGAGCGATTGTCTTGCGATAATTTTTATAGGGTAGCTGCATCCCTTCTACCAAAGGTCGGACACTCTTGATCTATGTGAGTGACCCCTACTGCACGTGCAAAATACAAAAACAAGAGGTGCCAAATTTGTTCCCGTTTCAGTAACTCGGTAATTACTGGGGCGATTTCGCTGAAACTTGGCATACAGGTAGGCACCCACCAGGCAATGCATTCCCATGTGTTGCGGTTAGGGTGCTACTGCACGTGCGCACGTGCAGGGGGCGTTTCCAGATCTCGAGAACGGCTGGGCCGATTGCGCTCAAATTTGGTACACGGTTGGGGACCGGTTAGTAGGGTGCCGTGAGGCTAACTGCCAAGTTGATGCCCCATTTGGAGCAGAATTTGGGCTGCCCAGAGGCTAACTGCCCCATTGGTGCAGGATTCCGGCTGCCTCAAACACCTCAGTTGGGGAAACTACGAGGAGCCAAACAAAAATTGGATTAGCCAATCAACGGCTGGAGTGGGCAGGGCGATGACCATATATGGTCATAAAATCAGACAACTTCATCTTTTCAATGCATCCTAGCATTCAAATGAAAAAATAAGGCAAAAGAATATTTTCTAACCACACAAGGCCCACGCTCACTCGGTGCACAATTAACTGGTGGCTCTAAATCGCAGAGTTACAACACAAGGTCAATCAGTGATTGGCAAATACGGCGGATTGAAACAGATGCGCCAAAAAATGTAAGCAGTACCATGGTTTAAAATGTCGTTATTTATATTATTTTGTTCATGGTGTTTCTAATTGTGGCAAAGTTATTATTTATAAATTAAATATCTTTGTTTATTGTAATTCAATAAAATCTTTTAACAATTTTCTTTCAAAACACCAATCCATTTATTGAATGGCCGGCTGATTCAGATCAGTTGGGGAAACTACGAGGCGAATGTCAAAAAATGGATTGGTCAATAAATGGACTTTTGATGACCATATATGGGCATAAATGCAGCTCCCGCTACTAAGGGTGAAAAACGGTATAACAAGCCGGTACTTGCGGTATCGCGTCCACTTATTGGAGAGAAAAGGCTTCCATTTTTCACCAGGAATTAGTGTGATTTGATTAAATTCGGCGAATTGACTCGAAAATAGCGATAGGAAAACGGCTTTTCTGCAGGTTCTGGGCGTCACAATCAGCTGGCCATTCAATAAATGGATTGGTTTTATGAAAGAAAATTGTTAAAAGATTTAATTTAATTACAATCAACAAAAATATTTATTAATTATAATATAATAACTTTACTATAATTAGAAAACCATAAACAAAATGATAAAAATAATGACATTTTTAAACCACGGTACTGCTTACATTTTTTGGCGCGTCTGTTTCCATCCGCCATATTTGCCAATCACGGTTTGACCTTGCGTTGTAACTCTGCGATTTAGAGCCGCCAGTTAATTATGCACCGGGTGAGTGTAGGCCTTGTGTGGTTAAAAAACATTCTTATGCCTTATTTTTTCATTTGAATGCTAAAATTCATTGAAAAGATGAAGTTGTCTGATTTTATGACCATATATGGTCATCGCCCCGCCCACTCCAGCCGCTGATTGGCTAATCCAATTTTTGTTTGGCTCCTCGTAGTTTCCCCAACTGAGATTGTGACACCCAGAACCTGCAGAAAAGCCGTTTTCCAATCACCATTTACGAGTCAATTCACCGAATTTAGTCAAATCACGCTAATTCCTAATGGAAAATGGAAGCCTTTTCTCTCCGATAAGTGGACGCGATACGCAAGCACCGGCTTGTTATACCGTTTTCCACCCTTAGTAGGGGGGGCTGCATTTATGACCATATATGGTCATCAAAAGTCCATTTATTGACCAATCAATTTTTTATTTTCGCCTCGTAATTTCCTCACCTGACCTCGTCTAGCTGGCTGCCACGTTTTGCAGACTGGCACACACGGAGTAGTGAGATGTAGCCTGAGAGGCACCGGTATCGGTAACCCTGGCGTCACCGGTAGCGTTTTCGTTCAAGGTTAAGGTTTCCTGCATTAGGCAGTATTGGGCCACCGTGCCAAGCCGTAGCATGCTGTGGCGTCACTGGGTAAGAGAACGTACCACGCTATCAGTATCAACTGAGACTCAGATAGACTCAGAACGACTCAGGCAGACTCAAACTGACTCAGACCGACTCAACCGACTCAAATAGATTCCGATCGACTCAGATCGACTCAGAACGACCCAAACTGACTCAGACCGACTCAATCGACTCAAATCGATTCCGATCGACTCAGACCGACTCAGAACGACTCAACCGAATCTAATAGATTCCGATATCGACTCAGACAGACTCAGAACAACTCAGGCAGACTCAAACCGACTCAGGCAGACTCAAACTGACTCACCGACTCAAACTGACTCAGACCGACTCAAACTGACTCAGACCGACTCAAACTGACTCAGACCGCTTAAACCGACTCAAATCGATTCCGATCGACTCAGCCGATTCAGAACGACTCAGGCGGACTCAAACCGACTCAAAACGATTCCGAGCGACTCAGGCAGACTCAGAATGACTCAGGCAGACTCAGACAGACTCAGAACGACTTAGGCAGACTCAAACCGACTCAGGCAGACTCAAACTGACTCGACCGACTCAGAACGACTCAAACTGACTCAGACCGACTCAACCGACTAAAATCGATTCCGAGCGACTCAGACAGACTCAGAACGACTCAGGCAGACTCGGGCCGATTCAGATACTCAGGCAGACTCAAACCGACTCAGGCAGACTCAGATCGATTCCGAGCGACTCAGAAAGACTCAGAACGACTCAGAACGACTCAGACAGACTCAGGCGGATTCAAACCGACTCAACCGACTCAAATCGAGTCAGTTTGAGTCTGCCTGAGTCGGTTTGAGTTTGCCAGAGTCGTTCTGAGTCTGTCTGCGTCGATCCGAATCGATTTGAGACAGTTGAGGAGTCGGTCTGAGTCAGTTTGAGTCGTTCTGAGTCGATCGGAATCTATTTGAGTCGGTTGAGTCGGTCTGACCCATGAAAAAATTCCACAAGAAATCCACAAGAAATATTCTAGTGGAACCACAAGAATGCAGCTAGAGAAGCTCCCACTAGGCCATCTAAAATGTGTAGTGCCTTTAAGTGGTGCAACTAGGAATCCTAGTGGAATTCCATGGAAATTGAAACAAATCCTAGTGGAAATTTTGGACCTCTGTGGTGTCTAATTGGCTAGTGGAATGTAGTGGTCTTTCGTTGGCCTTAGTGGTTTTCTTGTGGACCTTAGTGGTCCTTTCCTTGGGTTTAGTGGATTTCTTGTGGAATCTAGTGGAATCTTTGTGGTCCTTAGAGGTTTTCTTGTGGAATTTAGTGGATTTCTTGCGGTCTTTAGTGGGTTTGTTGTGGATCCTAGTGGACCTATTGCGGTCTCTAGTGGCTTTCTAAGTAATGTAGTGGTCTTTTTGTAGTCCTTAGTGGTCTTCTTATGGATCCTAGTGGATTTATTGTGGTCTTTTGTGGTTTTCTTGTGGAATTTAGTGGAATTGTTATGGTCCATAATGGTTTTCTTGTGGATTCTAGTGGTTCTATTGTGGTCTCCATTGGGCTGTAGTGGATTCTAGTAGACCTACTCCAGCCTGTAGTGGATTTTTGTGGTCTGTAGATGTTTTCTTGCTGTTTTTAGTGGTCCTTGTGAGACATAATATGCCTCACAATAACACACACAATTTATTATATGTGCGAAAGGTAAAATAAATGCAGCAAGAAGGACCTTTTGTAAATCATTACATAAGGATTGTCTTGAAATCATAAATTCTAAATTGTCAGTCATCATGTGCAAAGAGCGGAAATGTGGAATGCAGAAAGAGCCTGTTTCAGGCCATATAATTCTTTAATGACTAGTGATTTACCTTAGCAATTACATGACAATTCTAGAGGAATGATCTATGAAAGGTCTGCTGCATTTATTTTCCCAACCTCTCTAATTTTATCAATGTGAGGAAGGAACTAACACAAAAGTTGTCTGAAAATGATATGTATTCATAAAACTTGCAAAATAGAACACCAATATGCAAACAATGCATCCATATGTTACACAGCAGCTGTACACCAGCTTGGTGGTTAAGTAAATTCAAAACTTATTACATTTATAATGTAATGTTGATAGAGAAAGAGATCATACCAAGAAGGCAGGAACCCAGTTGCAAAGAGATCAGGACAGGTTCATGTTGCAAGGGGATGAGATGACTAAGATGAGTTGAGGGCTATGAGGCATGTCCGATTCCCGGGAACATGTTTCAATGCTTCTTCAGATTTGAACTTCTTGTCTTCTTGAGCACGCCAGGATCGGACTTCATGCTGTGAAAAAAGGAATTAAAAGTTCATTTGGTTTACATTAAAAAAGGCAAAAGGCAGCATAGTTCAAACGACAAAGATTCTACATTGTCCGGTCAATGCCGTTCGATGTTGGGCGGGGCTGGGCCGCGGCTATCGAACGGCACTGGCCGAATGACATAGGTTATCTTTGTAGTCCGCGAGACATTGAATCCGGTCTAATTTAAAAAAGAAAAATACAAAAATTGCTTCAGGTGCCAGTTTTCCCAGCTGAAAAATAGCCGCCTGCCGGCATTTTTTTGCCTCAAGACCGCTATACATACGGAGCGTACCTATACAGTAAAGCCCTATCTGCTTACATGCCTATCGCATTTACGCTCCGTATGTGAAGCGATTTTTAGGCAAAAATTCTGGCAGGCGGCTATTTTTGTTTGTAAAACTGGTCTCAGAGCGATGCAGTGACAAACTTACAATTAATACACTTTTCCTATTAGGCTTTACTTAATGGTTTTTGTCGCTAAAATTTTGTCTAGTCATTTTTTCGTCCATTGTGTTTTCGTAAGACCTATTCCTACCCTAATCTAGCCTAAAGAAACCTAGCCTACCTACCTACCTACCTAACACCTAACCACAAAAAGACGCATAGTATCTGACGAAAAAAACAATGGACGAAAAAATGATCTGACAAAATTTTACCGTCAAAAATGATCCAATAGCAAAGCAATGGATACGTTTTACATATTGCCCATGTAATCAGCCTATGAACTGACAATCACAGATATTTTCAAATTGAAATTCCCTGCCAAAGATGCCCATTAAAAAAGTTGATGCTTATTGCTTACCTTTGTGGTGTCTTGTTATATGAGTATGACCAGTGGGTTGGCTCCACACCAATTACATTGTTATCTGCATTCAAAATATCTACAAAAGATTAGATAGGAATTCACAATTAATAAGCAATTGGTCATTTAATGCATGTAAGATAATAGCCTGCAATTCTCAATGTATGAACCGAATTCCAGCAAATCATCAGCCTGGTCGACAGATACCTACTCAACATTTTGCAAATCAGCAGCTGCAAATATTCAAATTTCAAGTGGGTATTGTTGAATTGTTATGGTGTTGCCATGACAACTCAATTATCATTCAGCACCCCCGGTTGCAAAATCAATTGGAAGCTACCACTAGAGTCCACAAACCACTAAAAAAGTGTGAACAACCACATGCCACTACAATATGTTACTAGATGCCACTAGACTGGCCACTAGGACCATAAGAAACCATTTCACGCCACAACAGACCTCAATAACCACTAAAATATATTTTGTGGTCTCTTGTGGAATTTTTTCATGGGGAGTCAGTTCGAGTCTGCCTGAGTCGTTCTGAGTCTATCTGAGTCTCAGTCGATACTGATAGCGTGGTACGTTCTCTTACCCAGTGACGTCACAGCATGCTTCGGCTTGGCACGGTGGCCTAATACTGCCTAATACGGGAAACCCTAACCTTGAACGAAAAAGCTACCGGTGACGCCAGGGTTACCAATACCAAGGCACCCAATTGGAAGCATGTTTCATGATGCAATTTGAAGTAGAGTACGATTTTAAATTGGAAATTGCGATAAATGCTATTTGTCAGAAAATGACATGCAAAATTACAATAAATTTATTTCACAGAAAAAAAACACGCAAAAAGTAGCTGGGTGACTGTTCATTTTACATCACACAAATAGCGTAAAAAAGGCAGAGATGACCTGAACCAACACTTATAGAAACGAAATTCAAGCAATGAGCACAACTCAAACAAACACGCAAAAATACCTACCAGCCACACGTCGACCACCCCGGAAAAAGAACGCGTAGAGCTGTAAAAGATCATTCCTTTAAATAAAAGCTGTATTTTTAACAGTTTCATGCTATGAGAAAGTTTTCATTTCAGTAATTTAATCTCAATTCAACTTCATTAAATTATGTTAAAAAAAATGGACCAAAAAGGAAAATAATTGATTTAGTCTCCTCTATCAGTGAAAACTTCCGCCGGTCGCCCTTTTTCGTGGCGAAGCGAAGGCAATCACATCAGCCATGGTTTCTGGGGTAAGGATAATGAAGTAAAATGATTTATGGTATAATTTCATAACCATTTTTACCCTTTCAGTCGAATAGTGGTTTCAATGTTGTGATTATTAATTTTGAAGCTCTTAAGGGCGTTCTTGTTGGAAGGGTAATTTTCAGAGGATCGTTGTCCACTGTCCTTGTGATATTTTTGTGTATATATGTATGTATGTATGCATGTATGTATTACAATCATGGACAATCCACACTGACACGGGGCGTGGCAATCACTTTTCGGCTACTAATTTGTGATAAGATCGCGGCTCCTTTTTAGTTAATGATCACTGAATGCTGCCTTTTGCATCCTAGACTCAAAGTTTGATGAAAAGTCATATGCACTGCATCTGGAACGAAAGGTTGGTTAGTTGTGTAAACTTCTGCTAGCCCCAAATGATATATGGTGAAATTACAGACCTCAATCTATCATAATGACACTACAAGATTGAAATGTCACAACATCATGAAAGGAGGCATCACCCACCACATGAAACTGATTGCCGCCATCAATAAATGAATATTTCATAATGTTCTTTTAAAGAGCTTTGGAAGAGGAACTGGAATGACATCTGAACATTGATTTTATGACTATGATATAGATCCCCTGGGCACTGTTTGATGGGGCGGATAAGGAGGACTGATAGTGAGCTGATAGTGAGCCATCAGCCAGTGAGCTAAAGAGCTAGAAGTATATGAGGAGCATGTAAGAGGAGAAGTGGGGACCATGTATCAGGGGCATAGACCTGAGACATTGAGTCACTGTGGGTTGGTCTGAAGTGAAGGTACAAAGTAGGAACAGTCAGAATCGCATCTGATGGGCAGGTGCAGAGCGAAAAGGTTGGAGTGGTAAGGCTCTCTGATTGCAGATATGATGCAAAGAAGTACTAGGATGGTTTTATAAGGACCAGATAGTCCATGGTGGGATTGACTGCATTGATATTTGAGCTGATAGTTGACTGGATGGGTCTGGAATGGTATCTCCATGTAAGGATCAGGAGAGGCAGGACTGGATGTGGCTGTTATAGTGGCTCCATGTAAGGATCAGGAGTGGCAGGACTGGATGGGACTAGGATGGTAGCTCCATGTAAGGATAAGAATCAGGCTGGGATGGTAGCTCCATGTAATGATCAGGAGCGGCAGGACTGGATGGGGCTGTGGTAATAGCTCCATGTCCATGTAACAATCAGGAGGGGCATGGCTGGATGGGGTTAGGAAGATAGATCAATATAAGGATCAGGAGAGGCAGGACTGGATGGGGCTGGAATGGTAGCTCCATGTATGGATCAGGAGTGGCAGGACTGGATGAGGCAGTGGTGGTATCTTTATGTTTGGATTGGGAGAGGCTGAGCTCATTGCTGAAGTGTGGAAGCAGTGCAGGCACAGTGTGCCAGCCTATAGGTATAAGTGGCCAGACTACAGTCATGTCAATGCACCCACTAACCTCATTTAACTGACTTTTTATTATATAGTATATTGATATTTGGTTGAAACATTATTTTTATAAAAAAGTTAAGTATTACCCTTGGCATTGAATTCAATCAATAGTAACTACTAACTAATAACAATTAAATCTCCATTTTTATTTTTTAGTACTATTTCAGTTTTTCTTGTTATTTTTTATTTTTATGATCCAGGATAATGTCATTACCTTGCTGTTTTTCTGTTACAGAAACTCTACACCTACCCGAACAACTTCCGGGCCTACAAGGCTCTGGTGGCTGCCCAGTACTCAGGTGCCAAGGTTGAGGTGCCCAAGGACTTTGTCTTTGGTGAGACCAACAAGTCTGATGCCTTCCTGAAGAAGTTCCCTCTGGGCAAGGTGAGGAACTCTAATTGCACAGATTTATCCAATCTGGCAGTAAGGGAGAATGTACTGTGTATGTTCATGTTCATGTGTAGCATATTCTCCATGTAGTACTTGTCTGGCTGTTTATAGTTTTTTTATACAAATTGTGCTCGAAAGTCGAATGTTTTAATGGACAGACTGGCAGGGCTGGAGCCACTGCTAAGCAGAGATTGTTACTCAACTGTCCGATCACTCATGTTTTGGCAATACGAAAATTAATTGCCAAGGTAAAGGGTGCCCACCAAACCTGGACACAGTCCGTCCCTCTCAGGTGAGCTCCACAGCTCTGCGGCTGCTCGAACAAAGTGCGGACCATCCCCGTCAGGAGTCGCATGATATCGGGCGCCGGAGCAACCCGAGCGCAGGCTCTCACTACCGAGATACAGGCACTACCAATGGAGCTACTGGATTGTCATTTTAACATTCAGGGTAAATGTATTAAAATTAGCTTGTGGATTTTTTTACCATCACTCGTATCGGCGTTTTCCCAGTCGCTGACATACTGGGAGGGGATCCGTGCGAACCCCCAGCTGTTCGGCCTCTGATCCAGCCAGGGCTTCGTGGAAAAGACGAGAGTGCTGCCCGTGGCGAGAGGAAGCTGGTGATATCCAATTTTAAAGTCATTGGTTGATCTTCCAGGTGGTCAACATCGCGAAAATCCGAGACAAAAAATACCAGAACTTCGTAAAATGAAGCAATCGCCATGATTTTTTTCTTCAAATTCCATATAAGTTTTGATCAAAAATGATGTAATCATGCATTTGGTTTACATTGAGTCAGGTCAGGTCAGCTACCTACCTATCTATAGCTGGTGTTCACCATCCCCAACAGTTTCATAACATTGCATAGGCACCTAAAACCAGGGCCTCGTCTAAGGAATTTTCACTGGGGGGGGGGGGGGCAGAGACTGAAGGAGCCAAACCTAGGGTACCCCCAAATCCTGTTTTCTCACCGGATTTAGGCCACTAGTTTTTCGTCACAGCCCTGAGATCATGATTTTTTTAACAAAAACAAAACAAAAGAAAAACAAGCAGGCGATCTGAGGCATACCATAACCCTCGCCCGTATATCATAGCGGGGGGGGGGGGGGGCGGAGTGTCGAACGGACTCCTCTCGGTTTTTCGCAAATAAGTCGCGCAAAAAGCGACCGATTGCGCCACAACTTTCAGTACCCTTGCGTTCATCAATTTCACATCAACTCTGAAAATTTCATGACCCTGACCCAAATGACCTTTGACATGTGAGTTACTTTTCGAGACCAGCTTTAGCTGGAATCGCAATTCGGCCTACGTCGACTCGCATCAGCCGAGCGTTTGCAGTCTTTTCGTAGTTTCAAGCGTTTAAATATCGGATATGATGTTGCTCTCATGCATTAGGGTGGGTGTCAGGGTCTCTGAAAGGTCAGGTCAGGTCATGAACTGATGTCATCTTAGTTCAGTGACCTTGACCTGAGCTTCAAGTGAGCTTAACACCAACCACAGTGTATGGGATGGGAAAGCAATCATTTCACATGTTGGCACGTTGGAAACGCGCGGATAATGTGCGCCGACATACGCCGAATCGTAATTCCGGCGTGATCGTCTCGAGAAACATGTTACGGGTCAAATGTTATATTCTTGGTCAGGGTTATGAAATTTTACGTGATTTATTTGCGACACACCGAGAGTGGAGGTCCATCTAGTAGTTAAGTAGGTATCTTGGGTTCATCCACCCCCCCCCCCCCCCTCCTGTATGGGTGCGAAGGATTATTTTAGGCGTTGATTATGAATGTAGGCAAAAGCTATATCAGACAGGTTTTGACCCTTGCCACAAGGCGCTGCCTATCTGTTCTGTAATGCGCTGGGCTCCACCCTGCCAGCAATCTGCTCCCTGACTCAGTTTTGAGGTAGTCAACTAAGCTACGCTCTGCTTTGTCTGACCGGGCGCCCAAAAACCCCAATTCATCATCATAATCATCATCTGCTTTGTCTGACTATGGAAATCGGCATTATTGGCTCTGGCTGATGGGTGACCAAAACGTGGGTTACGGAACTATTGATCGCACAGCTTTACCTTCCATTCATTGCATTTGGTTAAATTGGTAAAGAGGATGCTGTCAAATTTCCAAGAGATATAAAATTAGGAATTTCACGTTGCGCTTAGAAGGCTTGTTATCAGGGATGCGGAGCCGTGGAAATTTCGGACGGCTCCGGCTCCAGCTCCGGCTCCGGAGAAAAAATCGGCTCCGGCTCCGGCTCCGGCTCCGGGTGAAATGTCATGGCGGCTCCGGCTCCGGCTCCGGCTCCGAGTAAAATGATTCGGCTCCGGCGGCTCCGGCTCCGGCGGCTCCGGCTCCGGCTTCTACTCAGTACATCCCCTATGCGATCAATTAAATACGGGTGGAAGAAAAAAGGCGATGGGATTGGTACACGTTGCTTCTGTATTTGTATAACAAGGCTATTTTGAATACCACATTGTTTTACGCATTGTACTGTCAAACCGAACTAGGTAAATAATTGTTTCCTCTTAAGAAAAGGAGCCGGAGTCGCCCCCTTTTTTGACGGCTCCGGCTCCGGCTCCGGCTCCGGGCTATATTGTTTCACGGCTCCGGCTCCGGCTCCGGGCAAAATATGCCGGCTCCGGCGGCTCCGGCTCCGGCTCCGGCTCCGGCTCCGCATCCCTGCTTGTTATCCTTAGGTCAGGCTGTCCTTTTGACATCACTCATAATATTCATTCGGTCTATTGTGATTTGTCACGTCTTCCTGCCAAAATATTCGACCTCCAGCAACAGGAGCTAAAAAGGACCGCGGAGTTCCTGTTAGTACACGTCGAGTCGCCGACCCCTCATTGTCGGTGCCCTAGCGGCGTTCATCGATTCCACTGACCTGTCACCGCTGCCGCCAGGTGCCGGCCTTCGAGGCAGCCGACGGCACGTGCATTGCTGAGAGCAACGCGATCGCGTGGTTCGTGGCCAACGAGCAGCTGCGCGGGAAGACGGACGCCGAGCGCGCCCAGGTGGTGCAGTGGATGGCGTTCGCCGACTCCGAGCTGCTGCCGGCGGTCTGCGCCTGGACCTTCCCCATGCAGGTCGGTCGGCGACGGCGTCAGCACAGCCGAGTGGCGGAGGACGGTGCTGGCCGCGTGTTGTAGAGTTTTGGGTGGTTGCGGCTTTGGTGCATGTGGTAGATATGTGGCGGATGTGTGTTACTTACTTTTGATTATGATGGGGTTCAAGTTACTAACTCACTGAGGCCGAATATTTGAAGCTCGCAGAACTATGGACTATGACTGGATATTACTAATTCATTGCAGATGTTCCAGACAAAAGCGTTAGGTGGCTTTTCAGAATGTGTGCACATAGTTTATCCCCTACTTTGAGCCCTCCTATTTTGTGCGCTCTCCCCTGAGCGCGCCACTTTGGGCCGGTGGGCGCGCCGTCTGACGGCGTGCGGCGCGTCTGCTCCTGTGTTTCAGTGGGTGGCCGTGTGCTGATGCGCGCCTGTCTGCCCCAGGGTATCATTGCCGCCAACAAGCAGACCACCGAGCGTGCTAAGGACGAGCTGCGCCGCGCGCTGGCCGCGCTCAACTCGTACCTGTTGACGCGCACCTACCTGGCCGGCGAGCGGGTCACCCTGGCCGACATCGCCTGCTGCTGCACACTCCTCTCCGCCTTCCAGCTGGCCATGGACGCCGAGTTCCGCAAGCCCTACGGCAACGTGGTCCGCTGGTTCAACACCATCGTCAACCAGCCGCAGGTACGCCGCGGATGAGGCTGGGGACTCGCTCTTTTTCTTCCTTTTTAAATCTGTTGTTCGCTTGAGCTTATATGAAATGGTATTGAGGCTTTGAACAAGCCACTTTTTGTTCTAAGCAATTGTGATGTGGTATTTGTCTCCTATGATTAGACGATGACGAGGCTGACGGCCGTCTCAGGCAGTATTTGTCTGTGACACGGCTGATGCGACATGAGGCATTTGTATGAGGACCGTTCCATCCTCACCTAACCGTCTGCGGTCGTTCCTCGAGCCCACAGTAACACTCCTTCACTCGCCGCCCGCAGGTGAAGGCCGTCATCGGCGCTGTGACCCTGTGCGTCAAGACGGCCGAGCCGCAGCCGGTCCAGGGCGGCGGCGGCGACGCCAAGAAGGACAAGAAGTCCAAGAAGGACGACAAGAAGGCCAAGGAGGAGAAGAAGCCGTCCAAGAAGGAGGCCGCGCCCAAGGAGGAGGCCGATGCCGCCGATGAAGCGGTGGCGGCCGAGCCCAAGTCCAAGGACCCCTTCGCCGGCCTACCCAAGAGGTGAGACTGAGAGGCTAATGGGGGCACGCCACCTGCACCTTAATGCAGGTGGTCTTCGCGCGGAATGGCAGTAATTATGACCGTGAGGAACATTCGCCATTTGTTTGGAATTGATCGTAATCTATAATGTCGGACATCGTGGTTTAGGTAAATACTTAAAGAATGCGTACGTCGTGACTTTGGGTTTCTCGGATAGCTTAAGTAAATGTGTCCCCGTTTCCCTGTGACGAGACGATGACGAGGCTGACACGCGCCGGTGCAGTCTTTGTGTCGGCGCTGTGTGATGTAACATGAGGCATTTGTCTGAGGGTGAACCCCCGCCGCCCTCTCGCCCACCCGCCGCCTCGGACCCTCCACTGACCCCACCCTCTCTGACTGGCAGCTCCTGGGACATGGAGGACTTCAAGCGGTTCTACTCCAACAACGACGAGGACAAGTCGATCCCCTACTTCTGGGAGAAGTTCGACAAGGACAACTACTCGATCTGGTACAGCGAGTACAAGTACCCCGAGGAGCTCGGACAGATCTTCATGTCCTCCAACCTCGTCGGAGGTAAGGGACGCGTCATATTTTTTCTTTTTAACTTTTCCCATATCCCTCCTCCTACTCAGTGTCTCTGTCAATGCACACATTTGACTTATTTATTTCGTTTTTTCTGGGTAGAGTGTTAAACTTCTTCATGGATTCAGTGTTTCTGATTATGTCCACAATGTCCGCTTGTTCCGCAGGCATGTTCCAGCGGCTAGAGAAGCTGCGTAAGAACGCGTTCGCCTCTGTGGTTGTGTTCGGAAAGAACAACGACTCCTCCATCTCTGGTATCTGGGTGTGGCGCGGACAGGAGCTCGCCTTCCCCGTGAGTAGTCGATTACGGCGGGGCGCTCAAGCCTCAAAGTAGGGCGGGCTTTGTTGAACAGCTTCGCTAGACACAATGTTTGCATAAATGCGAGCTCTATAGTCTGTTCTATATCAAGCTTGCAGTCGGAGTTTCTTCGGCAGATCGCTCCTCCGCTCAAGAATTTGTGTCTTAAAATGCAAGAGCTGTATTTACAGAAATCACGCACTGCCTTCAGCAGGGCACTTCGGCTGCAAACTTGAAACGGAACAGAGTATAGTACAGTAGACAAAATACTGTGTCAGCATTGTTCAACAGCTTCCACCCAGAGTATACTCAGATGCCTGTATTGGCCGGCGCAACGTCGGATCTCACCCTCCCCATAGCCGGGACGCCTTGTAGTGTGCTGACCTCGTGTCACGTCCCTCCCTCCTCAGCTCTCCCCCGACTGGACCATCGACTACGAGTCGTACGACTGGAAAAAGCTGGACGCCAGCTCCGAGGAGACCAAGAAAATGGTGGACCGCTACTTCCGGTGGGAAGGCGAGGACTCCAAGGGCCGCAAGGCCAACACTGGAAAGATCTTCAAGTAACTTATTGAGGTTGTCTGAGAATCATCCTGGCCACCAAATCCACATTCAGTCGTTTTGAGGTGATTTATTGTGTTGTCGGGCCACCGCCCCGGCCGGCGGGAACCGCCAATGATGTCCTGCCAGACGCCATGGTGCCCTGTTTGATACAGAAATACATCTATTGGTCGGACGTGAACAGAGTTTTTGTTCTAAGGGAGGATGGGAAGCGGCTGAGGGACTGGCACAGACCGTCTGCCTTTTCCCTACTGCTGCCTAGACCCTTATCGTAGAGATAACTCAACAACTCAGGTCACCAGATGACGGATGATTATAATCATCCGTCATCTGGTGACCTGAGTTGTGCCTTGCTCCCACAACCTCGTGATCGATGTGTAATTGTTCACAAGTCACTCTGTCGACTGCTAGTTTGCTTTCCCTGTCGGTCATCTTCCTGAGAGGGGAAGGGTACAGGTGGACGCACCAGGACATCACCAAGTCTACAGCTGATGAGAGCTGACGCACCCGACTCGGCCCGGCGATGAACGTCCGCTACCGGGGCCAACCTAAAGCCGACTCCCAGTCCTGCCGCAGCTGATCAGCCGGAGCACCGCCTCTGAGGCACCGGGTGAGTGGCTGCCGAGCTATGGCGGTGGGGAGGGATACGATGGGTTCTGGGTTGTGTTGAACGGGATTTTCCATTTTTGATCATGTGTTTCTGTGATTAGACGATGACGAGGCTGACGCCCGTCTCAGGCAGTATTTGTCTGGGACACGGCTGATGCGACATGAGGCATTTGTATGAGGATATCGTTCGACGTGGATGTGGGGTTTCCGTCGTGAACGTGACTGACGGAATGCGTCTTTGGTTACAGGACCGGACAAACCATGTTACCATGAAAGCTACACAGAGCTGCGACTGTCCGGAGACGATCTGCAAGCCTTATCATAGCAGGTCAGTTATTGCGCGACTTTTCAGTTTTGCTATTTATTCGTTCTATTGCCATCAGGATAATTACCTCGCGTTTCTTCCGAATTTTTATTTGATTTCGGGTCAGTTCTGTACTTCCTATGATTAGACGATGACGAGGCTGACGCCCGTCTCAGGCAGTATTTGTCTGTGACACGGCTGATGCGACATGAGGCATTTGTATGAGGACTTTTACTGGCCCGTTTGACTATTGTATTCTTGTGTGGCATAATCCTGACCTTATATTTGTTCTTTGCAGATGTTTTCCCCGTCCCTAGGAAGTACCTACGACCTCTGCCGATGGCCTCCGACCAGTCACGGAAATTCATGATGCCGGTAAGCATCGACGCCTTTACCAGAAGTTTTTGGTTAAATTTTGGAAAGTGATCCAGCTTTCGATGTGTCACACAATTATTTAGAACAAGTTGTTGCGTTTTATCAGGCTCACCCAACCAGGAGTCGACATTTTCGTTCGTGTATTCTGATAAGCGGATGGTAAGAAACCGCGAGATAAACTCGCTTTCTTCCGCGGTAGTAAACGAGACGCTGCCATTCGCGCTCCGAATCTCCACTGATTAGACGATGACGAGGCTGACGCTAGTCACAGGCAGTATTTGTCTGTGACACGGCTGATGCGACATGAGGCATTTGTATGAGGACTAACTCATTCTAGTCTCATCTTTAGCTCTGTCGCCATCACCTGACGTTTGTGAACATGCTCTGCCCACAGGTGCGTTTCCGTCGGTGACTCCCACGGGCCGCACTTATGTGTACAACGACCAGCGCACAGGTCACGGAGTACGAAATGGGCGCGGTAAGTAAAACTACGGACGGACGTGGCTTATATTAGCTTTTTTCAGTGTGCGTAATGATTGGGTTGTATATTATCAAGGACCAAGCGTCCCAGAAGGATATCGATGAGATTAGTTCAGATGAAACATTGAAGCTCTCGCGCTTCTTTCTGACATTGCCATAGGCGTCGCCAGAGATTTTCGGTTGGGGCAAAATAAACTTTTGTGTTAAAACTTGCCTTTCCCCAGTCTTTACTCACTCGTTTTACATATCATTCGACGCGCAATGGTGCGAGGAATCCGATGGTGACAAAGGTTTTCTTCTAGCTATGACGTAATTTTTTTTACAGAAAAAATCGAAATTTTGAAACTTCATGACAAAAACGACTGGTAGAATCATAGTATATTGTGGCTGCGATTGCCGACGCGCTGCAGAGGGCCCCTGTGTAGACGCTCGACGCTCATGATCATTACCCAGAAAAAGGTGAAAAACGCTCCATTTAATCGGATCACCCTGCTAAAACCTCCATTCACGCATGCATGCAGAATTGCAGAGGTTTTACGTGAAATGCATAGGACGTATCCCAGCCACCGATCGTAGCTAAGTTGGGCATTTGGCGGAGAGTGAATGTCGGAAGTGTGAATCGGAAGTAATTCATCTTTGCTCAAGTGAGAGGAAGTGTTTTGTTCACTCGAGTGTGAACAAAAGTTTCTCGTTTTTTGTGTGAAGGGAAGCGCTGCAAACGCGAACAAAAACTGTTAAACGGAACCAAAAATTACGCACGGCATAGCGGCAAGGGATCCCTTAGAGATAGGTTTGGGACTTCCAGGCCATTTCAGGCCACTCAGGGTCAGTGCTGACTCTCAGAAGCATGCTTAGGATCCCGGAGATCGGCGTGGGTCACCTCAAATATTTACGCGTACGTGGTGCTTTAGGGCTTTCCGAGCCTAAGGTGGGGCCCTCAGAAGCCAGTGTGGGCAGCGGGCGCTAAGAGACTAGGCCCAGGGTGAGTCTGGAGCCCTCGGATAACAGTATGAACCCTCGGGGTCTGTGTCGAATCCCTAAGGACCTTACGTAGGGACATAATAAACATGTGTTGCGGACCTCAGAGGGACACGTGAGCTGTGACCCCTCAGATGCCGGCTTGGGGTTAGCAAAGTCTGTCGCCTCAAAAGTTTGGCTGAACTATCAGAGGCCAGTTAAGGTTCTCAGAAATGTTCGAATGCTCAAAGATCCCTGTATGGACCCTCAGAGAACATGGACGCCAGTGGGACTTTCAGAGGCCCGTTTGGGCCCTCTGAAAGCTTTTTTAGGGCTCAATGAAGCTCCTTAGGAGCCTTTGTTTAAAGCAAGCTAATGATTCCTGCGACACTTGTACGGTACTGGAGCCTGTCGCAGACATTTGACGAGAGTTGAGAAAGGCCCCGAAGATTTCGTTTCACGCTTTGAACGAAAATTGTGTCAGCACTCCAAAACTTATGAAAATCAGCTGTAACATTGATAAAGAACGAACTAGGAACATGGAATGAATCACAACATTGACATTTCCGAGTCTGGATTCGGAGTCTTGAAGATTCTCAGTATTTCTCAGCCCGTATATCTCAGCCCGTCTCAGGCAGTATTTGTCTGGGACACGGCTGATGCGACATGAGGCATTTGTATGAGGATATCGTTCGACGTGGATGTGGGGTTTCCGTCGTGAACGTGACTGACGGAATGCGTCTTTGGTTACAGGACCGGACAAACCATGTTACCATGAAAGCTACACAGAGCTGCGACTGTCCGGAGACGATCTGCAAGCCTTATCATAGCAGGTCAGTTATTGCGCGACTTTTCAGTTTTGCTATTTATTCGTTCTATTGCCATCAGGATAATTACCTCGCGTTTCTTCCGAATTTTTATTTGATTTCGGGTCAGTTCTGTACTTCCTATGATTAGACGATGACGAGGCTGACGCCCGTCTCAGGCAGTATTTGTCTGTGACACGGCTGATGCGACATGAGGCATTTGTATGAGGACTTTTACTGGCCCGTTTGACTATTGTATTCTTGTGTGGCATAATCCTGACCTTATATTTGTTCTTTGCAGATGTTTTCCCCGTCCCTAGGAAGTACCTACGACCTCTGCCGATGGCCTCCGACCAGTCACGGAAATTCATGATGCCGGTAAGCATCGACGCCTTTACCAGAAGTTTTTGGTTAAATTTTGGAAAGTGATCCAGCTTTCGATGTGTCACACAATTATTTAGAACAAGTTGTTGCGTTTTATCAGGCTCACCCAACCAGGAGTCGACATTTTCGTTCGTGTATTCTGATAAGCGGATGGTAAGAAACCGCGAGATAAACTCGCTTTCTTCCGCGGTAGTAAACGAGACGCTGCCATTCGCGCTCCGAATCTCCACTGATTAGACGATGACGAGGCTGACGCTAGTCACAGGCAGTATTTGTCTGTGACACGGCTGATGCGACATGAGGCATTTGTATGAGGACTAACTCATTCTAGTCTCATCTTTAGCTCTGTCGCCATCACCTGACGTTTGTGAACATGCTCTGCCCACAGGTGCGTTTCCGTCGGTGACTCCCACGGGCCGCACTTATGTGTACAACGACCAGCGCACAGGTCACGGAGTACGAAATGGGCGCGGTAAGTAAAACTACGGACGGACGTGGCTTATAGAATCATAGTATATTGTGGCTGCGATTGCCGACGCGCTGCAGAGGGCCCCTGTGTAGACGCTCGACGCTCATGATCATTACCCAGAAAAAGGTGAAAAACGCTCCATTTAATCGGATCACCCTGCTAAAACCTCCATTCACGCATGCATGCAGAATTGCAGAGGTTTTACGTGAAATGCATAGGACGTATCCCAGCCACCGATCGTAGCTAAGTTGGGCATTTGGCGGAGAGTGAATGTCGGAAGTGTGAATCGGAAGTAATTCATCTTTGCTCAAGTGAGAGGAAGTGTTTTGTTCACTCGAGTGTGAACAAAAGTTTCTCGTTTTTCGTGTGAAGGGAAGCGCTGCAAACGCGAACAAAAACTGTTAAACGGAACCAAAAATTACGCACGGCATAGCGGCAAGGGATCCCTTAGAGATAGGTTTGGGACTTCCAGGCCATTTCAGGCCACTCAGGGTCAGTGCTGACTCTCAGAAGCATGCTTAGGATCCCGGAGATCGGCGTGGGTCACCTCAAATATTTACGCGTACGTGGTGCTTTAGGGCTTTCCGAACCTAAGGTGGGGCCCTCAGAAGCCAGTGTGGGCAGCGGGCGCTAAGAGACTAGGCCCAGGGTGAGTCTGGAGCCCTCGGATAACAGTATGAACCCTCGGGGTCTGTGTCGAATCCCTAAGGACCTTACGTAGGGACATAATAAACATGTGTTGCGGACCTCAGAGGGACACGTGAGCTGTGACCCCTCAGATGCCGGCTTGGGGTTAGCAAAGTCTGTCGCCTCAAAAGTTTGGCTGAACTATCAGAGGCCAGTTAAGGTTCTCAGAAATGTTCGAATGCTCAAAGATCCCTGTATGGACCCTCAGAGAACATGGACGCCAGTGGGACTTTCAGAGGCCCGTTTGGGCCCTCTGAAAGCTTTTTTAGGGCTCAATGAAGCTCCTTAGGAGCCTTTGTTTAAAGCAAGCTAATGATTCCTGCGACACTTGTACGGTACTGGAGCCTGTCGCAGACATTTGACGAGAGTTGAGAAAGGCCCCGAAGATTTCGTTTCACGCTTTGAACGAAAATTGTGTCAGCACTCCAAAACTTATGAAAATCAGCTGTAACATTGATAAAGAACGAACTAGGAACATGGAATGAATCACAACATTGACATTTCCGAGTCTGGATTCGGAGTCTTGAAGATTTTGGCTACTGCGAGCCAGACTCTGGTTTAAACTGCACGCTCCAACCGAGTCTGACCTCACAGACATTCTCAGAAAGGTACCCCCCCCCCCCATTTTTTCCCGACTCCAAAATCTCATCGGATCTGTATCGATCTCAGGGGGTGCCCGGTCCGAGCCGAGGTTGGAGGGCAAGCTGCCCCGCTTGACCCCCCCCCCCCCCCCCCCCCCGTGGCGACGCTAATGGACATTGCACTGCTTGGGATTCCTATGATTAGACGATGACGAGGCTGACGCTAGTCACAGGCAGTATTTGTCTGTGGCACGGCTGATGCGACATGAGGCATTTGTATGAGGATATCGTTAATCGCGTATGTAGCGGCCTTTCTCCTCGCCTGTGACTGACGTGGGTGTGTGTGTCTGGTTGCAGGTGACGGGAATGCAATGCTGCCGGATACGCAGTGATAGGAGAGAACCTGTCACTAGCTCAACGGCAACAGGTTGGTTCTTATTCACGCCACTTAATCGATTGTTTTAATGCGTTTTGGATTTAGGTTTAGGAATGTTAGGAAACGTGAATATGATTTTCTCCCATGATTAGACGATGACGAGGCTGACGCCCGTCTCAGGCAGTATTTGTCTGTGACACGGCTGATGCGACATGAGGCATTTGTATGAGGACTGTAACTCTGGCTTGACAACTCAATCGTTCGTTCAGCCGTCCGAGTGTAACGCTGTTCCGCTCTGTTTCAGGACGCTCCCAGACACTGGCGAGAGTCATCTGGGACGCGCCGACGCACTGCAGTTTCATCGTGGTGTCTCCGGCTGGACGTCATAGGCAGGTCCCGTGACCCGTGATAGACACGGTGTTGATAAGGGTGTTGGAATGGGACGGGTACGATCACGACGGGGTGTGGATTAGGGTGTGTCGATAGTCGCAGATTCGCGTTAGACAAAGATATAAATTGGCGCGAGCATGCCAAAACACTAGCCCTGCAGTTGGTTTTGCGTAAAAATGCGATTTGACGAGGCTCGGGCAGGTCGAAGTTACAGCGAAAAAGTCGCAGTCGACGGTGCTGCCACCTACATTGCCAATAACGGGCACTATCAAGTATCATATCGTGATAATTGGGGTAGTTTCAAATGAGAAATGACTTCTATTTTTAATCAAACTGCTTAAGAAGAAATAAAACTTTTCGGAAACACACATTTTTCCCAAATATCGCGTTCCATTTTTTCCTGTTGAGTTGTTAGGAAAGTGGTAAATTTCAAGGTTGACGGCTAAAAAACGAAACAGGAGGAACAGAGCAGGAATCACCAAGACGTGTGCCGCGCCGGTGCTGTAGCCTGTAGATAAGGGGTGAGCAACAGAACCAGCATACCTAACGATTTTGATTACTGATAGATATTTTTCTCTAAATGGAAGACTATTAGTAACAGCTCAGGCAAGCCTTCTAATATAGGTATCGACAGGGTTGCGGTAAAAGGTACAATCGATGGCACATTACAATTATTCTGAGTTGGGTAACAACACTCTTCAGATACCTACCATCAACAACCTCACTATCTCCTATATGGGAGCTATATCATCTGATTCCAGCGCCCTGAAAACAAACAGGTTATTACCAAAAATCTCTATATTAGCGCCTACCGACATACGCTGAATGACGCTATCAATACCCGACATTTGTAAAAGGTGATTCGCCACACAGCCCGCCGGCGTCTGAGGGGTTGAATAAGTGAGCCAGATTGCCAGCGACTCACCGCTGAACTACCGGGCATAACAAAACGGACGATGCGACATGACTCAGAGATCATCACAGACGCAACGAAAAATGTAACCGAAGTCCATCTGAGCTGTTGTTGTTGTTGTTGTTGTGTGTTCCCTCCAGCCGCGTCACCGCGGTGTAGCCGTGCGGCTCTGGAGGTCCCTCACGGCGGCCGCCAGGGCCGCCACCTCTCCGTCGTCGCGGACGTCTTCCGGGTTCAGGAAAATCGTTCCGTACATCCGGAGACGCCACCCCATGAGGGCCGGGCACCGGAAGAAGAAGTGCCGGGGCGTGTGGCCTCCTCCCGGCACACGGTGCACCGGCCCGCCGCACAGTCGGTGTCAGGGCACTGGCGGCAATCATCGGAAGGGTTCCGTCCAATCCGGTGAAGGTACTGGCGGGATCCTGACCAGTGGCCCGCGCGGAGCTGGTGGACGTCGACGGCCGACGATCTGTCCCCCGTCGCGGCCGGCGGCGGCAGCCGGTTCTCCATCAGGGTCCGGTACCAGCCCTCCGGCCAGGCGGCGATGGTGCGGTCGCGGGCCAGTCTGGCGGCCGCGCGGTGGGCGGTAGCGACGTCCACCGGGACCGCCGCCTGGGGGAGCGCGGTCGCCTCCTTGGCGATCTGGTCGGCGCGCTCGTTTTCGTCGACGCCGCAATGGGACGGCACCCACTGTAGGTGGATCCGGCGGGACGGACCGGCCAGGGCCGCTAGTTCGGTCCAGATGGCGGCTCCTAGCAGGGTCTTCTGGGACGCCGGGCCCTCTCTCAGCGTCGCGAGGGCCGACCGCGAATCCGAGCAGATGGTGATCGGCGCGCTCGGCTGGTGCGGGTGGTCGCGCAGGTGGTTCAGGGCCGCGCGGAGTGTGACCATCTCCGTCCTGAAGCTCGAGCAGAGTTGACCGGCAGGGACGCGTAGCTCGTCGGTTGCACCGTCCGGCCACTCCACAAAGGCTCCTGCTCCTCCGCTGCGGACTCCCGCATCCGCCGACCCATCCGTCCAAACCCAGATGGCTTGCTGGGGGAGGGACGCTAGGTGTCTCTGCGCCGCCTGGTGCAGTTCGTCAGGTGGGGCGTCCCGCCGCAACGCTCCGATGTCAGGGAGAATGTGACGTGTGGGCAGGCGGCCACCTCCCACGGCGGCGCGCGGGCGGGCAGCAGGGGCTCGATCGTGAGCACGATCCCAGCAGCCCGCCAGGTGTCGTGCCCCACCCCGCCCCATGATCCCATCTGAGCTCGTGCGGAACCCTCGTTCAGATACGTAATATCGCTATCTGCCACCTCGCGGTTCCCTTGTCAAGCCGAACTCATAGGCGGCGGAACGGGGAGGGCACCGCGGCACCGTGCCCCCTTTGATTTTGGCATTTTAACATTAGCCCTATGGGCGTTGCATGGAATGAATGGGACCAAAAGTCGGCAGTGCCCCCCTTAATTGAAGGTATTCCGCCGCTACTGGCCGAACTGATGACACGCAATGGCCAGTCAGTCACAGCTCAGCTTCCTGCGGAACACAGGAAGACACATTCAGTGAGAGTCGGTGGTCATTGATTGTGTCAATATTATTGACATGGTGACTAAAGAACGGTTATATTGCGCCAATACTGTTGCCAGTAGCAGCACCACCAATCTTTTGAACTAAAACCACTTGACATCGGTAAAAAGAAACCCTCTAGCTTTTTTTTCAAGCAATCCGTGAAATAGAGGGGATTAGAAAAACCGAAAACCCAAATATTAGCACTAGATAACATAGATCTTAAATTTTGGCCAACATTTTTAAAGCATAGGTACATCAGAGGAGCTGTTTGCGGCTTACTGTCCCGTCTGTGATGATCTCTGAGTCATGTCGCATCGTCCGTTTTGTTACGCCCGGTAGTTCAGCGGTGAGTCGCTGGCAATCTGGCTCACTGATTCAACCCCTCCGACGCCGGCGGGCTGTGTGGCGAATCACCTTTTACAAATGTTGGGTATTGATAGCGTCATTCAGCATATGTCGGTAGGCGCTAATACAGAGATTTTTGATGATAACCTGTTTGTTTTCAGGGCGCTGGAATCAGATGAAATAGCTCCCATATAGGAGATAGTGAGGTTGTTGATGGTAGGTATCTGAAGAGTGTTGTTTCCCAACTCAGAATAATTGTAATGTGCCATCGATTGTACCTTTTACCGCAACCCTGTCGATACCTATATTAGAAGGCTTGCCTGAGTTACTAATAGTCTTTCATTTAGAGAAAAATATCTATCACTAATCAAAATCGCTAGGTATGCTGGTTCTGTTGCTCACCCCTTATCTACAGGCTACAGCATCGGCGCGGCACACGTCTTGGTGATCCCTGCTCTGTTCCTCCTGTTTCGTTTTTTAGCCGTCAACCTTGAAATTTACCACTTTCCTAACAACTCAACAGGAAAAAATGGAACGCGATATTTGGGAAAAATGTATGTTTCCGAATTGTTTTATTTCTTCTTAAGCAGTTTGAACAAAAATAGAAGCCATTTCTCATTTGAAACTACCCCAATTATAACGATATGATAGTGCCCGTTATTGGCAATGTAGGTGGCAGCACCGTCGACTGCGACTTTTTCGCTGTAACTTCGACCTGCCCGAGCCTCGTCAAATCGCATTTTTACGCAAAACCAACTGCAGGGCTAGTGTTTTGGCATGCTCCCGCCAATTTATATCTTTGTCTAACGCGAATCTGTGAGAAAACCCCTCTGTCGACACACCCTAGTGTGGATGGGAGGTGGTGCCGGCAGGGGGGGGGGGGTGCGGGCGGGGTCGGTTGTAGGTTGGGTTTCGTTTGGGATTTACACTTCAAGCGGATGGCTGCTTTCGGGTGAGTAGGTTAGCGGCAACAGCATAACCGGGGTGCCATCCCCCTATCAAACAGCATTGGTTATGCCCCACAGGGAAGCCTGCGGCTGATTAATTTACTAGGGGGGGGGGGGGGTCTGAAATTTGGCCAGAGTCTTGGCCAAAGTTCAGGGGTGCCATCCCCCTTAATATGATTGGCGGATTTCAGCAATCAAATAATCAAAGGGCTGTTGCATATTTTCAAAGGCAATTACAATCTGATGATTCACGATGCCACCTTAAAAAGACTGGACTGGTGGAGTATTGTTTCACTGTGTTCAAATTTGTTATAAAAAATCGCAATAAAGACACAACGGCAAATTGTCATTTTATTGGATGTGTATACGATAGTTAGATGAAGATCATTTTAACATTTTACACCAAACTACCCGTCTGTCTCACAATCAGGAATCAGCAGATACCAAAGGGCCAAACACCCATACACCCGCGCGGTAGCACTCATACCGTACTAGCCCGTCTGTGCCAGTCCATTGCGGCTGCTCCTTCGCCAGTCAGCTCTCCGCCAGTCTCCTCCCTCCTCAGAGGAAGAGCGCTGAGAGGTCGGGCTGGGGCTCGGGCTGGAGCTCCTCCGGCTGAGGAGTGGGATCGGTCACCCGGCCCAGGAACAGCACTGCCGAGGAGCTCATCTCCAGCACGGCGAACGCGAACGGCCGGTCCACGACGAATGGTCGGATCGGGTCCGGCACGCTCCGGAACAGGTTCACGAACGCTGCCGGGACGGATCAGACTAGGTCAGCGGGGCACGGGGGTGGGGGACAGGTCAGCACGAGGCAGGTTCACGAACGCTGCCGGGACGGGTCAGACTAGGTCAGCGCCCATCGGAGCACCGAATGGGGCACAGCTCAGCACAGGACAGATTCACGAACGATGGCGGGCCGGGGCATGGGTCCAGAGAGACATTAAACAGGTTCACGATTCACGAACGCTGACGGGAGGGGTCAGAGTACTCAGCGGGGCGGGATGGGTTAGTCTGGTCAGGGAGGGACGAGACGAGTCAGGTTAGCCAGGGACAAGTCAGGTCGCAGCACGGGTAACTTATCGAACACTGCCGTTTTGGGTCGTGGGCCAGCTAAGGGTCGAGGCGGGTTAGTCGGATCAGCCAACAGGATAGTGAACACATCAAACACAGCCGTTGGGGAGGTGCACGGCCGGAGCGGCACAAACTGGTAGCGTCAACAGGCTCCGAAGTGCATTGTGGACGACTAAATAAGCCTCGGGTTTCGGGCTTCTGGCATGGAGATGACGATGCGATAATACCCAGCTCGATCGTTACCGGTCGGCGCTGCTGCTGTGGTAGTTTGGGCAACCAGTTGCACACGTTTTCCGGTTGCATGATGCTTGCATGCAAGTTTCCGAGCTAACTGCAAACGTATCCGTATATGGTGTCATGTGGTTCACCCACTTCTGATGAACACCCAGCACCAGTGTAACTGGTGACTGAATGCGACACCCATTGCCGGTGTAACACCCCACCCAGGGGTCTACACTACACCTGTGGTGTAGCGATGGTCTACTCTCACCTGTGGCGGCGGCCGCCTCTGTCCCCTCCTCGCTGACGCTGAGCCGCGCCTTGTGGACGGCCGTGCTGATGGCGGCGCCGCGCTGACCGGTCACCCGGGTCATGTTCACCACGGCCGGGTCAAACAGGTCCCTGACCCCGAGCTGTGGGGAGGGGAGGGGTCACCCGGGTCATGTTCACCACGGCCGGGTCAAACAGGTCCCTCACACCGAGCTGTGGGGAGGGGAGGGGTCACCCGGGTCATGTTCACCACGGCCGGGTCAAACAGGTCCCTCACACCGAGCTGTGGGGAGGGGAGGGGTCACCCGGGGCATGTTCACCACGGCCGGGTCAAACAGGTCCCTGACCCCGAGCTGAGGGAGAGCCGGGAGGTCTCATTCACACAGCAGGTCCAGTTACGCTGGAGCCAAAAGGAGAAGAGATGAAATGAGCGCCAACCAAGAAAGGTTACAGAGAAACATTGCTTCGTTTTCACGAAGTAGAGAAATGGCTGCAACGTTTCCAACAGCAGTTATGGCGTCTGCCGCCGTTTCTTTTGTACGTTTACGCTGCGTCGCTCGTCGATGACAGGATTGCGGGCTATCATTGCTCCACTGCTTTCCTCAGTAGTGTTGCGGTCACAGCGCCTGTGAAGATCAGCGGAGGACGTTCTCACCTCGATCAGTAGTGGCTGCAGATCCAGCTCCGACTCGATGTCAAACTTGGGCATCTTGACCAGCACGTCACCGAGCCCGTCCAGCTTCCGCAGTGTGTCCGAGATGACAGTCATGTTGAGGGCGGCCACCAGGGAGTCCAGGCCGGCCGGATCGTTCGGCAGCAGGATCAGCATGCCGAGCTTCTCACCCTGTGGAGACATAGGTACGGGTTACAGCGGCTGAACAAAAGGGTCAGTGTCTCGCTGCGTTATTGGCTGCGTATCGTCAAAGGGACGGACACAGCTGGGCGAAATTAAAACTTACGCAGTCTATAACTGTGGCGTGGATTGACACCAATTTGGAGGGCAGTTGTTGAATTTGAAGGGCAACAACCCACGGAACGGTTGTTCTTATGCTCATTCAACTGTTCATTACGCTATGGCAGCATACTCGCTATGATCCGCGATCGTTCAGTGTTTTCGGTGCCAGTTGATTTCCACATACGCTTGAGGAGGGAACGAGCATCATGTCACTTCGCCTGACCCATCGTCCCCTCTGCCCTTAGCCGCATCCTGACCTTGTACGGCAGCAGCAACGCCCTAGCGTTCAGCTGGTACAGCTCTGCTATGGGGAACACCTTCTTGGTGCTCATCATTTGGACCTGCCGCGGTCCGGCCGGAGACTGGAACACCCCCTCAGCGGTGGCCGCCGCGTCAAACTGCATCAGCCAGCTGCCGCGGAAGAACACGGCGTTCGCCAGCACAAACTGCGTGTCCTCGCTCAGCATGTCTGCAACAGACGAGTGGTAACGTCACTGGGGGATATAGGGACGTCACTGGTGAATGGATTCGTGGGATAGCATTGAGGGATTTTACGAGGAGGGGCTCATGATGTTGAATTCCCTGAGGAACTGGGAGTTAGGGCCAGTATGTTGTGCGTTACGTTATCGACGACGGGTGGTCGTGTTTGGTTTGGTTATGAATTATGGTCAAATTAGGCCTTAGTAGTTTAGCTGACCTCACAGATTAGTGATGAAATTAATGTTTACCTTCTAGAAGGCACGCTTGATGACACGACCCTTTGGTTATTTGGGAATGTATCCACGGTGTATCTTATAGAGCAACCAGAAACGTAAACAGTCTGCACCGAGCAGTGCAGAAGGCACGCGGAAATTTCGGTCTGGCCACAGTCCAGAGGGGGCGATTGACGTTTGCTACTGCGGGGCAGAGCCCACACGTCAGCCAGTAGCTGTATACATTTGGAGCGGCAGCTGCACACTGCAATCGCTGCGCACACTTGGGTAAGATTCACATGGTTCTTTGGATTTGATATGATAGTCTTACCGTCCCCCTTTTAGCCTCGAGCCCAGCTGCCTGTTATGCAAATGCATATCTCCCGCCGTATTTTCGCAGTGACTGTCGAATCCAGCGCCCATAGCACTGATTGGCGGCTGCTGCGGTGACCAAACTGAATTAACAGGAAACCCGTCCGGTTACAGTAAACAAAACTAGCCCAGCAGGGTACGGGGTCTGAGTCAATGACACGTCTGCTTTCGTCTGCCTACAGGAGTTCTCTGAGCCAGCTTTACCACTACATCTGCCAGCAGACCCCTTTGCCATCATAAACCCAAGGCATTGCCTGGCGTGAACACAGGCATTGCCTAGCGTGAGAATAGGCCTATGCTACAACTAGGGGTCCTGGCCCTGCATCAATATTTATTATCTTGATCTGTGTAACACGGATGAGACGGCTAGATCGCGCCCATCTGCCCTCGTCCCCCCCCCCCCCCGCTCACCGGAGCTGACGAGGCTGTCTATGACGCCCTGCGTAGCGTTGTAGAAGCGTCCGTTGATGATCTCTGCGGTCAGATAGGGGATGTCGAACGGCACCGAGGTCACAGTCGAGTTGAACATGCCGCTGGCGTAGCGCGGGAACTTGGGGTTCAGCGGCAGCTCCTCCGACGTGAACAGGTCGCTGACAATCACCATCTCGATACCGTCACGCGCCAGCTTCTGTGGATGACAGAGGAAGCGTGAGGTGAGGTCCTTTGAGAGATTCTGTGGACGGGAGGGGGCCATGGAGACGGGTTTGGACGGTTAGTCAAAACCTGTCATTTGGCGAAAGGGGCACTGAATCATGAATGGAAAGCATTGTGATTATTCTATTGACGTCTGTTTCATGTTGCAGGTATCGTAAAGAAATGAGCTTCGAATACTAATTACGACCGTGAATACTAACTTACACGCCGAAAAACTCGAGGGCAACGGCTCGTAGTCTTTATGTTGTGCTCGTTATCGAACACAGGCTCCCAGGATGACATTGAGCCATCAATCGGCTCCACATCCCGTGCACCATATTTCCCTACGGTACTCACCTTTGTGTGTCGAACCACCCGGCACAATACCCACCTTTGTGTGGCGCACGAGCCGGCGGTGGCTGTGCATCAGCTCGCGTTTCTCTCCGGCCAGGTGAAGCGCCGCCCACAGCTGTTCAGCTGTCTGACCGCGACTGCCAGCGTACAGCATGGCCAGCGCCGTGCCCACGCTCATCGGGGAGAACACGACGTTAGAGGTGGAGTCGTGCGCCGCCAGGACCTGACAGAGTCGACGGGGAGACGTGTTAGTTGGAGCGGTGGGCGGGAAAGAGGCCTTCGCTTGAATGGCGGACTAGAGAGGGGCGTCCGCGTGCTAGTTTGAATAAGATGTACCTGATTGAGCGCTCATCTGTTGGGGATTTCGTTCGCATTTTCCAAAGCAGTTATGAAATTGCTAGCATTTCCTTGGACCCTTTCCGCTACTGGACGACTGACTCACAACAGATACTACGACATATTTCAGCTAACAGCTCTTCCCAAGGGCTATACATTGGCGCAGTGCTTACATCTCAGTGCGCAAAATGCCGGTCTCGGTCAGGTCAGTGATGTGTATCGGCTACCATCTGGCCGCCAGAGACCAGTCGGGTGCCGGTCCGGTCTGTTGATATACTGGTCTGACGCGTGCAGCGACCAGTCAATGACACGGGACAGGGCCGGTCGGTGGCCGGACTGCGCATCACTGCACGGTTCTGATCCGACCGGGACTGCCGCACTACTGGCTCTGGGCCAGAGTGTGGTGGTCGACTGCGGTTTAGAAGGCAGACGTTGACCAGAGGTGGGGACAGGTCTGCTAGGCGTGCCTTTCACAGGCCGGGTAACAGAAAACACACTTCATTTTCTTATATTAGAGCGACACATTGTGGGGCATTACTAGGACAGTGGCAGTGACAGTAAAAAAAACCTGACACCTAACGGCTACCAGTCCCCTCCCGGCCATCCACCCCTCTCCACACTGGTTGTCCCCGTTCGCTCCAGCCCCTCGACACACCTACCTGGAACAGGTCGATGCCGAACGCTCCCTGCATCTTGGCGGCGTGCTGGTAGGATCTCGCCGTCAGGGGCCTCCGCCGACGGGCGACGACGCCGACCGGAGGGGCGAGCGGCGGCTCATCCAGGTCCTCCAGCTGATCGAGGTCGAACGAGAGCTCGCCGGGGAGGGGTCGGAACAGATCCTGCTGAGAGCGGCCGGCTGCTGCCGCTGGGGCCAGCACCACGGCCAGCACCGCCAGGAGCAGCGCGGAGGACACCATCGCTCCCCGGTCGACAGACGTCCTGCCCCGACTGACACCGAGCGAGCGGAGAGACCGGCCGGACGACTGCTCCCGCGGCGGGCCGCCAGCTTCCCCGAGTCGCCGCCAGGGGCGCTGAGATCGGCCTAGATTGTTTACCTGGACTCGATCAGGCAGGATTGGTGCATTGAGTTACGTTAGGTTTGCGGTTCGCATGAATACACTTGGTACTTGGTACGGTTGCCGAACCCAGTGTGACGTCCGTTCAAATAACTCCGAGACGCAGCATCCACCCAATTCACTCACACCGTCCAAGATTATTAAATGTATTCATAAGAAGAACACCAAGACAGTCACCAGACAGGAGTGTGTTAAAGTGGCGGGGCGGCGCCGCCCCTCCCTTACCCAACGCGCGCGTCGAGTCCCCGCCCCGCCCGGCTCGACAGTTAGCCCACACGACATACAGAGCAGAGCAGGCTGCAGGTCAGCCGCGCCGCGGCCCAGCGCCGGGACAGCGAGCACGGACGGCCGCTCCACAACACCGAATAAAGGCTCGTATAAAAATGGTGTCAACGTAAACAAATGAGGCGCAAGGTAAACACACAGCGTCACTCGGTGATGATCAGCTTAGTCGGGTTGTGTTCGCAAGGCTGATTTCATTCAATGGCACACCATAAAATATGAAAATCCCTCGGAGGTCCAACAACAAAATAGAAAATCTCTTGGGGAGGGGATCTAACAACTCAATGAAAGCTATTAGTCTCAGCACCATCAATAAACAAATCACAAGGGGTCTAATCAATCTAGCAATATAATATAAAAATCCAGCAGCTTCATTCGCCTACTCCACGAAAAATAGGCGAATCAGTGAGCATTTGGATTCATTTTGAATACGGCAGCACGCATGTGTCCTCATGACAAGCTCTGGGCAGCTCCGCGGCACCGATCGCGGCGGCGCGCTGCTAGCTGCCTTCTCAGGAGACGATTACAAACTAACGGCGAAACGAGCCGGCCGGCCGCATTGCGACGGGCCGGCCTGTCACATGTAGAGAGCAAAACAGTACGAACGAGAGTCCGGTCGCCGGCAGAGGGGCGGACAGCCGGCCCTCAGCGGCCCCTGCCGCCGCCTGCGGCTGACTAGCGCAGTTGTAACTCGTCTTCCGTCCAACAGGTGGCAGTGCGACCGGGGGCAGCGGCGGCGGCGGCGCCGGCTGCCTAGACGTCCACTACCATCTTTTTGTGTACGTCCGTGTTGCCAACGATCTGCAAACAAATAATTACACATTTTCAAGAATGCAAATAACTGACGCTTATTGCGGACTTTGGTACATACGACATATCTATTCTACGACACAATATCGACAACTGATTAAGTCGGACATGCAAAACAATAAATTAAAACGTCTTTGAGGCCAATAATCTGACACCGTTCCGTGCTTCTATCCTCAGGATACTGAAATCCTTCTCCTCCACGCCGCAATCCCGCTCCGGGCTGGACAGGCAATCTCATGCGGGCTGCTCCCTTGGAGCGGCACCGCTGCTCCCGAGGGAGCGCACCCCGTAGCCGGGTGCAGTGAGTGCCTTGGGGTTGGGTGGCCTGTCCTTTGGACGGGCTCAGCCCCGGCGACTCACCAGGGTGCTCGCCTAGACCAAATGTCTCCCCCTAATTCCTATCATTCTTCCGGCCCTGAAATGGTCTCGTCAGACCGAAAGGGCTCAACCGAACAAAACAAACAAAACAGCAACTGATCCTTAATATCAAACTTACGCTGCAGAATTCGTCGAACCCGATCTTGCCGTCCTCGTCCTTGTCGGCGAACAGGATGGTCTTGTCGACAATCTGCTGCAGCTGCGTGTCCTTCAGGTTGCTGCCCACCATCATCTTCAGCACCTGCAGGAGCAGCAGCAGCAAAGGCAGTAACAGTAAGATTCGAGTAGTTACGAGTGCTGCTAGATTTAGCGATCCTTTGTACCAGTCATTAGTCATTACATGTCCTCTCAAAGTGTTCTATCCCATCGAGTCATCACACTATAATGAAACAGTTTGAACGTTTTACGACTGCATTTTTTAAAACAAATCTACATTAAAACGTCTCTTAAAAACAACATAAAAAGTTATATCCTGTTCGCACATCATAATCATTAGCAGTTTGTAGCTTGGATCACCCATTCCTACCACAGATGCGTATCAACACTGCAATCGACACAGTTTAGCGACAGAACTCGCCTGAAAGAGCTCTCCATTCGAAATGAAGCCGTCGTTGTCCATGTCGTAGATGCGAAAGGCGAAGCGCAGTTTCGAGTCCTTGTCTCCCTTGACAGAGAACTGTGACACGCCCGATATGAACTCTGCGGGGGGTTCAGAGGTCAGGTCAGGGTACGATTACCGACAGTGCCGGGTCGGCTTACAGTCAACACCCTGACACTGCCAGTAAAGCCAGGGAATGTTGGCGGAAAGGATCGGCACACGGCCAGATAAAACAGCCATGCCCTTTGTCAGTAAGACATATCGAGCTCAGGGACTCAATGATCTGCCGAATATAAGGCAGCGTGACTTGCAGGCTATCTGCCATAATGAAAAATAATCATCGGTCCACTGAAGTAGCGACGGTTGTCTCTATCTCAGATAACATTCATGTCAAAACATTGTTATAATCACAGGAAAGTCAGGTTATGTGCTTATAATCACAGGAAAGTCAGATTATGTGCGAGCCTGTTCTGAGTTCTCACACTTTTGGCAAAGCAGACCGCATCAACAAATAGGAATATAATTTTTGAATGAATCGGCAGAATCAATATGAGATAGACGTTATGATATATGAGGTACACCCGTCAACCAGGACTGCCTCATTTTTGAGAAACCCTGCGCTAGAACTGTAAAAACTCTCGTGTTAATTTTGTTAAAGTTTGCGTGTTAATCCTTCCTTCCACAAAAGACCGGTATACGGCGCTTACACCACAAACAAAGTAGATGCAAGAACAGTGAAGGGGAAAACATTCATTTGAATGCAGCTGAAAAGTCTGAGCTGAACAGATCCAAGAAGGGAATCTATTCGGCAAAACATTCACAGCATGCACAATGCACATTCCGCAGCCCACCGTCCGTAGTCCACCGAAACTACCATTCCATCTCCCACAACTGCCAGCCACCCAACATCGAACCTACCGACGACCGTCCCCAGCAGCTACCAACCACATTCCACCATAACAACCAATCACCGTGACCGTCCACCGTAACTACCAACACCGTCCACCGCAACTAACAACCAACGTCCTCTGTCAAACATCCACCCAACAACGCCCTACCCACCGACTACACTTACAGCCCCACTTACCGACTCCGCGCCCATCGCCAGTAAACTCACCCACCGACCCTCTCCCCCGTCCACTGACCTTTAAAGTCTACCTCTCCGTTGCCGTCCTCGTCGAATATCTCGATGACCCGCTGAACCAGCGGATTCTGCTGCAGTTCCGGCAGCGACATGAACTCGTCGACGCTCAGGGAGCCCGAGTTGTCCAGATCCAGCTTACGGAACCGCTTGCCCAGCCGGCGGATTTCGTCCGGGTCAACTGACGACGCCCGGTCACGTGGTTAGAGGGACGGTGATCAAGGCCAAATGATTAATGGCTGGCCAAGTGACATTGTCATGAGAAATGATGGCTGTACTTGGTGACCGAATTGCATGATCATAAAATCATTCAATTTTTCAGTGTTGCCAGCTATCAATGCTACTAGCTAATTCACATTGATAAAATGAAACATTTGGTAAATTGGCTCAATTCTCAACACTAGGCCAACCTACAAACTAAATCTGCATAAAAATTGACACAATGCGCAATTTATTAGAAAGGTAGGTTTGATAGAAAGGCATTATATAAGTGTTGTTTTTGTTTTGTTTTTAAACATTCATAAGGTCAGGATATAAAAACAAGTGATAACATATGAAATGCAAGGCAATCTTCAGTAATTAATTGAATCATACTCACAGTTAGAGCACATCTCCATGGAAAGTGATGCTTCATTTCCCTGAAATAAAAAAGTTTCCTGAGCTGAAAAGGAAGCAGTAATCCACAAAAACAAAGCATACATTGATCAATGGTCATTTTTCAGACATATACCCATGACCAGCAGCTTCTCACTGGGATAAATGAAGCACAAGCACCAGACCTTAATGTAAATCCTGATGACCAGCAGAAGTCTCGTGAGCATGTAACAAAGCTGCAGGACTAATCCCAGAACCAAACAATTATTGGCATTCTCACAATGCCAGTAACTAATAAGGAGCCATCACAAAGTGATAAACAAGTGAGCGCAACTGAGCTCTGTATTTAGGGCCTTGCTAACATCTGGACAAAATCGGCTGGCAGGCCAGCTGAAGACATACAATAGCTATGACTTTTTATATAAGCGGGTACCTAGTAGATGGACATGAAGACGTAAAATGGCACTCATAGAAAATTTATAGATATCTTGTCATTTATATTTATTATTTAGAATTGACATATAACAAGCTCTGCTAGCACCACCATACGGCGCCGGCTGGCAAATAATAAGTTAATAGTATGGCCCTGTATTTCCGGCAAAGCAAAGTGTGACCCTTGGCTCATCTCATGATGGTCGACTTATCACCAGACCCCTAGTGATTGAGGTATGAAATTATAAGGTAATAAATTTCACTTACCATTTTGACTCCTGCTTGTTAATTTCTGAACACTGCCAGAAGATTCTAAAGCGTCTTTTTGACGAAAAGCTCAAGCTGGAAACTTGTAAAAATTGTACTGATTGAGGAGCAGATAAGATCAGAAAAGTTCCTATCCCTCCGTTCCTAAAAAAATATGATGCAAATCACTTCACCTAAGCTAAGTCTGAGTTCACCAAAGCATTTAGCAAATACGCAACCAGATTATCCGTATACGCAATGCTGCAAGTTGCAAGTTGCTTTTTTGCAATAACAATTGCTATCTTGAGCATCATCTATGCATCAGCAGACAATCGTCCTAAATTGAGACAAGACAAAGAAAATGACGTCAGTAGATTTACATCTATTGATGAAAAACGGTAAAGTTGTTTTATTTTTCCCAGAGTTTTTATACTTACTATTTTTGGCAACAGTGCTACGATATTTTAGACCCAAAGATTTTGAGCAACTCTAATTGGATAAATAATTTTTCCTCTACTAAACGTACTATACCCCTGTTACTGACAACGTCATCAAAAACTGAGTGGTGAAGTAAGAATTGTGATAAATATTCCTTTTTTCGCCGGTGAAGGAAATACTTTACACGAAATGATTGACATTTTTCCTCAATTTATCGTCGAATGGTGAAGAATAGAATCAGGTATTTGATCCATTTATCTTCACATTCCAAATACTGTTACCCTGTACGAAATTAAAGAATCATGATAGTCTTTTAATGGAAGAGAATTGCGAGTTGTAGTGAAATTTGGTAGCTGATTTTCGCTACATATGGTAGCTTGATGGTAGCTACTCAACTTTCGTTTTTGGCGCAGAAGCTACACCAAATACGCTCAAAACTTTGGTGCCCAGAATCCCGATTCATCCAAGTATAAACTAAATTTAATGTCTGAGGACAATTTCAGTAAAAAATAACAATTTTGTAGGAGGCGGTGGAAGGTAAAGAAAGGTATTTCGTCGGTATTTCATCAAGAAATCTGCATTAAAAATTAATCTCTAGGTGCTGTGCTCATGAAGGCCACGGATCATCTGATCCGTGTGAAGGCCATGGGACAGGTTGAGGGTGAGGGAAGGAATTTAAATCCAAATCGGGTCTTTTTTGGCAGTTCAAGTTTTCATGTTAGCTGAGTTAGGTACCGGTACCTACCCTGAATTTTTTGGTTGGACCATAAGTCTTCTGGCCCCTGTTTCATGGCACTGTGCTATAGTGCGCTACATGTATTGGTTGTTGAGTTTCCATGGAAACATCAACAAATTGAACTGATGCAATGCTGAAGGGTCGAGGCTAATTTTGCACCAATACACTGCTACGTGACGTGTAGGGCACTGTAGCAGCGTACCTGTGAAACAAGGCCCTGGTGCAGGCTGGTGTGAATTTCCAGTCTGTTTGGTGTTAGCTGGTCCAAATCAGTAGGCGGAACTATGGTCAAGCGTACCCATTTTCGGGAACGCATTTTCGTTCCCATGTTTGGGAACGATAAACCCAAATATGGGAACGCCATGTAGGCATTATTTAAAACAAGAAAAAGAACCGTTAAATGACGTCCAAAAAATATAAAATGATCGTGAACCGCCTGATATTTGTCTCAATATTGTTGGGAAAGAGTTTGATATTGTAAGGCCCATCGTAGTTTCAAATCGTTCCCCTATTTCTAAAGCAGTCCATCATCCGGGCCGCGAGCCCAAATTTGGGAACGCTCTCGTACACTGGCGCTGCAAGCGTTCCTTATTATGGGAACGGCGTACCCAAAATTGGGAACGATTTCACCGACGCCTTTCAGGGGCTCTTTTCATTAACAAGCATCACGTCCAACGCCGCAAATTATTGTTAACGCAACAATCATCAGATGACCTTTCCGGCAAGACCGTCGCATGTTTCGCCCGGTCTTCTGCGCTTTTATTCCCGTCGATCTCGCAGCGGGCACGCCCCCCTCTGCAGGATTACGTAATTCACAACGCTCAGCGATGTTCAACAAGGTCTACCATACCTATATCCACCGTCCGCGCTGAGGGTGGAGACATGTCAAGCACCTGTCTGTTTATCACCGATAGTTGACGAGTACAAGGAAGTATCCAAAAATGGGAACGCTGAATATGTTACACCCTCAAAACACCTAGTCCCAATGAAAATCTAGTTTTTTCCTTTCTTGATGAGTGTAAGTGGCAAAAGGCCTGGTAGGATGGGCACGAGGAATTATCGAAATCAGCATAAAAATTATAAATAAGCCACACAGAGCGAGCTATATAAGAGAAATTCCCCCAAAACGATCACGCTTTGAAACACGGAAGACAAAAACCACGCTCATGACGCTCCTTATAAAACAACTCTAAACAGCTAGCATCCAAATAAAATATGTCTTTCCGGGATGATAAAATACAGCTGGATAATTTTCAACCGCCTAAACTGAGGTTACAACAGTAGCTCGGTAAATTCACTCACGTTCCACGCAGTCGTCCGCCCCGACACAAAAGTCAACAATATTATACCTCGGGACCGTCCGCGTCTTCGCTTGCATTTGTCAGCATCTGGTGTCGATAGTATGAAAGTTCATAACCAGGCGAAAATTATTATACTTTACTTCAAACTAAAAAATGCTTCATTTTCCTTAAAATTGCATGCTAAATGTCGTATAACCCATATTTCCATCATTCTGTCATTTTCAAAAAATCATTAAAAATATCATTCCACGGTCAATTTCCTTGTTCCACGGTCAGATTAAAGATAACTTTATGGAGATTTAGTAGATACTTAAATCAGCGTGCACTTTTTTGAGACGTGATGCACTTTTGAGTTTTAGTGGGAGAACGGCCGAAAAATTGCCTTCCGTTCTCATAAATGGGAACGCCCGTTCCCATATTTGGGAACTCCGTTCCCAAAAATGGGAACGTTCCTATATTTGGGTACTCATGACCATAGTTCCGCCTACTGAAATGTGTCACTCTAGGGCCTAGAGCCATGGTGTGGCTCATTGATTGTGTTGCCATGCTTTGCAGTATGGCCGCAGATTCATTGCACTTTGCAGCCTTATGTCTTCAAGAAAGCAAATGCAGCAATGAGCTTCCATGAATAGTTATGCTAAAATTGTTTTAAAATTGTTTCACTTACCTGGTTCACTTACCTGGTTGGGTTCCAACAATGTCCAGTAGGATAGAGATAGGAGAGTCAAGAAGAGGAATTTAGGAACCCCGTACACAAGGGACGTGCCAGCCTTGCAAAGCTATACAAAAGACACCTATCATGGAAAGTGGGCGGCTGGAAAGTTGCGTCCCGTCTGTGAGATTACATCTGAATGTTAAGGCATGAATACATAAGTGTTAAACAGTTGTACATTCGTTGTGTGGAATAGTTAACAAGAAGGTAGCATAAGATAGACGACATCAAACATATGCATACAGCAAATCATGTATATCTCTGTGTAGGCCCTGCTTGAATGACGAAATAGTAGGAGCGCACACCGTGGCGTCAGACAGAGAGTTCCAAACATGTATACACCTAATTGCAAACGACCTTTTACGCACATCTGTGTTGACGGCAGGGAGAAATGCTTTGTACCTGTGTCCACGGGTTCTGGTTAGGGTGGGCTTGGCAAATAGTTCAGCCGGCAAGATACATGAGTGGCCGTGAAAAATCTTCCAGCACTGTATGAGGTCAGCCCGTAGCAGTCGGCCTTGGATAGAGTAAAGGTTTAGGAGCTGTAGACGCTCTCCATAGGGGAGAAGGGCCATACCGTCAATCTGCTTTGTCCAGCGACGCTGGATTCGCTCAAGTAACCGCAAATCCTGGACAAATCCGGTGTGCCACACGCAAGAGCAGTATTCAATTAGCGGCCGGATGTGCGTAGTTAGTAAAAACAGCATAAACTTCTGGGATCTGCACACAGTTGACCTGAGGAAACTATGGGCGAGGCCACCAGCTTTGTGAGCAATCTTATGCACATGACCATGAAATTTTAAATTGGTGTCTACAAGAACTCCAAGGTCAGTTGCTGAGGACACGGAGGGGATAGGTTGGCCATTCAGGGTGTACAAGGGAGGACCCGAGAGAGCAGAAAGTCTGGAAAAGCGGAGAACAGCACACTTTTTGACATTCATGTGTAATCCCCATGAAGCCGCCGTACTATAAAGAATGTCAATGTCACGCTGGACAGTAGTCGGGGATGAGGGAGCATGTGCGGGAGAGCTAGGGTATTCTATGCATGCATAAATCTTAAGGTCGTCGGCAAAAATCTTATGACTACAGGAAAGTTCAGATGCAATACTGTTAACGTATACTAGAAAGAGTAATGGCCCTAACACCGACCCCTGGGGAACACCGCTAAGAACCGGCCTTGGTTGGCTGGTGTGGTTTTGGATACACACACTCATTGAGCGATGGGTGAGGAAAGAACGGATGGCAGAGAGTGTTCTACCCTGGATTCCCAAACATCGTAGTTTCTCAAGCAGCAGGACATGGGCCACGACATCAAAAGCCTTGCTGAAATCAAAGAGAATCAAGTCGGTGACTCCTCCTCTGTCCATACTCTTAGATACATTGTCATAGACCAAAAGGAGCTGGTCCATGGTAGACCTGTTAGCCCGAAACCCATATTGATGAGAGGACAGGATATTGTTAGACTCGAGATAGTTTGTAAGGTCTTCGCAAAGCAGGCGCTCAAATGTTTTACTACACACTGAAGTAAGGCTAATAGGACGATAGTTGAGTGGATCAAATCTTTCGCCTTTCTTAAAAATGGGAATGATAAGGGAGGATTTCCAGCTCGAGGGAAGGTTGCCTTCAAGGTAAGCTCGGATAAAGACAGTAAGAAGAGGATAGGCCAGAGAAGTAGCACAACGCTTGAGTAAAATAGGATGTAGGTTGTCAGGGCCAGCGGATGTATTGGTATCCAGGAGCTGGAGGGCCTTCAGGACTCGGTTCTGTGAAAAGGTAACCATGCCCATGGAACCATTATAAGTCTGGTGGGGGGCGGGTTGTTTGAGGGCTTCCTTGGTGTACACCGAGGAGAAAGATGAAGCAAATGCTTCAGCCATGTCTCTAGGATCGTCAGTAAGTTCGCCAGAGCATAACCTGATGGGGCCAACAGTTGGGCGACCAGTCTTCTTGTCACGGATATAGGAGTGTAGTAACTTGGGACAATCTCTAGCTTGGTTCAACAGGTTGAGCTCATAAGATGCTTGGGTAGCAACAGAAAAACCTCTCACACTGTGGTTAATTGTCTGGAAGGAAGCATAGGCAGCTATTGTACCAGGTGACTTTCGCCCGAGCTCAGCCCTGACTGTTTTGTACCTGGTCCAAGCAGCATGTCTACGGTTCAAAAGGCTGGATGGGGGTCTTTTGTTCCACTTCGGGCTGCTTGTTTATCGTGACTTGTTTTTAAATCATTTTATAAATGAAAAATTATATTGTAGATCCAACGGTATTCTCTTAGCAGACGTCACCCAAGCTGCCATATCCAGTAGGGTAGGTTGGTAGGTTGTAGGTTGGTAGGTTAGGTTGTAGGTTGTATGTAAGGTTATGTCAGGTTAGATTATGTTTTGTTATATATTTAACCGTGAAAAGGCAATTGTTGCGCACGTGAGACGTAGATATGGCAGCTTGGGTGACGTCTACTTAGAGAGTACCGATTCAACAAGTAATAACAGTTAACGCATGGAACAAAATATGCTTATTGGAAAACCTAACTCTTTTATTATATCTCAGGTGAACCTGATCATCCCAAGTACAGGCGGACAGTTGCCATGTCATCAACACGAGGTGCCTTCCTGGACGTGCAGCCGGAGCTGCTGACCAGCTCCCTGTCAGTGGTGGGCGGCGGCGCGGACCCTGAGCTCTCCGAGCTCGCCATGCCGGCAGAGGCGGCCGCCAGGCAGCGGCGCTCCGACGCCGTCGAGATCGTGCCCAAGCCGGTGGTGTGCTGCAAGACGCGCGACGCCGCCGGTGGTAAGGTGTTTGTGAACATCTGCACCAACACGGAGATCCCGGCGCCTCGCCAGCTGAGCGAGCAGCAGCTGCGCGAGCTGCTGCAGGACGAGGCGCAGGCGGCTGAGTTCCGCGTGCCGCTCAGTCTCAGCGAGGCGCACAAGGAGCTGGACAAGTCGGGCGGCCCGTGCGTGGCCTACGATGTCGTCATTCACCCGCGGTTCTACGCCCAGGTGGACAGCAGCCTCCTCTTCAAGACGTTCTTCATCACCGTCATGATCGAAGCGATCGAGGGCAAATTCGGCATCGAACTTGACAAGAACCAGTGGGTGACGATGCGGAACAAGCTGTACATGGGTAAGATGCCGAAGCATTTTGTGCGCCGCGGTGACCTACCGATGGTGCAGGAGGTGGCCGGCGGCGAGGCTCCGTCCGCCGGACCGCGGCCGCTTATCTCTGAGGTGGAGACGCGCCGCAGCGCCCCGCCGGCGCCGCCCCACACGGTAGAGCGCCGCCCGGACGGCCGGCTGGTGGTGACGTTCGAGCTGCCGCCGGCGGTGACGGCCGCCGACCAGCTGAGTCTTGAGCTGGCGCCCGACCGGGTAGTGCTCTCCTCGGAGACCGTCCGGCTCCTGGCGGACGTGTTCCTGACGGAGACGGTCGAGCCGGAGACGGCGCGCGCCGCCTTCAGCCTGGCCTCGCGTCGGCTGGCGGTCTCCGTGGCCACCGCTGCCGCGTGAGTGCTGTGTGTCAGGACGCGCTGCGTGCCAGCGGTCATGTGGACCAGAATGTGCCCCGACGTTGAACTGAGAGAACTCTGTGATAGTGAGGCTCAGATATTGCGTTAATTTGCGGTGATGCTACGGGATGCTGGCCATTCGTGGTGTTGTGCTGAAGGTTCTGTGTTTCCACATGATGAAAAGTCGAGGAATGATTGACATTAAGTTTGCACTGGACTGCTGGATTACTTGTTCTGCGCAGGATATGTATCAAATGGTTTGTAATCCATTCACGTTGTTTGCAAGTCAGAACATTCTGTTTGAAGCATTAAGTTTCTAATGGTGAACCACAGCAGAGCTCTCGCTTTGTGGTACAATGACGTCATGGTGACTCACCGCTTATACAGCACGCACTCATATCTCATTTGTTTCAGCTCAGTCAAGGGCATTGCTGCGCTAGCATGGCGTCGAGTGGTGGTGCAAAAAATATTGCGTTGGCGTGTTATCGCGTAGCTATGTCGGGAGAATTTCTGTATCGAACTTTTTGTATTGTTTTCATCATGTTTGATAAAGAGTTCCGTTTCATCTTCGTTATTCTTGAATTGATGCCGTACATATACGAGTTGTTTTTACGCGCCCTTTTCCGATGTGGAAACTGATGGAACACGGTTATTTTGCGAACTAAATCTAATGAAAAGCGGCAGAGGAATGATTTGACATTGAACTGTGTGTAAGAACTAAGAGGGTTCTTAGTTCCCTACTAACTACTACCTTCTTCGAAATTTAAAACGTTCAATATATATTACTTATAAACAATAACGTGATACCCATGCGTCCCAGTTCAGCTGTTAGTGTCCCTAGCAGGTTACGATTCCCTTCAAACTTGGTGCACTGTCATTCTTTCCGTCATCACAGGCCCCTGCGGGCTCCATTCGACGGGTAATGACTCCCTGAGTGGTCATAGCTGGCACGATTGGACGCCCGCTATATGCCAACGGGCAACTTTAACCGTAAACTAAGTCGCATAATACCTCGGGCCGCGGGCTGCATACCGTTCCTGTGGCACGACATTGACCTTGTTATAGTAAAGGTTTTTCGCTGAAATTGATACTTATCGGTCACCTCCAGCTTCAGATCTTATCGGATATCCCACTGATCTTGTCCTAACGGTAACTCTCGAGCCAGGAGTCATAGGTGGTCATGAGAAAGCGGGCGTCAAACCGACATGAGTGACGAACTGTCAGCACTCAACGGTTGCATAACAACATTGGGTGTTCCAGTGTTCACTGCCCATAGCGCATACCTACAACAGACGACAGCGTTGAACGGCACCTTAGTTGCAGTGCTAGTGGAGGATTAGGTATTGACGCGCAAAAGTGAACTGTTAACAATGTGCATGCTGAAGGTTGTACCGCAACAGCGGAACAGCTTATATTTTTGTTCATAGATGGCACTAGTAACGAACGCCTGGCGTCTTATACTGCACCGCACGACATGACTTACTTATACCTCTGCACATAGATGACGCTAGTAGTGACGCCTGTCTGATGCTGCACCGCAAGGCTAGAATAACTTATACTTCTGTGCATAGGTGGCGCTAGTAGTTGACGCCTGGCTTCCTATGCTGCACCGCATAACAATAGTACCTTATACTTCTGTACATAGATGGCGCTAGTAGTGAGCGCCTGACGTTAGGCTGTGCCGCCTAGCAGGAGCGCTCGACGCGACTTGTCCCGATCCTCTCGCTGCGCAGGGCGGATAGGGAAGCGGCGGTAAGAGGCGACGGACAGTGATTATAAATGCTATGACACGAAGAATGGAACATTGGCTACAGAGCAGCATTTGGTCCGGGCCACGAATGAATTTACAAAACTTAGAATTTTATCGTAAATTAATGGAATGCATGTCTTCATGCATAGACCATAGTGGTCTATGGTTCATGCTTGATGCTATCCATTCTCCATAAGAGTTCACAAATGCTCGCTTTAACCTTCCAGGCGGTGGGGGGGGGGGGGCATTTTTGCCCCTCTTTAGTTTTATCGATATATCTCGAGAAACGCTGCGCCGATCGTCACCAAACTTTCAGTACCCTTCCGGGAGTAGCTAGCGCACATGATGACCAAAATTTTTTCCAAAGGCTATGATAGGTGGGCCGCTAATGACGTCAGAGTGACGTCATTTTTGCAATTTTCGACCCAAAAAAGGTTTCGCGGGAAGAGCTGTCAGGCCTACAGCTTTAGAGATACAGAAAAATGTTCCGGATATAAAAGGTGTGGAATCAAAAGGGCTACGAAACTGTTATTTCGGTTTTTCAATTTTTTTATTTTGACCCCCAAAATAAAAAATAGATTTTTTGAAAATAATTGCCGAAAAATCCAAAAAGTTTTTTGAATTTCGAAAAAAAACGGATTATATGTGATAGTCCCTACCGGCTTTTATCTACATACCAAATTTGAGATCAACACCTCTTTTTTTGGCCAAGTTATAGCGAAAAAACTGTTCAAAATTGATGACGTCAAATTTTCAAACTCAATTTTTAGCAATTCTAGACCTCGTAGCGCAAAACAAAGACCACCATTAGACTCCCCGTGACGAGCTGCATCGAATCGATACCCATTTTATGCAAAAATATCAACTTTGAAATTTGACCTTTTTTGACCTGACCTTGACCTGACCTCCACCAGAAAGTGACCTAAACCGCACCTGATGGTCTTATAACCAATACTATTGAGCTGGAAATGAAAAACTGGTCATAAAACATGCATCGCACAACCTTAGAAAAGTTGGGTTCATGTGGTGACCCTTGGTGACCTTTGGTGACCTGACTTGTGACCTGACCTGGTATGACCAGTGACCTCTAATAGCAAAATATGTACTAGACAACTGACGCCTTATCGCTGATTTTCGACAAAATGCGTTTTACTCGGTGTTATAGCGCTTTCCCTAGAAGCCCCGTGAACTGTGAAACATTTTATCTTTGACCTGACCTGTGACGTCATCGGTGACCCCGAGGTCAATGAAATTTGGTTTCCTTCGACAAATTTGACAGGGCTATTGAACGCCGTTTGAATTTTCCGGATCCGTACAGTAGTTTCGGAGATACAAGGGGGGTGGGCAAAAAATGCCCCCCCCCCCACCTCGCGGAAGGTGGCTGGGAGGCCCACCGCCTGCCGGGTTGAGGTAAAAACAAAGTGGCATAACTAATTATTAACTTTATCTTCCTTTGAGCATACGCCCTCTAAAGCCTCACGAATGGACCGCTGATTTACGATGCAGTAACTGCTTCGCAGCATGATTGGCCGATAAAAGAGTTCCAATACACCATAATGCACATCATCAGCCGTATACTGCACCTCCAGCAGCAGCGTCGCCCTTAGTGCTTAGTTTAGAACCGTGCATCTAGGTATTTGGAAATGAAGTTGCGAAGTCCCGCCGAATGCTGCTGGACGACCACCCTTGGTCGTGATTGCCATGGTGACCGCCAGTGGTGGGTCGCCGACAAAGGGGCGAGGGCGCGGAGCGGGCCGATACGGGCGCCCGGGTCAGTCCGGTGAGGTTAGGGGTGGTGGGAGCCCGCCTGTGACCGGGTCGCAGGAGGGACTCGTACCGGTGGGTCACGGCGGGCGGACGCGGACCGACGGGTCACGGCGGGAAGTTCGGACCACGACAGACTATAGTCTCGCGTCCGTGATCTGAACTGGGGACGTGTCACGTGAGACGCCGCAGTGGGGATGTGAAACGCCGTGGCTGGGCGGTCTGCTGCTGATATTCGAGCGGCAGTCTAATATCAAACTGAAACGAGCTTCAGCTGATACTACCTCTTCAGGCTGCCGACCAAGACGTCTCATTCAGTCCACCGAGACTCCTCATTCAGCCAACCGAGACTCCTCACTCCGCCCACCGAGTTTATTGCTTTATTCTTCAGCCTACAGTGTCTTCTCATTCAGCACATCAGACTTTTCCCCAACTCACTGAAAATCCTCTCTCGCCCACCGAAACTTTTCCATCATCCCATCGAGACTTCTACCCCAGCACATCGAAACTCGTCCCCAAGCCAACCGCAGTTCTTCATCCAGCATACGGATATTCCCGTTTTTCTCCTCCTTAACTCCCATCATAGCTCATTGATTCTTTTGTCTTAGTCTAACATTTTTCTTCCTTAGTTTATCGAAACAAAAGTACCGGGATAAACCCACAAGCAGCCCTCTCCATATCACCACAATGAGATTTCAGGCTCAACCCACCAAAACTGCATTCTGGCATCCCTGGGACTACAGGCTCATCTCACCATGACAAGTTACCTCCCTCCACCGTGACTCTTTTAGCCAAGACTCTGCAATGTCCACACCATGTTGTGCGACGACAGCACTCGTGTTGTGGCTGTGTTTGTGCCCAGCGGCCACCTTGGTGCCCCTTCTGCAGCTGGTGACCGACTATGCCGACTACCGCGGTCTTTCTGCCGTCAATCTGTTTGTCAGCAGACAGTCAGGTATGGAATCAGACGATACTCGGGTCATTTGATAAGTAAATACATCAATCATTCAGTCATGTATTGCTTCATTTACCCTATTCAATCAATCAATCATTCATTCATTCATGACAAAAAATTACGTCGTCACGTCATCAGTACACCTGTCGGTCATTGGTTCAGTCGCATAAAGCTGCCTTCAAATGCTTGCTTCTTTTTATGAACGGTTCACCCCAGGCTTGGTAAACTTATAAATTTGTTACCATTGACCGCTTAGCTGCATTCATTAAGATCATTTGAACATCTGAACTCCTAGCTCAAAAATTACCGTTAGGATAACATCGGTGGGATATTTGCTAAGATTGGCCTTTGGGGACCTGGAGCTGACGAACACGTATCAATTTCAGCGAAAAGACACTTTTAGGGAAGGTCAATGTCGTGTCACAGACTACAGAGTCGATATGAAGTCCTCAGCCCTTGGTATTATACGACTTACCTAACACGCGCAGTGGAAGGGGGGGGGGGGTGGCGGATTTAGCCCACCCCTCCTGTTTTTCGCCAATAACTCGCGCCGCAAGCATAATATCAATGTGAAATTTCGGCTACCTGTCCAGAATTGAATTTCGGATCTTCTCGTGCAAGAAGTAAGAAAATCGGTTCACAACTTTTCTAGTAATAGCGGTGTAAAGTCAAATATCCTGCCGCCGCGGCGGCGCGGCGGCGCGGCGGCCGGCGCTAGCCGTTACGCGCCGCCTGAATTGTAGACTGTGCCGGGGCGGGACGGTTTCGTCTTTACATCGCGCTCCTTACCGCTGATTATATTAGATTCGCGTCAAATTCGGTGAGAAGACTGAGAAATGTTCAGGCAATCATATGGTCAAAGAATTTTAAAAATCGGCCGGTAACAACTTGAGTTATGAGTGTGTAAACACAAAATTGTGATTGCCGCGTTTCCCGCGTCGGCCGATCCCGCTTCAGCCGGCGACATCTTACCCTTAGCAGGCTTCTGCCATATTTATTGTTGGATTATCTAGAAATTCACCATACATACTCACAAATGTTTGTTCTTTCGTATAGTGAAAGATTAAAGAAAATCGGCCGGTACCTTTTTGAGTTATCGGCGTGTAAACGCAAAAAAAGTCGCTAATATGGCAGATTTGACCACATTTGACCTCATTTGACCTTGAATATATTGACCTAGGGTCATGAAATTCACACACAACAGAGTTCCCCATGGCCTCCACCTACCCTCCAAATTTCGTTTTTCTAGCTCCAGTGGGAGCTGAGATCTTAGGGGGGGGGGCGACATCCGCCCCCCTTCCACTGGGCGTAGTACTCGCAACCCTTCCACTGCGCGTGTTAATTTACGTTGCAATGGCTTAACTGAAGATTCATGATTCATGCCACACAAGGGTGTTGACCGTCTGATTCATTTTCGTTTTTATATCACGCTTTTTTCTCCGGTATTCGTAATACACAACCCTATCGATAGCTTAGAGCTAAGCATTCGGCATCGCCTAATTTGATGGAATGTACGGATCACTACGTTCAGTGCACACAAAAAAAAACTTCATGGTATTCGATCCTCACAAATGCTACTTGCCGTTTGCCCTAAGCTTTGCTGAACAGATACATGCTCCTAACATTTTGATCATTTGAATGCTATAATGGCGTCAATGGTCATGGGCAGTGACGCATGGAAACAGGCGTTACGCACGGAGTAATCCCGCACCAGCTCATTCAGAACCTTGTCACCGCATTGATTTACCAATAAAATCCCGGCCCCGTCCTGTAATTGCCTCGCACTGCACGCGCCACCCGTTTGGGCGCGGTTTACCGTGTCGTCGGCCCGCCACCGTGGTGTGAACTGCGCCCCATATCGGGCTCCGGGTCACTGTTTGGGGTGCTGTCATGGTGGCCAGCGCACCCCACCCAGGAGAATCGGCGAGCCACTCAGTGAACGGTGTCCTCACAATGAGGTGTCACCGGACCTAAGAATACGGTTTTGTTCAACTGTCGATCTAAGGGGATTTGTTCTGGGGAAGGAACAAGTACTCGGACAACTCAGCAAATCAATTCTAAGTTTAATTATAAATAATATTCTTATAACGGAATAAAGTCGGACGATGTTGTGTAGAGAGTAGGCAGTAAACAAAGAACACTGACTTTACACACAAGTAACGGGCGCGGTGGCGTCACGAACGATGACGTCACGTAATATCTACCTCAGGAACGGTTTGAACAATGCAAATGGAGGCTTGCAAACTGTCTCGGGGAGTGAAAAACGAGTGGCAAGACTGTGATTTATGCGCCATTTACGGGGCATATCGTGGCACCACATTAAAAATTATCGTTAGGGATATTAGTATATTTATCATCAGTCAATCAACGTCAGAGTGAATAGTGCATCAGTCACTATCCTGGCATCAATGTCGAGACTAATGACTGACCCGTGGTACGGGGGCCAGATACGCTAATTCGATCCTCATTAATAATTCATGACCTCGCCAATATCATAAGGCCCGAGCGATCAAGACAGGCAACACTCTACGTCATTGCACATTGCCGTGGCACACTTGCATGCCACGATCCAGGGACAGGCGATGCAGGTCTCTGTGACAGTTTTACCAGTGATGCTACTGGATTTTCCATTTGTCATCGAGATGTCAAATGGTGAATGGTGTTTACCTGCTCTATGTCCCAGCATGTTGGCATGATACACTGGAGTACCGGATGACAACCTTTTAGACAACCTTTTATTAGTTGTGGTCTGCAGAGTTTAGGTTTGCTTTGATGACTCTGACCTCCTGGGTCACCTTTAGGGCTTAGTGCCACTATAATATGTAGCCGCAACAGGTCCTGCCGTGGTAATATTAATAAAAGGACGACAACACAGGCGACAAAACTTGCGGCCGAACTCAGAAGTCCCAGCAGCTTATAGAAATAATGACCGATGTTCTAAGCACACATAAATGCATAATTTGCGGAATTCCGTTATCTACGAAAGGTTCACTTACTTCTAAACCATGCCTGACGGCTGTTGCAGTTCATTATCCGACTAGCCTATATGGGATCGGGATCATGGACGAAAGTTCGTAATCTCAAGCACATTCACAATTATTTTTAACATCGAAATTCAAACTCCATCAGTGTCCGATTGCACAGTGCTTTGACTGCAACGCTGAGAACATCAGTGATAAATGATAACGTTTTGTGTGCTGTAGCCGTGTTTGCCGCGTGTCGTCAGTCTCCCTGTCTCACTATTCGTCCCTGCCAGCCAGGGAAGATGTTGAATCTTCACACCCCGTCTCTTCTCCGTCCGTTCATCCCCTGTCCGTGTTCCGTCAGGTCGGTTCAGTAAGAGCCAGCTGACCAGTCTGGTTGTCGCGCTGACAAGCGGCCGGGAGCGGTACGTGGCGCTCCACTTCTTACCTCTGACGGCGCACCAGCTCGAGGAAGTGATGGCCAGCACGGGAGGCTCCGCCGGAGCCTCAGAGTTTGTCGTCCTCAGCGACGACGACCTCTCGCTCCAGTTTCTACAGATGGTGAGCAGCCAGGAGCACTCGCTCTGTAGTCTACAGGGACGCGGGGAGTCAGGCTGAGTCGATCCAGTTCCTGATAGATTGATGTGATAGATAAGGTTACTTATAGATACACAATACACATACCATTCGAAACACAATTTTATGGCCCTTTCGTGGACGAAATTGCTTCGGATTCAGTACAGCTACTTGAACAATCGAGGCTATTTCTTTATAACACTCGATATAAACGATAATGTAAACAATCTTTTCATTCATTCAATCATATACCTAACTCACAAAAAAGCATCTAACTACACTAAAAATAGATAAATATAATGGGACATTCTCCTCAAAGTACATCAGCACGGCTCTCGCATATATTACGGTTAACGCTTGAGATTTCTTCATGTTCTTTAGAGGGTCGTTAGCACCGATCTCAGTGATTTATTCGCGCCTCTGCAGGTGCACAGAAACCACTATATGTCGGAGGACAACGCGTGGCTGGCCATCAGCGACGGTGGCAGAGTGCGCAAGTGGATGGCCAACTTCTATCTGCCTGTTGATTCACAGGTGAGACATGGAGTGGTCCAAGCCCTTACAAGCATGTATAGGCACAAAACTTATATTGCATGCCCGAGGCTAGTTATCTTGTCGAAACCAGCGAGCCAGTTTTCAGAGCTGCTGCCTCAGCTTATATTGCTAATCGTTTTAGCGTGGGCAATTATTTTCTTCCACAGACTGATTTATTGACCGGCATGCCTATAAATATAAGTCTTGCTGATTTTACAAATATGTAGGTAGGTACTGTGTGATTGTGTAGTAAAGCGAAACAACGAACAATGAAGTGCAAATACACATACCTAAGTATGCAAAATAATTCATTTTGTTAGTATGTTGTATGTATTATTGCCAAAATATCAGCATTACTTATTAATTCGAAAACAATTTTGAAGCATGGTGCATGATAAATGCATAAGTATATTTATAGTACATTATCCGCCAGCAATGACACGATAACGTGTTCCGATAGATGTTATTTATTACAAAGCGAAGTGCAATTCGGTCAGAGCCCTCACTGGACCACGCCACGGGCCTCCGCTGCTTAGCCTTTTGGCAATAACGCTGTTATATTGTAGGGGAGAGCGGGGAGAGTTGTATCATGTCCAAGTTGTATCAGGGCGAATTGTGCCAAACTTATCCAATGGATGGCGCTCGCGACACGACCAGCCGACGAGGTTTTCCGGGCGCCATCTTTCCCTGTTCTGTCTTGTGGCTGAGTGGACGCGTCTCGAGGTGAGAGCCGATTTTATGTTTTTTTAATGTCATTCTAAAAAAATAAGTTGCAAGAAAATGTGTGTTCTGGGCATTTAGATGTGCACGAATTTGAAAGATCTCCGTAGCGGTGGTGAGGGTAGGTTCTAAGGCTGCGTGAGTGAAAACGGATTTCTCCAGCTGTCCGCTGTTTTTTGAGCACGAGGGTGTTTTTTTTTCCAAGATGGCGGCTAGGTACATGTTGTATCAGAGCCGGGTGGGGTATGTTGTAACATGTATGTATGTATGTGCGTATGGGTATGTTGCTTTTGATCGCGAAAGCTAAGCCCTGGCTCGCGTTTGTAGGTAGCTAGTCAATTCTCGTTCCATTTCGGCACAATGTGTTGGCTTCTTTGCTCTTAACGGGCCACTTTTGCGTCTAGTCTGTTGATGTTTCGTTAGGATTGCATTGACCTAAGTTTGGTCTAATAAAGTGAAGCCTTTGAGCATACCTATACATTGTATTAACCCCATTTAATGTTGTTATTATGTTCAAAACCAGTAGCAAGCACACTCTCTGAAACGTGAAATAGTGATACAAATTACCCCACCATGTGATACAACTCACCCAAGCCATGGGGCAAGTTGTATCAAAAACATTGCTCTATTCGGGAGACCGTAGAAGAAAAACTGGTAGAAGTAGCGGAAAAGTTACTTTGCACAAAAAAAAGCAGAAGAATCAAGGAAGGGGATAGTATGGAAATAATGAGTTTATCACGGATAGTTACGAGGTTATGGGTCTCGGAGTAAAAACTGATACAACCCACCCCACTCTCCCCTATGTGGTGTTGGCATGAAAGCGTTCGTCATTACGGCGCTCCGATCTAAGGCTGTCACGCTGCATGCGTCGCTTTACCACGAACACTTTACACGGCGACAAAGCTGCTTGAATTCATGACGAGCGACTTTGAGCCTATTCATAAAGAGGATAAACATGTGAGTTTTCAAGAAGACTTTTGGAAGACATTGTATATGGCTCTTTATTCTTTGTCCTTTATGCAAGCTATGTATTTTACTGCAATGAACGAATGTCATATAGGACGACGCGACTTGCTTAGCACTACTTTCACACTGCTTTGCATTTACATTGCGGTGCTAGCACTGATCAATACTAAGTATGTATCTCACTTGTCCCATACTTTCCTCCTTTTTTCGCCACCTATATGACACGAATGTCTGACACTCTCCCCCCGCCCCCCCCCCGCTCCCAGTTGGTGATAGCCGAGCTGCGTGGCGGCAGCGGTCGGGGCGCGGCGGGGGGTGCCCCCCTCTCGGCGGAGCTGGTGGAGACCTATCAGCTGCGGGAGCGGCTCCCTCTCCGAGCCGTCACCTTCGCCCGGTGGCGGTACAGCCCGGGAGCCGGCTCCGAGCGGATGCTCCACTGGGTGAACGGCTCCATCTACGAACGGAGACACGACTGGAGCGGCCTCGAGCTGCACATCACCACCGTGGGGGTAAGGTGACCGACGGGCCGGGGGCTGGGGGCAGCCCTTCTTCTTTATTTTCAATACCACAAGGCACAATACATATTAGGCGCACTTGCACTACATACATCACCTTAATTTTCACTTTTATCACATACTCCTGCAACACCGTCCACCCCGCCCCGCATCGCCCCGCGAAATGCATAATTGGCCTCATTTGGGCGGAGCGGTGCCGGCCCACATCGCCGGCCTGGCCCACAACCCGTCAACTTGGTACGTTGGCGAGCCGCGCGCCCGGCTGGCCGGCCGAGGCTGGAGGCAGGGTGAGAAAGATTGCACTACCACACAGCCGGAGAGGTGCAGGTTTATCGTTTGGTACGGCTGTCGGCTCGCCAGATCACCGACGGGCAATTTAGTGCTGGAAAAATTCAGCGCTAGTTTTTTATTGAAATTCGCAACCGAAGGTTGTGAATCTGTTGGATGTTGGAGCATTAGCGACGCTTGCAATCTTTTGTTTCTTTTTGTGGCAAGGAATTCCCCAAACCATAACTTTGCTTGATTATTGGCTGTTGAAACGGATTATATCATTGCATTATATTCCGTTGGCAGTTCGGCAGCTCGACGACAATCGAGAGTGGTTGTTAAAATAGACAAAATTTGTAACGATGTTTTGTTTTCCTAAATAAATAGGCGAATCATAACTTCCAATAACTTTCCAAAATCTAAAAATATTGCAATTTGCGGTAGGTTTGCTAGCGATGTTTAGAACATACCTACCGGCCGAGTTATGATTATTACCAGTAAAACGCCTTTTGGGAGAAAGAACGAGCGAGCGAGATAGTGAGCCCTGCACGTGCAGAAGGGCGAGATGGTACTTCCAACGGGCTTGTGCAAAGCACCCTTCTAACCGGTCGCTAGCGGTGTGCCAAATTTGAACGCAATCGGCCCAGCCGTTCCTGAGATCTGGAAGCGGCATTCTGCACGTGCGCACGTGCAAACGGGGTCCAAAATAACTTTTGCACGGCACCCTACTAACCGGTCCCCAACCGTGTACCAAATTTCAGCGCAATCGGCCCAGCCGTTCTCGAGATCTGGAAACGCCCCCTGCACGTGCGCACGTGCAGTAGCACCCTAACCGCAACACACGGGAATGCATTGCCTGGTGGGTGCCTGCCTGTATGCCAAGTTTCAGCGAAATCGCCCCAGTAATTACCGAGTTACTGAAATGGGAACAAATTTGGCACCTCTTATTGTTGTATTTTGCACGTGCAGTGGGGGTCACTCACATAGATGAAGAGTATCCGACCTTTGGTAGAAGGGATGCAGCTACCCTATAAAAATGACCGCAAGACAATCGCTCAAGCCGCTGCTGAGATATGGGCCTCTCAAAATCATTACTTTTGCAAAACTGCTTGAACACCCTTGACTTTTCACGTGGCACGTGCCACGGCGGTCACTGAGATGCATCAAAAGTAGTCAATTACGGGGTAGAAGGGATGGGGCTACCCAGCAAAAAAGACAGCAGGCCATTAGGTCCAGCGGTTGCTGAGATATAAGCCTCTCAAAAGCGTTACAGGCCGGGCCAGGCCGGGCCGGGCCGGGCCGGGCCACGGGAATGAGAGATTTACTGAGCTCATACTGAGATTTTTCCGTTATATGGAAAAGACTTCGCTTCGCTCGCTGCGCTCGCTCGCTCGTAATAAAATTTATTGTAGTGTTATGCCTACTGTGCCCTGCACGTGTGCTTACTGTGCACTACGAAAAATAGGGCGGTAAGGGCACATACGCCTCTATGCAACTGTAGCATCAGTATTCAGGTGGTGTTCTTGTATTGTATATTCGAGGGACGAGCCAGACGGTCATCGATTCCACGGCTGGTTTTATCATTCAACTACTCCACAATTAAGCTCATGAACATGAATTATTCCTTTGATGACACAAATGCACGATAGCAACTCGTAGAACGGAACGATATGTGATCTACACCTACCAGTGTAAAGGGTTGCACTGGTCTTTACTGGACGCGGCTGCAGCGTGTATTGTACTGTACCTATCGCTCAGTAACAGCAGGTGCAAGCTGCTTTGTGGTGACGACGCCGCGACTTTTTTTAGAAGGCTAAAGACGGCTGTTCTGCTATCCGAATTCCGAACCTTGCGTTGACTGGAATGCTATTAAGCTTTTAATGATACTGTCAGTTGTCACATCGTTTGCCATGCTGTTCTGTTTGAGGGAATCGGTCTGCAATTTTACTGTCCATGAGTTGATGATTGTTGGCTGATGTTGCAGGCAAACTTTATGGGTTAACCCTCGCCGGCCGAGGGGGGGGGGGGGGCGGGTGCCGCCCCCCCATAGGGTTTTTTTCGCGATAGCTCCGAACACGTTGGCGATAGAGAGCTGAAACTTGGCATACCTGACCTTTGATCCAAGCCCGATCTTTTGACACCAACCGCATTTTTGGGTCAGGTCAGGTCACTGACCTATGACGTCATAAGTGAACCTCTGCACGGTCTTCAGATGTCGCAACTTCGCAACGCCCTCACTGCCAGAGGAGATGTCACAGGGAAATGAAACTTGCAGGATCTAGTATCCATTATGAGTCCCACAACTTGTATATCTCGGATTTTTCCTAAAGGTCATATGAGGTCAGGTCATTTTCGTGACCTCACCATTATAAGTCAATGGGGAAAAATGAAAACTGCTATTCTGGCGCCGGGAACGATCTCCAACTATCTCAAGCACACAGAATCGTGATTTGATGCACTCCTTGCAAGGTTAGATGCGTCACTTTTGCAATGTTGACCTTGCGTGACGTCATTTATGACGTCATCAAGGTCATATTAGTTTTTCGTCAATAACTCTTGATCAAATTGAGCTAGCGAGTCGGGAAAGCCACCAATGGACTCAGGAAGACCTGCCGAATCGAATGATATGCGACATGACCTCTTTTGACCAACTTCGTGACCTGGGGGTGCTGACCTGACCTTGACCTGAGGTCAACACCCCAAGTTGACCTGACACGGACAAAAAGTATATCATTCGACGCGCCTGAGCGAGACGAACACGATGCTGCCAAAATCGGCGCTCTGCGGCCGTTTTTTGTGAAGTTATTCACCAAAAACTGAACCGTACCTTGGGGCACTTGACCGTCACCGGTTGACCTAGGACCTTAAAATCGGGTACCAATCTTTGCGTCTCGTAACGGCGCACACGCTCGTTTTTTCCGCGACGCGCTAGCTCCACCAGGGAAGTATAACCTTATCCCTCGCCCGCACATGGGGGGGGGGGTGGTTGCCACCCCCCAGGTAGTCTTTTTGCTCTGGACTCAACATTTTTAGAGCTAGAAGGCTGATTTTTCGTATAGCTGCTCCTCTATCCTTTTTTGATGTCCACTGAAAATTTCAAGTTTCTGTGATTTTTGGTTTCGGAGATATGACCTTGTTTTTCAGGTCATGTCATGACCCAAATGGCCAATTCTCAACATTTTGCGTTTGCCATGGGCCTTGCGGGCTTTTGACACCCTGATTTCGGCCTTTTTTGCCAGTCTTACCTCCCACCTATCATGGAACATGTTGTTCGACGATGTACAGGGGTCAAGGTCAGGGTCAAGGTCAACCTAGGTCATCTAAGATAATTGCGTTTTAGGCAAGCTGAATTTACTTTTTTGAAGTTTTTTGACTGCATTTTTGGTAAAAGCTTCTCAGATCATGATTTCATGTAATATGGACCCAAAAACAATCGGTGCACATATCAGTATACACACAGACACACACAGACATACCTACAAACACATATAATTGACCTTGACCTAACTTGACCTGAAATGACCTCAGCCGCAAAATTCTGGTCGGGTAGTGTGACAAAGAGGTTCTAGCTGGCTTGGCACCAGAAAACAGCATCGTCATCGGTATTTGATAAGCAGCGCACTTGATATCCAACGGTGACCCAAAACAGCAACATTTTTTAGTTTGACCTGACCTGGAAGGTCAATGACTGACCTGAGAAGGTAAAACTGGGTATCATTGGATTCGTCTCTTCCCAAAGAATCTTTTTGGTCCTTACCGCTAAGCTCTATCTCCAACAGTAACGAAATGGCGCGGGGGGGGGGGGGTGGCAACCCCCCCCCCCATGTGCGTTCTAGGATGGGAAAATGGCATGTGCGGGCGAGGGTTAAATATCCGGTGCCTAAGCACACCAACCCTCAATTTAGCAGCCCAGCCTGTTCAGAGCAGCCACAGCAGCCTGTTTCAAGCATGACGGCCTCTAATAGCAGCCTCTTTCATAAACGCTCAGTTGAAGTTCATCTAACATTTGCCTCCCCATGGGAATAACAGCCGTCACGTCTTCTGGCAGTTCCTCGCCCCCCCCCCCCCAAAGATGTAAATGCACACATGTTGCACGCGGAGCTCTCACGCCGCGAGGATAATATGAAGTCATGTGGCACAGTATACCTACCGCAGCCGAGCCCGCCTGCGGGATAGACTGATCCGCACAACACACCAATAGTGTTTATAGCGCCGCTTCGTTCGTTGGCTTGCCAGGGGCGGATCCAAGGGGGGGGTCACATGGGTCATGGCCCCCCCCTTGAGGCCCGGGGGCCCAAAGACCTGCCAGGGGCACCACCGGCCTATCAGGGGAATCACAGTCCTGACAGGGGCACCACAGGACCGCCAGGGGCACCACAGGCCTAGCAGGGACACCACGGGCCTGGTGCCCCTGGGCCCTGACAGGACTGTAACGCCCCTGACAAGCCTGAAGTGTCCCCGGCAGGCACTTGGTGCCCCTGACAGGCCTGAGGCGCCCATGCAAGGCCGGTGGTGCCCCTGGCAGGCCTGTGGTGTCCATGGCAGGCCTGTGGTGCCATTGCTAGGCCTCTGGTGCCCCTGACAGGCTTGTAATGCCCCTGGAAGGACTGTGGTGCCCCTGGGCCCTGACAAGCCTGAGGTGCCCCTGACAGGCCAGTGGTGCCCTTGCTAGGCCTGTGGTGCCCCTGGCAGGCCTCTGGTGCCCCTGACAGGCTTGCGGTGCCCTTGGAAGGACTGTGGTGTCCCTGGGCCCTGACAAGCCTGAGGTGCCCCTGACAGGCCCGTGGTGCCCTTGTTAGGCCTGTGGTGCCCCTGGCAGGCCTCTGGTGCCCTTGCTAGGCCGCTTGTGTCCCTGGCAGGCCTCTGGTGCCCTCGCTAGGCCGCTGGTACCCCTGCGCCCGGAGAGGACTGGTGCCCCTGAAAAGTCTGTGGTGCCCCTGGCAGGTCTGTGGCGCCCCTGGCAGACCTGTGTTGACGGGTGCCCCTGCTAGGTCGCTGGTGCCCCTCACAGACCTGTGGTGCCCCTGGGCCTTGACAAGCCTGAGATGCCTGGCTATGACAGGCTCGTGGTGCCCCTGATAGACCAGTGGTGCCCTTGCTAGGCCTGTAGTGCCCCTGGCAGGCCTCTGGTGCCCCTGCTACCCCTGCGCCCGGAGAGGACTATGGTGCCCCTGAAAAGCCTGAAGTGCCTCTCGACAGGCCCGTGGTGCCCCTGGGCCCTGGCAGGCCCAAGTTACCCCTGCGAGGTCGGTGGTGCTCCTGGCAGGCCTCTGGTGCCCCTGGCAGGTCTGTGGTGCCCCTGGCAGGCCTGTGTTGACTGGTGCCCCTGCTAGGCCGCTGGTGCCCCTCACAGGCCTGCGGTGCCCCTGGAAGGACTGTGGTGCCCCTGCCCCTAGGGGTGCTCATGGGCCCAACAGGCCCGTTGTGCCCCTGACAGGCCTGTCGTGTATACTTGCTAGACCTGTGGTGCCCCTGCTTCCTGGCAGGCCTGTGGTGCCCCTGGCGGGCCTGTGGCGCCCCTACAAGGCCGTAGGTGCCCCTGACAGGTTTGTGGTGTCCCTGGAAGGACTTTGGTGCCCCTGACAAGCCTGAAGTGTCAAGGACAGACCCTTTAGACGCCAGGGTCAAGTTCGTCGGACTGACAACGATTTGCTTACCTGATAACGTTCCTGGTAAGTACTCACTACTCAGCGTCCACAACATATATACACATAGCACATTCATATATACTTGCTTACAATTGGTAAATGTGGTTGTGGCTAAGAGTTAAGATACTGACTAAAAATAAAAAATAAAAAGAAAAAAACTGAAAATGGGGGCACCACCAAAATTAAGTGGACGAAATCCGTTGAGTTTTTAATTTTGGGTATAGGTAGGGGCACCACTTCGATTCATGACCCTCCCCTTGGAGTTTTCCTGGATCCGCCCCTGTGGCTTGCTCGCTCTCTCGCTCGTTCTATTGTTCGTTCTTTCTTCCGTTTGTTCTTTCGTTAGTTTGTCTCGACCACCACTCGAATCTGAACTGTGAACCGCGATGCAGCCAGTTGTGGGCCACCAGCAAGCACGCAATTAATGTTTGACACTTTCCAGGACCCTCCGTTCATCAAATACCACAAAACTCCAGTACCGGACGTCGGGGGCTACATCGGCGAGCTATGGAAGGAGCTAGCCAAGATACTGAAATTCACGTAAGTATATTTCTGTTGTTGCTTTTGTTGTTGTTGGAAACAACTAAACCGTATTATCAATCACGAACGACAAACCCTCGCCGGCCAAGGGTGGGGGAGCGTTGCGTCTTCCCCCTCCCTTAGTTTTTTTTTCGCGATAGCTCGATACGTGCTGGCCATAGAGAGCTGAATTTTGGTATACCTGACCCAAGCCGGATCTTATGACACCAACAGCATTTTAAGGTCATGTCAGATCACTGACCTGTGAAGTCATAAGTGACCCTCTGCACGGTCCTAAAATGTCGCAGCTTTGCAATGCCCTCGGTGGCAGATAAGCTTTCATATGGAGATGAAGCTTACAGACGCTGGTATCATCCAGAGCCCTCACATCTTGCATATCTCAGATTTTCCTAAAGGTCACCTGAGGTCAGGTCAGTCAAGTGACCTCACCATTAAAGTTTACGGGGGAAACATGGAAATTCTTTTGGTGCTGGAAATGACCTAAAACTGTCTCTAGCACATATGAAATCGTTATTTGACGACGCACTCCATGCAAGGTTCGATGCTTTACTTTTGCCTTATTGACCTTGCATGACGTCATTTATGACGTCACTTAGCTGATTAAGTTGACCTAACTCGAACAAAAAGCATATATCATTCGAAGTGCCTGAGCAGGTAAAACACGATGATACCAAAATCGCGGCTCTACGACCATTTTTTTTTTTGCGAAGCTAGTTATCAAAAACCGATCCCGCACCTTGGGACACTTGAACTCACCTCAGAGGTCAGGTCACCGGTTGACGTGAGACCTAAAAATCGGATACCATTCGCTGAGCCTCCTAAAGACACATACACTCGCTTTGTTCTGTGAGAATCTAGCTCAATTAGGAGCGAAACGGCGATGGAGGTCGACGTCGTACCCGCCCCCCTTCGGCCGGGACGTAGGTAGAAAACCAATAGGTCCAGGTGGGGTTAAAGTCTTGTTCAAAATGTTCAATGAAGTAGCATTACCCGCTTATCATTATGAGCGTCGTTGAATTTCCTCCGAAGCATGGTTCTCACATTTTGAGGTCAACTCGTGTGACACACGCAGCAGTATCGCGCGTGTACGCCGCTCCCGTAATATGCCATTTGCAAAATTTAGCACTGACGCAGTCGTTACGGCTCCCTGCGTGACCAGAATGGTCTTCAGCCGGCAGTTTCGCACCAGCTCGCGCACATAACGGCGTCCGTTTGTTGGTCCAAGTACCAATTGTATACGGAGCAGGCCACCGGAATGTGATGGGTGTCTGTGTCTCGCAGTAATGACCTCATGTAGTTGTATAATTACATACATGCATACAATGGAAATGTGTAACCGATTGGCGATAGGCTGCTGATTCAGCGTGGTTCGGTGAGCACTAAGCAGCCTAATGTTTTGTAGGACATGAACGAACGGTAGAAACGACGTCATAGTGATAGCACTAGAGAATAAAAAGAACGACTTCTTGCACTTCCGAAATGTGGAATGGCATGTCTTCCCTTGAACTTATTGTTTAATCAATAATCACGACTGTAATGTGAGTGTCATTGAAGGCTTGACTTCGCGCTGTTCCTTACCCCTTCCTGATGATTGTTAGGCATTTGTTGTGCCATCGCGACGCCCTTGGAGAATGCATACAATTAAATGACGCAGCTCCCATACGATGATTATCGAATTATTGCCTTTCGTACCAAACAAATGAAACGTAAACTGTCCAGAACATAGCAGGCTAACGGCGGTGTAACGACACAGGCCTCATGCATGGGCTCAGAGCTGGTCGAACACGCAACCAGGTCTCCCGCCACGTGATATGAGGGAAACACGCACGTGACACAACGGGTCAGATCACGTGATTGGCATGCGCGTTCCAGCGGCTTCAGCATGTTGGTCCTCGTCGTGTCGGCTCGAGGAAAAAAGAACGCAGCCTCGACTCGAGTAAGAACGACAGAGGAATACTCGGCAGAAATCTGTGGCCTCGTGCATGGGCGTTTTGTCGGGTCGGTAGAGTCATGTGTCCCATGTGCGGCCATACGTAACGCGGATACTGGTTAGTGGTTAGCAAAAATGTTCAATTCCGATCAATTTGACCTCGAACGTCCAAATTGTAAAGCTGTTAGAACGCTGTTCCTTGTTCGGCACTCGGCAGTTTTGCAGCATCAGTGGGACGCGCTCCCCACGTGACTTGGATAATTATCAATCCTCAGGTGGGCACAAGGTTATATAACCGGTGGACAGCACTCTCCCTTGGCCTCACACTCCGAGTCCTCGCTGGCCGCTGCAGGCTCCAAACAACACGTGGTAACGCTGCACCACCAACAACCGAGCGACCGCCCGTTATTATTACAATGACAAACTGCCTCGGGCGGGGTGCAAAAGTGGCTCCAGCCTTCATGGCACGACGGCGTCCGTGTGGCCATTACCTCCTAAAATGGGAACCCCGTAGGAGTCTAAACGACGGCATCACGCCGCCGCCAGCGTCGCAATCTTGGTCATACAGGGTCACACCTGTGAACTACTATCGACTCATGTGAATCGCTATGATACGATAATGGTCACAGCAGGCTTAGTCATTAGTTGGCAAAACGTCTTTTATATATTTAGCCAAACCATCATCGAAACTTGTAACTTGACACCCGTCACCTGGTGACCTGACATTCGTCATCATATAACCTGACCATTGTTTCATATGACCTGTCTTATTGCAACCTGAGGACCTGTCACCGGTCACATGTCACGTATAACCAGGTGACCCATAACTACCCCGCCCGATCCCCTCCCCCCTCAAGGAACCCCCGGCCCACCTCTGACCCGTACCCCCTCCGGCGGCGGTCGTATAGGTACCGCGTCACCTACTCGGTGGACGGCGTCTGGGGCTCCCAGCTGGGCAACCACAGCTGGAGCGGCGTGGTGGGCATGCTGCACCGGCGGGAGGTGGACGTGTCGGTCACTGACCTGTCCGTCACCGAGGCCAGGTCGGCCGTCATCGACTACTCCACCGGACTCATGTTCATCAGGTGAGGAACAAAGTCACTGGACTCACTAGGTGAGGGATAAATTTACTACTCCACCGGACTCATGTTCATCAGGTAAGGGAGGGATAAATTCCACCGGACTCATGTTTATCAGGTGAGAGAGGAACAAATTCCACCGGACTGATGTACATCAGGAGAGGGATAAATTCCACCGGACTCATGTTTATCAGGTGAGAGAGGAATAAATTCCACCGGACTAATATACATTGGGTGAGGGATAAATTTACTACTCCACCGGACTCATGTTCATCAGGTGAGAGATAAATTCCACCGGACTCACGAGGTGAGGGATAAATTTACTACTCCACCGGACTCAAGTTCATCATGTGAGCCGCGAGGACCGAGGTCATGCATCATTGGGTGTTTGGCCTAGGCACATAGGATGTTTCGAGGTTACAAAGTGCCAATGCTTTTACGCTTCATTTATGTATGGCTTCTTTATTTGACTGTCGTCTATTAGAAATATTTTGTGACAAGATTAAAGTTTATTTTCTACGATTAACATAACTCTCGAACGAAGTCAATACTGTGTAACTTCGTCACAATTTATTACAATGGCAACATTTACCACTATTAAAACACGCGCACCGACGGGGGTCTGCGCCAACTTCGTACCGACGGGGGCGGATGACCGCCCCCCCCCCCCTGAGATCTCGAGACCGAAGCAGGATAACGACAAGCGGTAAACGGCAAGGGATACGCACGGACAAGGTCTACAATTTTTACATAGGTCATTTTCAGGTCAGGTCAAATATGACGTCACAGGGGTCAAAAAAGTCAAAATGGCGTCGCTAGTTATGGAGAGTTTTTCTCGAATAACTTTCGAACTAGTCAATATAGGAACAAACTAAGGGCAACTTCGTGATCCTCTCGTCAATCCGCATCGAACGATATATATGTTGACCTCGAAAGATCAAGGTCAAAGGTTGACCTCCGGTCACGTGACCTCGAGGTCATCATGCATACCATTCGATGCGCCTTGACGAGCTGAACACAATGAGACCATCTGCGCGGCTGTATCTTGTTCCTGTACGGAGTTATTGTCAAAAAACCGCTGGTGACCTTTGATGACGTCACATGACCTTACAGCTGCCCAACAGCAAAACAGACCTCAAGGTAGTGAATTGGTTAATCGTATATGAGGTCACGTATGGTTTATGGGGCCATTCCTACCCGTTGTAGTGGTAAAAACAGGGAGTTGATTTTTCCCCTATTGACTTATAAAGGGAGGTCGAGAAATTGACCTGACCTTAGGTCATCGATATCAAAATTCCGAGTTATACAAATTGTAGCTATTAATGACCTTATAGCATCCTGCGACTTTCAAAGGCCTCCGACATCTACTGTAGCTCTGGCACGGTGACAAAGTTGCAAAAAAGTAACTTGAGGGTTGGGTCATTCAAAGTGACCTTGTGACCTGACCTTGAAAGTTAGGAGGTTTAAACTTGCACACCATGTGTAAAATTGATGAGAGAATAGTCGTACAAAATTTCACGGCGCTACGCGCCGCGGTTTTTCCGCTATTCGCGAAAAAACCTCAGGGGGGGGGGCGGATATCCGCCCCCCCCCCCGTCGGTGCGCGTGTTAACATCCAAACTTCGGATTTAGCCTTTTATTCGTGTCTCTCCTTCACCGTACCTCACAATTAGTTCCGGTAATAAGACTTTTGTCCTTTATGATGCCCTTGATTACTTTTTATATTGCTACATTGTATACTTCAATACGTTTTTGACCAATGTTCGCCCCCCCCCCGACCTGCCAGAATGCGAATGTTCATAAAGAGGCCGTCGGCGCTGGACGTCAGTTGGACCACCTACCTGGACGTGTTCGACCTGAACCTGTGGCTGGTGCTCGTCTGCACCGTCGTCATCGGCAGCACTGCCATGTTCGGCATGTACAGGCTGGAGCGGCGCCTCGGGCTCAGGCAGGACGGCTCCGGCGTCTTCAGCTGGAGGGACAGCCTGCTGCACTTCTTCGGCGCGCTCTGCCAGCAAGGTAGGCACTTACCAAAGGGCGCCACATGGGGCTGATCGGAAGCAATACGGACGTTGCCATTCCCTACTGAGCGGCGAGCGCTATTGATTTGTTGGTGAAGTCGTACTCTTATTGTGAAAACATTTAAATACGGATGGTGTAGTCAAAAGCGAAATAACATTGATAATGGCGAAGCACTTTTGAATTCTATAGGTACTTTTCACACAGGGCGATTTTAGGTAACCGCTGATGAAAACCTCTTCATGGGAAGGTATGAATAGAATAGGTATTGTAAAACTGCACGTCTTCTGAATATTTTAACTGATATTCCTAGCGAGAAGTGCAAAGTGAGCTTCCCGGTCGATCAACATACAAAACGGCGGCATCTTTAACCTCCTTAGCAGCTATTTCCGTCAGCATGGACATTACTTCCATCAGCTGTCGCCTTTTTAAGACTGGCATTCTTGCTGTTGTGCTACTATAAGCTTGCACGTTAAACTGCCGTTTTATCTCCATCCCTGGCGGCGTCTGCAGGTGCCGAGGGTCTGCCCGAAGGCCTGGGCACCCGCTTCTTCTTCTGGTTCTTCTACGTGTCGATGGTGACGGTGTTCGCGGCCTACTCGGCCATGCTGGTCTCCTTCCTGGCCGTCCAGACGGTGGTGCTGCCGTTCGAGGACGTGGAAGGTCTTCTCGAGGACGGCACCTACCAGCTGGGCGTGCTCAGAGGCACGTCGCAGCTCGACTACTTCAGGGTGAGTCTCATGAGCAGTACATGTGTCGCAACGCTGCAGTAACTCACTAACTCAGCCATTAATCACTCTTTATGGCATCAGCCATTGGAAGCATAAAGATTGCAGCTTATTTTCCGCTTTCTCCTGGGACATCTAGTGCAAGTTATTTTTCTATTTATTTGACGGAGAAGTATTTGATTTTGATTGGGTTTAGTATGTGAAGGGTGTGTATGTAACATTTTTCTCGATAGTTCGTCGCCTATGATAAAAATGACCAAAAAGCCCTAACCATAGTTTCATCTGCCCGAGTGTTTTGACGACCGTGTCGGCCGTTTTTCTACAGCTCTCGCCAAACCCCGTGTTTCGAAAAGTGTACGAGAAGCATATCGTCGAAATGTCGAGCAACGAAGAGGGATACAAACACGTCCGCACGCAGAACTTCGCATACCTCGACACTTACGAAACAGCGGTGCTACTGAAAGACTGTGACATAATCAACATCAAGAAAGATTACTTTAAACATATGGTAGCGTTTGGATTTCAAGAAGGCTCACCATATAGGACGTTTATTAATTTTCAGTAAGTATTTCGAAACACACCTACGAGGAGGATTGCTGGGCTCCTAACACCTATCCTTCTGTAATTACTCATACTCATAATGATAACTGTATACAAATATAATATTCACTTGAATATTCTACATAGTTACTTTCAAATGTGTCATTCAAACAACAATATTTAGAGGACCTCAGATTGCACAAGTTATGTTTCAATTTTCACATATACGAAAAGTGCTAATCGTTAAAAGAAGGCATAAAAAAGGTTGACTAAATAAGTCGCTAGGCAATATGTAATGGCACGCTATGATAAGCCCAGCCGGCTGCCTGGCTCCAGTGTTGACAACGACCGCGGCCGGCAGGCTGAGTCGACTGGACGAAATGGGTCTCATGTCTCAGCTGCTCTCCCGCCATTGGCAGCACCACGACTCATGCGAGGTCGACTCGCTGGAGGTACGAACGAGCGAATGTTGTACGGCACAGGACACCTGAGGGGCGACCAGATGACAGGATACCTCTCAGTGTTTGCTTTGGGTCTCAGGAGCGTTTGAGATTGTTGAAACAAACGGGATCAACTGAAAGGCTGTACTTTGCGCTTTGTCATAATTTCCTCGGAGTGCTTTTATGCATATTGAGCATACTGTGAAAGATGACAAAATTCCAAATTTTTTTCAGCTGCTGGCCGGTTTTAAATCACTGGCCGGTTTTAAAATGTCCAGAAAAAAAGAAGAGGTGTCTGATGTCTCTTGTCTGCCCTGGAGAAAGTCGCTTCATGTAATAAGTTGACCGGTGTCACTATCAGTAAAAGTTGTCTGTTAGTGAGTTGTCTGACGTCCGACGGTAGCTGCTGTTCACTGCCCAGTGCCCGTGCACGGGACCACTGTCTGACCTCCCGCCACCGCAGGGTCTGGGCCTGCCGTCCGTGTTCTCCGCGTTCGTCCTGCTGGCCGGCGGCGTGGGGGCCGGCCTGCTCATCATGCTGGTCGAGTGCGTCTGGTCTCGTCTACGGCGACGCTGGAGGCGGCAGACGGCAGTGGGGCCGGCGGCGGCACTGAGGGCAATTCGTTCGAAGAAGGCAGCGACAATGGGAGTCTGGGCGGCGCCAGAACCACGGGATGCAACCCAGAGAAAATCGGCGACCATGGGACTCTGGGCGACGCCAGAGCAGCGAGATATAACCGAGAGGAAGTCAGCTGCGATGGGAGCCTGGTCGACGCCGGATGAACGCGAAATGACCGAGAGGAAGGCGGTCGGCATCTTCTCCGACTTCACCCGGGAGGTGCCTCTAGGTAAGGATACGTCGCTCAAAGCGGCCCTTTGTTTTTCACTTTGACTAGGACGTGCGTACTGCGTACAGATCAATAACAAGCCATTAAGACTTTCTTCCACGTTAGACGATGCTTCAACGAAATGATAAGACGGAAGCTCGTTTTTCTTCGCACTGATTCGGTCCACGTTCTTTCACAGACGCCTCGCCGTATCTTAGCGACACGACGTTTTCGGAAATATGGCAGCCGAAACCGACACCAGCCTTTGAAAAACGCTCCGACACTTCGTCCGCCCAGCGCAGGGAGGCGATATGGCAGCGCTTGATGCGGGATTGATATTGTTACAGTGAAAACGAGCAATTCCCATTCAGATGAATTGCGCTATCATACCATTTGTGCCTATGACGATAGTACACTGACCCGTTACCCTGATTTGGCTAAAATAAAGGATTTTTTGCGTTTAAAGTAAAAATGTTTTAGCCCGCGCACCGACGGGGGTCTGCGCCAACTTCGCACCGACGGGGGGGGGGCGGATGACCGCCCCCCTGAGATATCGAGAACGAAGCAAGATAGCGACAAGCGGTAAACGGCATCGGATACGCACGGACAAGGTCTACAATTTTTACAAAGGTCATTTTCAGGTCAGGTCAAAGATGACGTCACAGGGGTCGAAAGTCAAAATGGCGGCGCTAGATACCTATGGAGAGAGTTTTTCTCGAATAACTTTCGAACTAGTCAAGATAGGAACAAACTAAGGGCATCATCGTGATCCACTCGTCAATCCGCATCGAATGATATATATATGTTGACCTCGAAAGGTCAAGGTCAAAGGTTGACCTCAGGTCACGTGACCTCGAGGTCATCATGTATATCATTCGATGCGTCCTGACGAGCTGAACACAATGAGACCATCCGCGCGGCTGTATCTTGTTCCTGTACGGAGTTATTGTCAAAAAAACCTTTGGTGACCTTTGATGACGTCACATGACCTTACAGCTGCCCAACAGCAAAACAGACCTCAAGGTAGTGAAGGTTGATCGTATATAAAGTCATGTATGGTATATGGGGCCATTCCGACCCGTTTTAGTGGTAAAAACAGGGAGTTGGTTCCCCCCCCCCCATTGACTTATAATGGGGAGGTCGCGAAATTGACCTGACCTTAGGTCATCGACATCAAAATTCCGAGATATACAAATGGTAGCTACAAATGACCTAATAACATCCTGCGACTTTCAAAGCCCTCCGACATCTACTGTAGCTCTGGCACGGTGACAAAGTTGCAAAAAAGTGACTTGAGGTTGGGTCATTCAAAGTGACCTGGTGACCTGACCGTAGAAGTTAGGAGGCTCAAACTTGCACATCATGTGTAAAATTGATGAGAGAATAGTCGTACCAAATTTCGCGGCGTTACGCGCCGCGGTTTTCCCGCTATCCGCGAAAAACCTCAGGGGGCGGATATCCGCCCCCCGTCGGTGCGCGTGTTAATGTCTGCTATCCTATGATTTGTTTGATTATCTTCTTACTTACCATTGCATTTCCAGTACCTCCCTGAGTTCCTATGACTCATCGAAGCCATGACTGTAGAAGTCATTTTGTCGGCATTAGCCGTTTTCACGACGGCCATCTGGTACACATTTGGTGCAGATTAGGTGCAGATTTGGTCAAATTAGGTTCAGTGTATCACTTAGAAGCTATCAACTAGGGTTGCACTAATTGCTGCTTATATGCCTCCTTTGTCATATTATCAGAGAGTAATCATCGATTAAAAACCTGAAATAAATTCATTAAATGAGGATATTTGCTGTAAAAGAGATTAGGTGCAGATTTGGTCAAATGAGGTGCATTCGCCAGATAGCCCGTCGTGAAAACGGCTAAGTTCAGTTCGGTTATTCATGTTTGAAAACCCATCATATGTGCATTGTACATTGTACATTCGCAGTAGCCAGTAACTACCACTCGGTTGATAGTTTAGAAGGATTTGCAATATAATAATATGAAGCCAGAAGCTGTACGTATAGTATATATTCATATACAAGTAGTGGTACCCTTAATATCATACTATGTATGCAGTAAATGGGCCTTGTTCGAATAGTTTGATTTTGATATACAAGTTTGCTTATTTCTCAAAGGCTAAAAGGTACAACATATAGTCACAAACCCGTATATTTTACTACATCGTGTGTTATGGATTGGAATTTGGACATTTCATTTTCACTGTATTTTTTCCAATGAAACCCGCGCCCCGTAGGGCTACCGGCGGACCCTACCACCCGTAGGGGGGGGGGGGGGGCCGTTTCGGCCCCCCCTAAGATCTCGGAAAGTTACCGGCCGATTTTCAAAATTCAAACGGCGTTCGATAGCCCCACCCGGGAACTACCTTGTGACCAAATTTCATTGACCTAGGTCAAACCGATGACGTCACAGGTCAGGTCAAAGGTCAGATTTTCACCGTTCACAGGCATTTCAAGAAATGTGTTGTGAAATCGAGTTAATTGGTAATTTATTGAAAACCATCGATGGTACATTGTTCGTCAAACACATACTTTGCTATCTGAGGTCACTGATACCAGGTCAGGTCACAGCGAGGTCAGGTCACCGGGGTCACAATATGAAAGTGTCGTGTGATACATGTTTTATGGTCCATTTTACATGACAAATGCGATTATGTGGGTTAGGCAGCCTTTGGGGCCAGCCTAGGTCACGTTTTGGTGAAGGTCAGGTCAAGGTCAGGTCAAATAAGGTCAAATTTCAAAGTTGATATTTTTGCATAAAATGGGTATCGATTCGATGCAGCTCGTCACGGGGAGTCTAATGGTGGTCTTTGTTTTGCTCTACGAGGTCTAGAACTGCCAAAAATTGAGTTTGAAAATTTGACGTCATCAATTTTGAACAGTTTTTTGCTATAACTTGGCCAAAAAACGAGGTATCGATCTGAAATTCGGTATGTAGATAGAAGACGGTAGGTACTATCACATATATTCCGGTTTTTTTGAAACTCAAAAAACTTTTTGGATTTTTTGGCTAATATATCCAAAAAATGTTTTTTTGATTTTTGGGGTTCAAAACTCAAAAATTTCAAAAATCCGAGATAGCAGTTTTGTAGCCCTGTCAATTCTACACCTTTTATGTCTTGATCATTTTTCTGTATCTTCAAAGCTGTAGGCCTGACAGGTCTTCTCGCGAAGGTCTTTTTTCGGTCGAAAATGACAGAACATGACGTCATTCTGACGTCATTTGTGGCCAACCTATCATAGCCTCTGGAAAAATTTTTGGTCACAATGTGTAAAATTGATGCCCGGAGGGGTCCTGAAAGTTTGGTGGCGATATCTGAAGCGGTTTAGGAGATATCGACCGAAAAGGACAGGGGGGCCGTTTCGGCCCCCCCCTACGGGGCGCGGGTTAATCAGATTCAATGCAGCGAGTTATTTTAAACAGGTCGGGTAACCGGAAGCCAATGGTTTCCGAATAGTTACCGAAAGCTTACCTATTTTAGGTCGCCTTTACGATAACATTATCAATGACCTTTGGTACTGGCATGGACATTGTGATGACGTGTATTCGTGTTTTCATATCTATACCTATACCTATACCAATGCTGTCATGGAATATATCTACATAATCTCAGCCATCGTTGTCTTGATCTTTTCTCGCGGAGAGCATATGCCGAAGAATACATATACGCATCTCTAAATGAGGAAATTTTCAGCTCATCGACGGAACCAGTCGCGTCTCATACCGAGGTCCGAGGTCAATTCCAAAGTTGGGGTCCATTTCCCATACAAAAGTATATCATTCAACGCTGTTGAACAGTAGGTATGTACCATGCGATAATGCAAAATAGTTTCTTTATTACCATCTCGTGAAAAGCTATTTTCAAGAATCTGACCTTAGACTGTGATTTATTATCTATGTACAAATATATAGGTTAGCTAGTTCCCAGACAAGTAGGTGGGTAGGAGGAGGAAGGGTGACCGGGGCAAAGCGGCCACCCTAACGCCTTTTTACCGACTACGCTTTATTTTCAAAATTGGATTTTTTATGTGTCAATATGGTCCCTATTCAATTGCCTTTCATTTCAATTACGTTTCATTTCTAAAGGCGTTCACATCTAGGAGATATTAACAAAATATTAAACCTATGCATTCTGATCACTTTGCCCCAGAACAGAACCCGGGGCAAAGCGGACACCGGTGACTTCGGGCATGGAATCAAAAATTGGCATGGAATTTTATGCAAAAATATCAACTTTTAAATTTAATCCGCGCCCCATCTGTGGTCTGTGTATAACACGCCCTACGGGGGGGGGGGGGCTATTCATAGCTCCCCTCCTACCTCCGAAACTACTGGGCCGATTGTCAAAATTCAAACGGCATCTGATAGCCCCGGAAAAACTGTCGAACGAAGCCTAATTTCATTGACCTCGAGGTTACCGATGACGTCACAGGTCAGGTCAAAGTAAAAATTATCGATATTTGGCTTGTTCACATTTTGGGCTCTGGCTGCCGTCTTACTAGTCAGATCAGGCTGGTTTTAGTGGTTTGCACACTCGTGAACAGATGCTTGAGATACCCTGAGGGTACAAAACTTGTACTTTGATTTCAGGTCAGGGTCAGGTCATCATAGGTCACGGAAATCTTATGTCATAAGTCGGTCGCGTGACACATGTTTTATGGTCCATTTAGGCCACAGATTTCGAATTCGGCGTCGCCTGTGTCATTTGAGGCCATTTTCATCTGAATATAGCTGAGGTCAGGTCACTTTCAGGTAAAAAAAGTCGAATTTTAAAGTTGAAATATTTCAACATCAAACGTGTCTATCGGATGCAGTTTGAGCTCAGAAACACGATGGTGCTATTTGTATTGATGTACGATGTCAAATTCGTACAGAAAAATTGATTTGAAAAATATAAAATTGTGAAATTTTTGCTATAATGCGCATAACTTGGCCATTTTTGAAGATATCTGGCTAAAGGTTGCTGGAGTAAGTCATAGGTATGTGTTCTATCATATATATTACGTTTTTTTTCTTCGAAAAGTCAAAACAGTTTTGAAAAATATAAAAATACAAATTTCAAATTTTTATATATGTAATTTTCAAAATTTTCAGAATTTTGAAAGTTTGAGATGACAGTTTGATAGCGCAGTCCATTCTGAGTCCTCTCATGCAAATAAATTGGATCTAGCTAAAAAACTGAGCTCTTGGGAGCGATTCCCGTGGTTCAATGTTTTGCGTCGAAATTGGCCGAACATGACGTCACTCTGACGTCATTTCCGGCCGACCTATGATAGATACGAAGTTCAAATTTTGACCCAAGGTGTCAAATTGATGCAGCTGAAGGTACTGAAAGTTTGGCGGCGATAAGTCAAGGGGTTTAGAAGTTATTGCAGAAAAGTGGGAGGGGGCCCCCTCCCACTTTTCCCGCGCCCACCCCCACCCCCCAGTGGGGCGCGGGTTAACCTAATTTGACGTGACGGCTGACATTGACCTGACCTTCACCAGAACATAATCTAAACTGACCACAAAGGCTGCCTGACCCACATAATCATATTTGGCATAAATGGATAAATGGATCATAAATGGACCATAGAACATGGATCACATGATATTTTCATATTTGTGACCCTCGTCCTGACCTGACCTGGTATCAGTGACCTCAAATAGCAAAATATGTGTTTGACGAGCATTTCCCCATCGATGGTTTTCAATGAAATGCATTATACTCGATTTTACAACGCATTTGTTGAAATGCCTGTAAACGGTGAAAATTCCACATTTGACCTGACCTGTGACGTCAATATCGGTTTGACCTAAGACAATGAAATTGGGTCACAAGGTAGTTCCTTGTTGGGGCTATCCCAAGGCTATCCAACACCGTTTGCCGCTATGTTGCATGGTTTTCGAGATCTATAGGGGGGGGGGCAAATTATCCCCCCCTCACCACTGCACCACCAGGGCGCGTTGCTCGGCAGACCCCAACGGGGCGCGGGTTAACTAACCTACCTTGTACCTTCCAAGATTCTTACAGATAAGGTTGGGACGCCAGTCTGAGTCACGTATGTACACTAGCGTTTAGCGCCTAGCGACCGTGAAAACACCAGTGCGGGCGAGGGTCAAAATTGTCCTTCCCTATAGATCTTTTTACTTAGAAGCTCCAGAAAACATGAAACATGAGAGTAAGATAGGTACATATGAGGATGTACAGTTCCTAGAATTTAACCCTCGCCGGCCGAGGGGGGGGGGGGCGGGTGCCGCCCCCCATAGGGTTTTTTTCGCGATAGCTCCGAACACGCTGGCGATAGAGAGCTGAAACTTGGCATACCTGACCTTTGATCCAAGCCACATCTTTTGACACCAACCGCATTTTTGGGTCAGGTCAGGTCACTGACCTATGACGTCATAAGTGAACCTCTGCACGGTCTTCAGATGTCGCAACTTCGCAACGCCCTCACTGCCAGAGGAGATGTCACAGGGAAATGAAACTTGCTGGATCTAGTATCCATTATGAGTCTCACAATTTGTATATCTCGGATCTTTCCTAAAGGTCATATGAGGTCAGGTCATTTTCGTGACCTCACCATTATAAGTCAATGGGGAAAAATGAAAACTGCTATTCTGGCGCCGGGAACGATCTCCAACTATCTCAAGCACACAGAATCGTGATTTGATGCACTCCTTGCAAGGTGAGATGCGTCACTTTTGCAATGTTGACCTTGCGTGACGTCATTTATGACGTCATCAAGGTCATATTAGCTTTTCGTCAATAACTCCTGATTAAATTGAGCTAGCGAGTCGGGAAAGCCACCAATGGACTCAGGAAGACCTGCCGAATCGAATGATATGCGACATGACCTCTTTCGACCAACTTCGTGACCTGGGGGTGCTGACCTGACCTTGACGTGAGGTCAACACCCCAAGTTGACCTGACCCGAACAAAAAGTATATCATTCGACGCGCCTGAGCGAGGCGAACACGATGCTGCCAAAATCGCGGCTCTGCGGCCGTTTTTTGCGAAGTTATTCACCAAAAACTTAACCGTACCCTGGGGCACTTGACCTGACCTCAGAGGTCACCGGTTGACCTAGGACCTTAAAATCGGGTACCAATCTCTGTCTCTGCGTCTCGTAACGGCGCACACGCTCGTTTTTTTTCCGCGACGCGCTAGCTCCACCAGGGGCGAAACGGCGAGGGGGGTCGTAGTACCCGCCCCCCCCCCCCTCCTCGGCCGGCGCGTATGTAGAAAACCAATAGGTCCGGCCCCGGCGAGGGTTAAGTCTTTTCGTACTTCTTGCATGCAACGCATGCTAAGTGAGTGATGCTGCACGAAACTGACATGTTGCAAATGTCGCGTGTTGTTACAATGGCAGTGGTGATGCTGTACCAGAATTTCTCATATGGAAGTCATCTGAGGGCTGTTCACGGGCCCTGTGTGCGGTCGGACCGCACACAGCCTCGAAGCTCCGCCCACTTCTTCCCTACGTCAGCCTTCCGTCACCGCACACAGCGATCGCTGTGGCCGGTCGGGACTGGCCACAGCGGACCGTCCACCGCACGCAGCCGTGACGTCAGAACTGCCTACCCATCCCCTACCCCCACGCCTGCTGGACGCACCGCACACACCGCACGCAGCAGTGTGCGGTGCCCGTGAACACCCCTCTGGCAGCTCGTTGATGCAGACAAAACCGCTGATGAAGCTACGATATGTGGCGCAGGTGTATACCCTTTTGATCCTTGAGTTTGAGTTTTCAAGTTTTGGAAGCCAGAGGGTGATTTTGCTTTTTAATTGGGTATTGATCAATGTAACGGAAGTTGGCACAGATTCAGCACAGGTTCAGCACAGCACAGATTCGGTAGGGGGAAAAAAGGCCCCGGTAGAGGGAAACCTTTATGACCCGTTTTCCCCTAAAAATGACGTCACAAAGAGGTAAAAATGGGTATCAATCGAAAGCTCTCGTTTACCCAGACACAGTCCTGCAGGAAAATTTCACTTTTTCCCCATAGGAAAGTTTTTACGGGAAAATCAAAATTTTGGGTCAATGGGGGGTCCCCCCCGATTTCGTTCAAAATCGGCACACAGGTGCCCCACCACCAGCCGAGAAACTTTCCCCAAAACGGTCCCCGTTGCATTGACGTTTAAGGCCCGTAAAGCCCCCTAGACTCGTAAAATATCCGTAAAATCGCCTTTGTACGGACAAAAAAGTGGTGCTATGGTAACAATGGGTATCATTCGAAAGCTCTTGTTTACCCAGACACAGTTCTGCAGGAAAATTTCACTTTTTCCCCATAGGAAAGTTTGTACGGCAAAATCAAAATTTTGGGTCAATGGGGGGTCCCCCCCGATTTCGTTCAAAATCGGCACACAGGTGCCCCACCACCAGCCGAGAAACTTTCCCCAAAACGGTCCCCGTTGCATTGACGTTTAAGGCCCGTAAAGCCCCCTAGACTCGTAAAATATCCGTAAAATCGCCTTTGTACGGACAAAAAAGTGGTGCTATGGTAAAAATGGGTATCAATCGAAAGCTCTCGCTTACCCAGACACAGTCCTGCAGGAAAATTTCACTTTTTCCCCATAGGAAAGTTTGTACGGGAAAATCAAAATTTTGGGTCAATGGGGGGTCCCCCCCGATTT